GAAAGATGGGCCGTGTATCCACCCCCGCTGCCCTCCTTGGGCTTCTCGGACTTGTCTCAGCGGCTGGTTGCCCCTTTGCTGACCCGGGTGCTCTTCGCGGTCGAGCAGAAGCACCTACTGAGGACCCGTTACTCGCTGCCACTATTGATGACAGCAACGGCTTCTTCACCGATGACGTAGGTGGGCAGATTCAGGAGCAAGACAGTCTTAGGGCTGGTGATAGGGGGCCATCCCTATTAGAAGATTTCATCTTTCGTCAAAAGATCACACATTTCGATCATGAGCGGGTAAGTCATATGTCATTTCCCATATTAAGTCCTTAGAACCACGAGAGTTCGAGATCACCGTCGTATAATATATGTATAATACATACCATAGATTTATACTAATAAGTCGATAGGTTCCTGAACGAGCTGGTATGTTTTACTAGATTCATACATCATATTTAGACTAACCTTGTCAAGTTCATGCAAGAGGCGCTGGAGCTCACGGCACGTTCACAAGTTATGGCGACTGGAGCAATATAACAGCTGCCTCGTTCCTAAGCCAACCCGGAAAAGAAACTCCAGTTTTCGTAAGATTCTCAACCGTAGCTGGATCGCGTGGAAGTGCCGACACAGCGCGCGATGTCCACGGTTTTGCAACGAGATTGTAAGAATTGCCACCTTATCATCATTTGAAAGCACGCTAATATGAGACTCAGCTACACCGATGAGGGTAACTTCGGTATGCGGACCCAATCGCTTAGCTCTACTAATTTTAAACTAATATTTCCAAGACATCGTAGGAAACAACATCCCGGTGTTTTTCATCCAAGATGCTATTAGGTTCCCGGATTTAATCCACTCCGTGAAGCCAAGCCCTGATAGTGAGATACCTCAAGCTGCCACGGCTCATGACTCGGCTTGGGATTTCTTTTCTCAGCAGCCGAGTACGCTCCACACACTCTTCTGGGCTATGGCTGGGTTCGGTATCCCACGCAGCTTTAGACATATGGTCAGTCTATAATGGATATGCCGATTAGATTTCATACTGACTTATATAGGATGGCTTTGGTGTCCACACGTTCCGTCTCGTGACTGATGATGGCAAATCTCAGTTCGTGAAGTGGCATTGGAAGACGAAGCAGGGGAAGGCTAGCTTGTATTGGGAAGAGGCTCAGATCTTGGCCGGCAAGAACGCAGATGCTCACCGGCAAGATCTGTTCGAGGCTATCGCTGCCGGTAACGGTCCCGAGTGGGAACTTGCTGTCCAGCTAGTCGACGAGGACAAGGCCCTTGCCTTCGGCTTCGACTTATTAGATCCCACTAAGATCCTCCCTGAAGAGTATGCCCCTCTCCAGAAGCTTGGCATCATGAAGCTGCATACAAACCCGACGAATTACTTCGCTGAGACAGAGCAAATCATGGTAGGTTTTCTGATCTCGCCTGTGCCAATTCTAGAGCTATTACATGCTCTATTATTTATATCTAGCTACTAACGTAAATCGTAGTTCCAACCTGGGCACATTGTACGAGGAGTAGACTTCACCGAGGATCCCTTATTGCAAGGCCGCATATTTTCCTACTTAGACACTCAGTTGAACCGACACGGAGGTCCCAACTTTGAGCAGCTTCCTATCAACCGACCAGTTGTCCCCATCCACAACAACAACCGTGATGGCGCAGGCCAGAACTTGATTCACAAGAACATTCATGCTTGTAAGTTCTCTTCACTCCATCTATTCACTTAGATCCTTCAACTAATGTCCGTTGCAAAGACTCTCCTAACTCGCTGAACGGTGGATTCCCCCAACAGGCAGACCAGACGAAGGGACGCGGATATTTCAATGCACCCTCTCGGAGCACTAGCGGCAAACTCGTGCGCGGCCTATCGTCTACTTTTGATGACCATTGGTCGCAGCCGCGACTCTTCTACAACTCACTTCTCCCCGTCGAGCAGCAGTTCCTCATTAACGCTATCCGCTTTGAGGCCAGCCACCTACAATCAGCCGATGTGAAGAATAACGTCCTCCTGCAGCTTAACAGAATAAGCAACGATATCGCAGTCCGTGTTGCTACTGCTCTCGGCGTAGAGGCCCCTGCCCCTGATGATACATACTACCACGATAATACGACGATCAACATTAGTATTGTCAACAGCACGCTACCTACTGTTGCCACGCTTAAGGTTGGTATCTTGGCCAGCACAACGAAGGCGAACGGCACAAATGCGCTCGACCAGGCTAAGAGCCTAAAACAGCGCCTAAGCAATGATAACCTGACTGTGACTATTGTAGCCGAGAGCCTAGCTGAGGGCGTTGATAAGACGTACTCGGCTGCCGACGCAACGGACTTCGACGCCGTAGTTGTTACATCCGGTGCTGATGCTGCTGGCCTATTCGCTCTAACAGCCGGAAATCTGAGTCCGCTATATCCCCCTCTACGCCCTCTTCAAATCGCCAACACTGCGTACCTATTCGGCAAGCCCGTTGCCTACTTTGGTAGCAGCTCGCCGAGTGACTCTCTTGCAGCAGGCGGCCTGGACCCTAAGGCGGAGGGCGTCTACGCCGATGCCGACCTCGAGACGGTAGCTACCGGTCTCGTGGACGGTCTTAAGACGTTCAAGTTTACTGCGCGATACCCCTTAGATAAGACCCAATAGAGTAAAATGGAGAGCTCTGGGTGTTCGTTTTTTAGTTTCATGTGAATGTAATATGCTTCGCTTCGGCTGCGCTGTATATATTTAGTTAAATGTTGATAAAAATATCGTTAAACATGATGTCGTCTTGGTTTTCGTTAGTGTTGATGTTTGGAAGACGTTGGCATTATTTACTAATAATGTGGCAATGTTTTTCGTCTCTTGAAGAATGCTTACCTAGATATGCTTAGAATTCTACGTCTAATCATCGGTTTATTCAAATTGTAGTCTCTGAATACGTATGAAAGATGCTTCGATAATGTGAGGTCTTGCTACATAACTATAACATATTGAGCTATTTTTACCGTCCTGACGTAAAAGTTCATACAAGTCTTTAGAGTTCCTCGTATGCATTGTATGTCGAGTATATGAGGTATCTTACTAAGTATATCGTACGGGATGATATATAACGCGATATGTATCTTCTTAGGTATGTGTATAAGTACTTTCACAGACTCTACATCAAGACAGTAGTTTCTTACGCTAGCATTAAGCAGCATTCGAAACAGAGCCAAACCCATACATAAACTCAGTAACTTTGTAGAAATTCAAGATGCTAGGCGTATATGATAAATTACGCAATATATACAGCATTATGTCTCTATGCTCCTATAGTTATATAAACATTTAAACTGCACTTTTATAAGCTAACATACCCAGACTTAATACCCAACTTATCCAACCCATCCACACACACACACACGCCTCCCCCAGAAGCAAAGCTGCCCAAGCAAATACTACCAACCCCATTAAGGTCTCCAACAAGGCCGCAGATGTCTAGACTCGCAGTCCTCTCCAAAAAGCCAAAAAAAATCAACGATAGGCCAGCAACACGCCCCCGTCCTGTACCCCGACCCGCTCGAACCAGACTCCCGGGACCGCACCCCCCCTTTTTTTTTTATTCATGCAGCTACCTATATATATTTTTTACCTTAGGTACCTAACCTATCTACGTACGAACTCATACCACATGACCGGGCCCCCATGCCGCCGCCAGCGACATAAAGCTCGAAACTCATGCACGACATCGTGCGTCGCATGAGAGCCGTAGTCACGTGTGTTCGACCCGAGTTCTCGGGTTTCCCCCCTCCCCTTCCCTTCCCCCGAGGAGCGGAGGAGGGGAGGGTTGCGGTGGAGAAGGATGGGATGGCGTGATAGGCTGGTGACGAAGCGGAGGTAGGTAGGTAAATAAAGTCGGGCCTCCGGGCTTTTGGTGGAACTCCGGTCTTTGGACTGGTTGGTTGGTTGGTTTGGTTGGGACTGGTGTTGCTTCTCCTGCCGGATTAGGGACGCTATGTATATTCTTTTCGCTTTATAGGCGGTTATGTCCACATATAGCAGCTCTATTCTCGTGATTCATGTATTATATTACGGGTATGTAGTTTGATAAGACTTTGGCTTATATATACATAAATATAAAGCAAGCTATAGAATATACCTTCCCCCTTTTTTTAATCTAAGTCGCTCTCATAGGTAGTTAATTGTAGAAACTGCCGGGTTTCGGGGTTAATCAGGGCTGGGTTTGTACATTTTACTTGTCAAAATAAGTATACTTAGATAAGGAAGCTATTCGTAGAGGATTCGAAGTCCTCATCAGATGTTATAGCCCGGTATAGATGGTAGGTTAGTTGGTGGTTTAAGATAAGGTGACATACTAGATATGACAAATTGCTTGATTATCTGTTATTGCTTCAAATCCCCTTCGACAATAGCGTTAAGTACTCGAGTTCCGACTTGCTTCTCTTGATGCATACCGTACGATGCCATGTATTAGGCTCGTCTCTTAGCAAGAATAAACCTATCGTTAATTTTAGGTTTATACGACCATCTCTTAAATACGTCAAGAGTAATGCGCTACTAGCCCAAGAGAAGCCAGCCATACATTCGGTATCTTAATAATAGACCTGAAGAAAAACTCGCTTTTAGCATTCTTAGAGCCATTACTTAACTCTACGTAAGTAACCCTTAAATTCGACTACCGGAGATTGAATGGTATATTGGCACACTAAGCTTACACTCAACTCCTTTATCTAGCTCTTTATGATCCATTTTCTAGGATTCCAGTTGGCACATCTTGTGGTGAAATATCCGCTTTTTATTACACAGCTAATAGCAGGCTAAAAAAGAAGAGTTCGATACCAACGTAAATGATGACTCTTCCCCTGATTATTCGGGATGCTTCCCTAATTTATAGCAAATACCGCATTCTTATCGGGACGAAGTAGGTGTTTCTTATGTCTCCAAGACAAAGCCTGATCTAATCAAACGGCATGAAACCTTTTAGTATGAGACCACATTGCCAAAAAAAGCCATTCCTGCCACTAATCTTCTTCACCCTCAGCATCCTGGTCCTCGTCCTCGTCTTCCACCTGCTGTGTGGATCGGCCGTTGGATTCCCTGTGCTCCGCATCTCCATGTCCGCTCTGCCCGCCCTCTCCTTCCTCACCTTCTCCTTCATCTTCTCTGCCGTACGGGTGATCTCTATACAAGCTCATCCACGCCCTGATGTCGTCGCTGGGATCCTCGACTACGACGTCTAGTTGGTCTACGTTGCGTTCCTCAATGTTCAAGTCCGCCGGTACGAGTCCTATCGTGCGGGCGATGTTCTTGTTGCGTTGGGGTTTAATAACGCTGCGTTGCATGACCGGGTAGTAAAATGCTGCCTTCTGGTCGATCGCCTCATCATCGTTAAATGCCAGCACCACCTCCTCATCATACTTGGTTTGATTGTTGAGCTCGAGTTCCTGCGCCGTTTCATACGTTCGTACACGTGGGAATAAGAAGTTGGGTTTACCGTTGCTTTTGTGCGTGTAGAGACTGTCATCGTCGTGGTCCGGGTTCTCGATGTCAAACTTCTGCCGGAATCGCTCAGATGCGTCCAAGTTATCATTAAGGAAGAAATCGTAGTCCATCAAGTTCTGTGGCTTGGGGACGTGCTGTGGATCCCGCTCGTGGGCCTGCATGGCCATCGCGAAAGCAGCCTCCTCAGCTTCGGTCTTACTAATAGGCTTGAGGATTCCGTTGAGGAGACGCTTGTCGTATACACGGGTCGCGGGGAGAGGATTATGGGTGAACTTGAATGTGACATAGGCACCAGAGTCTGGGAAGGCCTCGAGATCGGGAACTAAGGGGTAGGCATCAACCAGCTTAAGGTTCCTCTTCGAAGGATGTTTGACCCTGCTCTTATCCTTCAGGTTCGCAGCTGCTATGGCAAAGCCCTGATCTATCTTCTTTTTGATGTGTGCTGGAGAGTCAACATCTCGTTCGGGAGAGGGTCGCTTCAAGGGGCGCTTAGGAGCTGGGTTGTTGCTGCGTAAAGCTCCACCATCATGACGCTTGGTGGTGACAGAAGAGATATACTCAGTACGTCGGAGGAATGATACGTTGGCTTCGGCAAGCTTGGGATGACCTAAGCTACCGGGGCCTCTGAGAAGAGCTCGATCGTGGGGATGGATTTGTGGTGGTTGAGTAGGAGCTTGGATAGCTGTATCTAGTTAGTGACGAAACTATCGCAGCTCTATAGTTTTGCATACAGCTTTCATCGCCATCAAATATGCCTGGCATTCCAATCAGGTCCAATGGCATGCCCAGTTCTGCATCAGCTTCGATATTCAGTGGCTGCTCCCTGGCTAGCCTCGAGGCGAAACCGGGGGTTGTGTATTGGCCGCTTGCGAGGCCAGTGTTAGGTATATCGAGAAGCTTTGGCGGATTGGGAGGAGGTGGTAGCGCATTAGAGAATCGGATTCTTGCGATAAAATCCTGGTGAACAGAGCGGTGCTCACCGCTGCGCGACGAGGAAGCCATCTTGATGATGGCTTAAGGATAGATAAAACAGAGATTGGAAACAAAGAATCGGCGATGGGAATAAAGTCTTCAATGATAACCTTTAAAAATCACAGTATCTAAAGCTGTGCTTAATAAGATATCTGGACAAGGTATAATTGAGAGAAGTAAGATGTTAAATTGAACGTCGTGATCGCAAGTTAAAGTTATCTAACCTAAGGTTAATGTTTAATGTTCTGCGCGTCGCGATGAGGTGGATACTTCCCCAAAGTTTATCAGTCGCAAAAAAATGTTGTCAGCTGTAATTTGGAACTGCTGCCCGAGCTTTATCTTTATCGTTATCGCAAACCTGCCTCTTGTACTGTCTACGTCCTCAACATGATAACATGATAACATGATAATCAATAGAGAAAGGTTACTTAACTAATGGACCAAGCATCACAATTTTATAAATGTTTTTTTAATACCACGGTTAATACCACAGATGCCCCAACTCACTTTTAAGGATGATTATTATTCTTCTTCAGTACAATGTCTAATAATGATGATCCGGAAGAGTCAAACCTGCGCCGGGTCCGCTTCCATGCTATCCTCATTCCTCGTTCTGCCTCCTAAGGCCAACCGGCATTAATTTGGACGCTCACAACATTACTCCGTACCTCAGAACCCCAGCTCCTGTATGCCTCGATACAAAAAGCCTGTGTCGTAATTTGTACAAGTCAAACCCTAGCGTACACCACCTCGATAAAGGTAGACTTCATTAAAATGTACCGAAACTGTCTACACTTTTAGTCTAGACCCTTCCAGTAGCCTTTCCCAGTGCTGCCCTGATTAATCCCGGCATGATCAAATTATCCTCGTAAACAAAGGTATGCTTATGAAGTACTGGTCTTACCGTACTTCGCCTTGCCGAATGAGAATGGAACATATCGGTACTTAATCATATGCTGGATTTGCTTGCGCACTGGAGGCAAAGTTAGCAACTCTGATTCATCCACATGTTAATAACCATTGTAACTTACTAGTAAGGACGAAGAGGATGATCCAATACATAACCAACACAGGCCAGAAGACGGGAACATCGAAGATCTCGAACCAACTGCACGTGAAAGCGATAGTCACAGCACGGGTGGCCTCATGCCAGAACTTAAACTCGGGCAGTCGTCGAATGAATGGTCGGAATTCCTCGTCCTGCTTTGTGGGCAGGCCACCAGCTGATCCATCTTCCATCTCATTGTCTAGGAGCTCGTTGGAAGGGTCGAACTTGGGCTGGAGGAAAGCCAAGAAAAGATTAAGAAGGTAAATACCGAGAGCATATGCCACTGGAAATAATTAGCTATGTCTAGGTGCTTATCGCTATAGAAAGTCTTCCTTACCGATGTACCAGCCTTGTGCGAAGACGATACGAAGAAAGAAGATGCCTAGAAATGCACCTGTGCCAATCCATCGTTGCAGGACAAATGGCGTTGATCGATCTAATAGGGCTTGATATTGCTATGCACTGTTAGAAAAGCTTCTACTAGTTTATGGTTATCGGCGCAAACACATACCCTCTGGAGCTTAGAAGTCTGGGCCGTAACGGCTGCGAAAGGGGTCTGATCGGACTCGACGCTCTCCATGATGGATGATGCGATAATGCGATTATTATTTTCTCCGAACGGGAATAATTTGGATTATGTTAAATTCGAGTTGAATATCCCGTAAAATAGTTTTAATAAGGTAAGTGCGATGGTGAAGAGAAATTGGTGAGGCCGGAATGAGTATAGAAGATTGATTGTCTTAGATGTATGTAGGTAGCAATTTGCACGTCGCGACTTTTCGCTTGCTTGCGACGCCAGGGAAGCCAACAATCTGGCCAGCTAATTAAAACTTTAGAAGCCACATACACAGCCACCAAACTATAATTGGGTCTGTTTTAATTGGTGTCTGGGCAAGCTAGCAAGCTGCTAGGTTACGTGTGATGCAATGATGCACGGGCAGGCCTTTAATTTCCCCTTTAGTTGCACATAACTTGATACAAGACCTCGGGATATTCTAGTACTTTGTAGCGGGGTTTTGCTTATTCAGCTAGGTACGGCTCAATATCCTCGGCCAGCTTCGGCTTCATGAGCTCATACGTAAGAGAAACTGTACTTTGATTGTTTAAGCTTGAGCTTCACATAAACTCAACATTATCTTATTTGAGACGTGAATGATCTCTTATTTACTACGTTGTGAATTACACGCATTATAAATCAATCAATCAATCAATTACCAACTCACTCTATTCAATTGGACCCGTGCAATTCCATTGAAAGGATCAGAGTAGTTACGATTCATTAGCTTCCAAACCATGAACACATTCCGAACTTTGAGGCCATTAGCTTCACGGATCCAACCCTATACACTCCCTAGGACAGTCCGCCAGTTCTCCACCACGGCAAATATGTCTTATGAGTATTTACTAGTATCGGAGCCTAAGCCGGGTGTTGGCCAAGGTGAGAAGATGACATTTTCCATTATGGCTGTTGATTAACCCGGACACCTCAACCAGTCACCCTAAATAGACCCAAGGCCCTCAATGCCTTATCTACACCTCTCATCAACGAGCTCAATCAGGCTCTAGGGGAGTTCAACTCGTCGGATAATATCTCAGCTATTATTCTGACAGGGTCTGAAAAGGCCTTCGCCGCCGGTGCGGATATTAAGGAGATGGCACCTCTTACATTCTCCGAGGCGTACACCAAGAGTTTTATCGAGTCATGGTCCCAACTCACGACGCAAGTAAAGAAGCCCATAATTGCAGCCGTGTCCGGACACGCCCTTGGCGGTGGATGTGAGCTTGCCATGATGTGCGACATCTTATACTGTACGGAGACGGCCAACTTCGGCCAGCCTGAGATCAAGCTGGGCACTATCCCGGGCGCCGGTGGGAGCCAGCGGCTGACGCGGGCCATCGGCAAATCACGCGCCATGGAGGCAATCCTAACAGGCAACTCGATTTCGGGAGTTAACGCGGCACAATGGGGGCTCGCTGCCAGGGCTTTCCCCAGCTACGAGGCGCTGATGGAGGGCGCGCTGAAGACGGCCGAGACCATCGCGAGTTACTCCAAGGTAGCGGTTATCGCGGCCAAGGAGGCAGTTAACAAGAGCCAGGACCTACCGCTGCGGGACGGCGTTGAGTACGAGAGGCGCGTGTTCCACTCGCTCTTTGGCAGTCAGGACCAGAAGATTGGCATGAAGGCTTTTGCGGAGAAGAAGAAGCCAGAATGGAAGCACGAGTAGTGGATATCGTATTTATGACACGGTATGACGGTATGGGGGAAATGTATGAAGCACTTAATTACATCCGTCCCCGTCTCAGATTTGGGAGACGTAGAATTTATCCATGATACCTTGTATGACTGCTTGCTCATCAGAATCCAAGATTCCGAATACCTCGTATTGCGTCTTTGAAAGAAACCCGTTTTCTCCCCGTAGAATTAAGAATAAATGTTAATATACACATATCTCAATATATAGGATATACGTAGGCGTTCGTATTAATATATTGTATACAATGTACCTATGCAAGTACATGGACATGTCTATGCGGGCCGAGACCGTCTACGGAATAGCCACGGCTACGCTCAGACTCAGATGGCGGGGTCGATACATGGGTTTGGGTTGTCGGATAGGGCTGACCGGGGACTTGGATCTAGGCCTCATTAGCGCAGCCGTATTTATACAGGTAGTTATGCGCAGAAAACAGATCGTGAAACGGAGTGCATAAGTCAAGCTGCTGTGAGTACATGTTATGTAGCTCTTGAGTTGTTATTTCAAAAGCGCACCTTGAGACTTCACACAATATATAAACCACCTACTCGGAAACTTGCCAATTCCCTTCTATCTCAGGTATTCTTCTATATAGATTGATCTTTGTACAAGCCAAGTCAACATAAGGATAAACATTTAGTCTTGCTTATCATTTACCACAGTAGAATTTACATGAGAAGCTAACAGGGAGGGTTATTCATAAGATGCTCCAACCCAGACTTTAAAAATGATTAAACCTTCGGAGAAGATATAGGTTGAAATTGTAAGTGTATTGGCCATTCTTGCAAATAGTAGTTTTTATATATAGTAATATTTATCACGATATCATAGGACTTGAGTGTCACTCTTACAGTGTAAGCAATTATAGAGGATAAGTATACTACTTGATATGTCCATGATAGCCCATATACTCTTAGTACATACTTAGAGTATAGACTCGTAAAGACTAATAATGGTTGCTCTTAAGACTAATCTCAAGCTCAAGTAAAGAAAATACAACAAAGTTTCTAAAGGATCATGTGTGATTATCAAGGTTCATCCGGATAAATTCCATGTTTTAGCTTTGCAGCTTGTGATCACTCCAAGTTATGTCATTGGGCTAACTACAACATGCTTTTGAGGTGTCACAAGAAACTCTAGGTATGATTTATACGGAGAATAAACGTGGTATTAATAAAATTATGCAGTCTAACTTGTTCTGTATATATTGCATTAAATCAATGATCTACAATGCAATGTACCTAATATCTTTCTCCATCTTTTAAATCTTCAACTCTATTTCTTACATATACATATATGTCTTCACTGCTGACTTAGTGGCGCAGACAATCGTATATGTATGTAAATGAGAGAAAGCTAACTATAGCTCTGACATAATTCTAAACGTTCTCCTCAGTTACCGTTTCTTTGTAAGGTCAATGAGCCCTGCGGTCAGATGTATCGGATGCGAAGCTACTAGCCATGCAGTTTGATTCTAATGGTGGCGCGGGACTCGATACGAAGTACTTGGACTCGGCGGTACAGGGGCATTTCAGGTGTCCCCCACCACCATCAACTCTCGCGTTAACCGCCCTTGTATAAAGAAAACTTGGGACTTTCAATATTTCCTAGTAATAAAGTTGACAAAGACGCGATGACCTCTTCAAGGCCTGGTGTCGATTTGGAGAAGGAGTTGACCTGTTCGGTAAGTTTGCATCTTATTTCAAGTGGTGGAAGCTGGAATTCAAGGGAATTCAAGGGATACTAAACGGTTATCAGATCTGTACGGACATCCTCTACCAACCCTTAACCCTCCTCGACTGTCTGCACACCTTTTGCGGCTCCTGTCTAAAAGACTGGTTTTCATGGCAAAAAACAACGGCAGAAAATTCACCAAATCCTCCGTCGCCTGGCTCCCTAAAATTCACCTGCCCGTCTTGTCGCGCTCAAGTTCGGGATACCCGTCACAATGCTACCGTTACTACTTTGCTCGACATGTTCCTGGCCGCGAATCCGGACAAAGCTAAGCCGGACGACGAAAAAGAGGAAATGCGCAAGAAGTATAAGCCTGGGGATAATGTCTTACCGCAAATACGAATACCGCAGAAATCGCTCGAGGAGAGGCGGATAGAGGAGATGGAAAGGCAGATGCTGGAGCAGGCACGCCAGATGAGCTTGCAAGATGCTGGTGTTGGATCTGCGGAGGGATCTAGGACTAGGCGATATCATGGCCATAGCCGGTCCGAAGATGGGAGGAGTAGATCCGAATGGGACAATAGTCGCGAGACACGGCATCGAGATGCGCGTGATAGACCCCTGCGAGAAGAGGGACACAGGCGTCGGCATGACTCGAATGGCATGTTACAACCTGATTTACCCTCGGATGAACGGCGCCGCTATCGTAGTGAATCACAGCACCGTTCCCGTGATTCATCGAGGACTAGGAGGAGACAGGTTGAGCATCAAGCGTCGATAAGATCCCTGATTAGTTCGTCTGATGTGGACTTCCGTGATATAGAGAGGGAAATAGAAGAGTTTGCGCGGCAAATCCAGGAAGAAGGCCTTTTAGATGGATTGGATTTAGATAACATCGACCTGGCCCAGAATGACGAACTAAGCCGAAAGATCACCGAAGCATACCGACGGAGGCAGAGGGATCGAATTCGTACTCAACAACCTAGGAGAAGCGACCCGGTCATCACATCTCCTAGACCTGAGCCTCTGCAATCTTCTTTGCGGCCACCTCCGGCAGACACATCCCGACCTAGCAGCCGACCAAGATCAAGTTCAGCGCATAGTAGACCAGCTACGAGCCAAGGCCAAGTAGACGATCGCAGTCGACCCCCTGTTACGTCAACCCATCTAGAGGTTCGTGCAGATCCAGAAAGAAGGCGGCGGCGGAGGACTTCCAGCGACGCCAGAAGCGCAACAGATCCCGCACGGCCAAGAACAGCAGAGACAAGTCCAGCAGCAAGATCACAGACAGATCTAACTTTAAGGCCGCAGAGTACTGACCCATCGGCACGACGTCCTTCTGTCTCCGAATCGAGGAGCTCTAGTATGCCTATCACAAATGCGGTCGGACAGCCACCGGCGGGAGAAAGCTCTCGACCTAGAGATCTCTCTTTTAGCGCACGAACATCTGCTGCTCAGATCCCACGGACGCCCTCACCGGAACCTCATTCTGATGATTCTAGCATGGAACACCCAAAACGTGCACGACGGCCTTCAAGTCTCGTAGCTCCGCAATCCCCATTACCTAGCCTTGGACTCATACCATCGCCCTCACATCAAACACATCATCAACGAACGAGATCTCAATTTTACCAAGAACCATCAATCACGTGTGCGCGATGCAAACGGCAGCATATCGAATATGAACTTCACTATAACTGTTCAAGATGCGCCAACGGAACGTGGAATATCTGTTTGAGTTGTTATCGTTCTGGGAAAGGGTGTGAGCATTGGTTTGGTTTTGGATATGCAGCATTTAAGAATTGGCAAAGAGTTGTAGCAGACGGGAACGAGGGGCTCGAGCCGCCGCATATGTTGACCTCATGTCGATACAAGCAACCTAAGTATACGCCAGGCGGAGCGGACGGACGAAGAACGCTTACTACGGATGACCCGGCTAATCGTTTAGAAAGCGGTATGTTCTGCGTAAGATGCCTATCCCTGGCTAATGAGTGCTTCTGGCGCTGCGAATCTTGTAACGAAGGCGACTGGGGTTTCTGCAACAACTGCGTAAATACGGATAAGTGTTGCACGCACCCTCTTCTTCCATTGGCCTATGTTGCACCAGAGACAGGCTCTACTACTCCGCCGGTTAGTCCGCGGCTACCTAAACGTCCACGAGGTGCGACATTCTCATCGGGCCCTAACGCCGTGAGCCTTGGAAGTTTTAAGTCGCTTACCTTTACGACGACATGTGAGGTTTGCCATGGGCATATTCCACCTGCCGATCAGAGATATCATTGCTTTGAGTGTACTAGCAAGGACTTAACGGATGGGCAACCGGGTGACTACGATATATGCGAAGAATGTTATACCGGCTTGGTCCACGACAAACGCATATCGGACGAAAACGGTCACACGGGGTGGAGACGCTGTTTAGAAGGTCACAGGATGGCTATTCTTGGATTCATGGAGGGCTCTCTTGGACTAAGGCGTTGCATATCACGAGATATCGTTGGGGGAAGGAGTTTACGCACGGAGCCTTACGAGGGAACTGGTGTCCCGGACGACGAGCAATACCAGCCTAGAGGCGCGCGTATGCAAAAATGGAGTTGGAAAGGTTCGAACGGATCAAAGCTTGAGAGACTTGTAGCTGTAGATGTGGCAGCGACAGCACCCGCATTAGGCACGGAGTTGTTCCCTCCCTCCGGAGGTGCAGGTTCAAGGGCGGTTGCGAAGTGGTCTTGGTACCCGCAGGACGGCGTTACAGACGAGCTATTATTCCCCAAAGGAGCGGAAGTGAGAGAGGTAGAAGACGTGAACGGCGAGTGGCTATTCGGGAGCTACATGGGCGCCGAGGGATTATTTCCCTCACCATACGTACGGATTATTGAGTAGCGATGACCATGACAGTTACGATAACGATGTTGATGCTGCATCTTGGATGGACAATTTATTTGCATTTATCTATATGATATGCATGGACATATACCATGGGGCAAGATACCTTGATACGTAATATTATTGAATTTAGTACGGTCTCAAACTAGTTAGTTGGTATTCATAAATATTATGAAATGAGTAATTCAAATTATGATAAATTTGTGTTTTTGATGTTTTTTTTTTGGTTTTTGATTAGTCGTTGTGAACTTTTTATAAAATTGTATAGTTGTTAGGGGGTATGGGATAGGGGTTAGCTAATACGTACATGCATACCTCCCTCTCCCATAGACACATGGGCTAACCCGACAGCGGGAACCGGGATGACGTGATTACCTAGGAACCGGCTAGCTGGTACCCGAACCGCTACAATTGCCCCTCCAAAAATAATTTGTAGGACTGCAGGGTCCTTCGAATTGGAGTTTCCGATCTTTATTAATTTCCTACCTTATTTTTTACTGTTCGCCGCTAGTTTTCAGACGTGTCTTAAAATCTTTTTTTTTTAGCGACGAAGAGGAAAACATAAAGGTAGTAAAAGTAACCTAAATTAAATACAATGTTCCGACACGGCGTGCGAACAATAACGACCACGGCGCGTAGAGCCGCGGCCGTCGCACCGGCTGCCGCGAAGTCTCCGAGTCCGTACACAATCGCGGTTTCGAAGGCTCAAGGTATCGCAAAGGGATTAACTGGTGGTACGGATCTCTCCTCTTCCCGTCTAGCCGCGCAAGCAAACTTCGGGATGGTGCATATATATATGTAATATGTATGTGTATATGTAAAATGTAAACCAAGCTAACGGAACCCGTGTTCCCCCCTCCTTGCAGCAATCGGTAACACGCCGCTCATCCGCATGAACAAGCTCTCGGAACAGACGGGCTGCGAAGTGCTCGGAAAGGCGGAATTCATGAACCCGGGTGGCTCGGTCAAGGACCGCGCGGCGCTATACGTAGTCTTGGACGCGGAGGAGCGCGGCCTACTAAAGCCCGGGGGCACGGTGGTGGAGGGCACGGCGGGCAACACGGGCATCGGCCTGGCGCACGTGTGCCGCTCCCGCGGCTACAAGCTCGTCATCTACATGCCCAACACGCAGTCCCAGGGCAAGATCGACCTGCTCCGCCTCCTCGGCGCAGAGGTCTACCCCGTCCCCGCCGTCGCCTTCGACAACCCCGACAACTACAACCACCAGGCCCGCCGCCACGCCGAGCGCTTGGACAACGCCGTCTGGACGAACCAGTTCGACAACACCGCCAACCGCCGCGCGCATATAGAGACGACCGGCCCTGAGATCTGGGCGCAGACGGCCGGCAAGATCGACGCGTTTACGTGTGCTACGGGGACCGCGGGCACGCTTGCGGGCGTCACGCGCTACCTGAAGGACGTCTCGGGCGGCCGCGTGAAGGCGTACCTAGCGGACCCGCCGGGCAGCGTGCTGCACTCGTACATCCAGTCCGGGGGCAAGCTCGTGGAGCGGACGGGGAGCAGCATCACGGAGGGGATCGGACAGGGGCGCATCACGGACAACCTAGCGCCGGACGTGGCGCTGCTAGACGGCAGCGTGCACATCGCGGACGAGAAGAGCGTCGCCATGGTGTACAGCGCCCTGGACGACGAGGGCCTGTACTTGGGCGCCAGCAGCGCGCTGAACGTCGTTGCCGCCAAGGAGGTCGCCGAGCTGCTCGGCCCGGGACATACCGTCGTCACCATGCTGTGCGATGGCGCCTATCGCTATGCCGATCGCTTGTTCTCTAGGAAGTGGCTCGAGAGCAAGAAGCTCCTGGGCGCGATACCAAAGCATTTGGAGAAGTATATCGTGCTGCCGTAGGTTGCCTAGGTAGGTACTTAACCTAGATGTATATGGCTAGAAAGGGGTTGGAGGAGAAGAGCAGAGGAAAAGGAAAAAAAAAAAATAGGTACATATAGGGGAAGCGGCGTTTTAGAGATGAATGAATGAATGCATGCATGCATATATAAGCGAGATGTTTGATCGAATAAGGGCTACTTGGTATTGATCAGGTTGTATATATGTACAAGTACAATTGCGGCAGCAGTGGCGGTGGTGGTAGTAGTATTATACACATTTGATCTGATCTGATCAATTCTGAATCTACAATAACTTCTGTACAAAGCCAGGCTAATTCTTTTGATTTATTTATTTTTTCTTCTTCTATTCTTTTCACGCAGCATTATCGTATAATTTCCGATACACCGCCTCCCCCCTCTTCTCGCCCGCACCCGCGCGCGCTTCTTGAACCTCAGCAGCGAGAACGTCCCTACGGGATCGGAGCTGCGCTGCGAGCTCCGCGTTACCGCTTTCGAGGACCTCGACGGCTATATCGAGACCCCGTAGTAGAGGCGCGGTTATGACGAGGAACTTGTTTGGTTCCTTTAGATACCCCATCTTGTCGTATTCTTCGTATAGTGCCTGCGGCTGCACCTCGGAGAGCTTCTTGCCTTCAGGCCATAGTCTAACCACGTCCCGCGCGTGCTTGACCAGCTTGTCGACTACAGCTTCGCTGACCTCGTCGCCTTGCTTCGACACCAGCGCCGCGGCGAGATGGAGCGGCGCAAGGAGGACCATGGGGTCCCTGTGTAGCGGCAGTTCTCCCTCGACCACCGGGTCGGTCTTCAGACGCTTCGGCTGATGCGCCTCCAGCTGCAGCAGCTCCAGCACTACCTCGGCCCATCGTAGAGCCTGCGCCGTCTCTCCCACTGGGTTTTCGCTCGCGTTGACAGCCTTCATCACGACGAAATGCATGACCTCGTTGACCTTCTCGCTCGAATCGAGACGGAACCCCGTCCGCGCCACCCCGCGCGCCAGTTCGATGACTTCGAAGACGCGGCCCTTGGCGCCGAGCACGCGCACTAGCTTGCAGTAGAAGCCCTGGTCGAAGTGGCGATGCGCATACGCAACACCCTCGACTAGAGGGCGCAGGTTGGCGAAGTCGTCGGGGGTGTCGAAGAGGGCGATGGCGTTGAGGACGGAGCGCCGCGTCTGCGGGATGTCTTTGAAGGGGTTCTGGTATCGGAATTTCAGAACCTCGCCGTCGATCTCGATGATGATGGGGTCCGATTGGAGCTTCTTCTCGTATTTTGGCGAGAAAATCTTCTTGCGCTGATCCGTCGGTAGGTATGCCGGGAGGATGATCTTGTGCCGGATCGTGCTGAGGAGTTCGTCGAGCTCGGAGGAGGAGGTTTGTGTGAAGTGTGCGATACCGGCTAGGAAAGGTTAGATATATTTGGTTCTTATATATATATATAAATATATTTCGTATAGAGAGGAGAGAATAAAGAAAGAGGAATATAAGTACCATTTCGTTGAGAGGAAGACGAGAAGGTCCGCCGTGTAGATCCGGTTATCCTCCTCGTAGTAGATTCCCAAGCTGCATTGCTCGCGCACAATGTGCTCAGCGTCGAATGTCTCGACATATCTCCAACCTTACTTCTTAACCACTAACTATAACTACCACATTCAATTCTCACTTTGTTATGTTATTGTTGTAATTTTTCGTTCCGCATATTATTAACTATCAAAAGTCCCCCCGCGGTTGAGCTTCGGAGCTTAGATAAACTTATTCCAATGGACCTAACTAAAAATTTCCAATGCCCGGCCGCCGGCAGCTTGCTGCGTGCCAAGACACCGACGCCGCAATAATTTTCCTCCACCCGATTATCGATAAGCACCCGTCGGGATCTTCAAGACGGGACCCACAACTTTCAAGTTCCATGCGTCTTGCAGCTTTCAAACGAGGCCCTCTTCCAATCCGTAGAGGAAAAAAGTCCGGTGTAGAGAGCCTCCATACGACAACAATGATCACCCAATCTGCGCGGCGGCCGCTGTGCAGCTGGAAGGCCGTCCTACGACGTACCCGCCAGCAACGGCAACAGCAGATGCCACAACTATTCCGCGCAATGGCTACCGAAACAACTCCCACAGCCTCTGCTTCTACACTACCACCACCACCTCCTCCTCCTCCTTCGGCCGCCGTAAAACCCACGCTTCGTACGTCTTTCCTCCGTCCTCTTCCCACCAAACTCTCAACCAAAGCACAACCAATTTAACCAACTAACCAATCTCTCTCTCCTTCCTCTAGACGTCCGAAAATCCAACCTCCCCCACAAACCCATCCGCACCGCCTTCGCAGTCTACCCACGGGTACCCTCAGCCCGTAAATCGCACCCCGCGCCGCTAGACTCGTACCACGCGCAGCAAATCCGCCGTCTAGACCACACGGGGGCGCGCCGAGCGCTATTCTCCAAGACGAACCCTGACGCGGCGAAGCCGGGCGACGTGCTGCAAGTGACGACGCGGCGCGGGGGCGGGGAGCCCTTCGCGGGCGTGTGTCTGTCGATCCGACGCGCGGGCGTCGACACCGCCATCCTGCTGCGCAACCACCTGAGCAAGGTGCCCGTCGAGCTCTGGTTCAAGATCTACTCCCCCAACATCACCGGCATCGAGATCGTCTGGCGCCGTCCCAAGCGCGCCCGCCGCGCCAGGCTCACCTACATGCGCAAGCCTAAGCACGACATGGGCAATGTCGATCACCTGGTTGCTGCCTGGCGGCGCACGAGGAATGTGTTTACGACCAAGGGGCGGGGTAAGGGGAAGAGTGCTAGCGCGGCTGGTGCGAAGCGGTAGGATAGGTGGGTGCGTACCTACGTTGAGGGAGAGAGGCTGTAGAGGTAGATTTATGGCAGAGGATAAAAGCAAGAGAAATATAGCAACTCGCTTTTCACTTGATATCGGTCTTGAACTACTGGAAGGGCAGGGCAAGAAAGTACAAGGAATTGAGAGTTGTATTAGAATCTGCGTGTACAAAAATACGTAGCTATTCGGTAGACGTCCAACATATAAATATTACATACCTATCATCATTCAAAGTTTACGTTTCAACATACTTAAAAATCACTTAGACACCTATACCTGACCTTTCAAGTCTCTCATAATTAAATACAATCAAGAACATACTACCTCTATTACAAATCATCCCACAATTTTCACGAATGGTACTATTTTCTGATCTGATATTTATTTATTAAGAGACGACTGTATAAAGAAATCATCTCACATATAAGTTCTGATTTGTACACTAAGTTACATGCTCCGACTCAAATAAATATGTGAAGGGAACACTGATTCCTTCTCCTAGCAGATAGGAAAAAAAAAAGACAGCAGATGCTTCCTCCCTAGGATACCATGGCTCCTATGAACCTTCTTGAGAGTTCATGTAATCCAAACGCCGTGTCTGAGACAAACGCCAACCAAGAGAAATCAATATTGCCTCCATCTAGTATCTAATAACGTTTCTATTCTAGGCCTGAGCCTCCGTCTCTATCGTCATCTGTGCAAATACTTGTTCTAGTCTAGTTTGCCTCGTTGGTTTCTGTATTCGGCCGATATTGGGAAAATAAGGCGAGTATCTAAGTCATCCTGTACTCCCAAGGTACCAGTTTACTCTCGTGCCTCGCTGCCACCAAGGATTGCGAAATACCGGCAAGATTCCAGCCTGCTCTATATCGTTATTGCGGATTGGTATCGGTTGCGAAGACGCTCGTACTGGTTCATCACCCATAGGCCCTTTTGACACCGGGGACTCTCCCCATCCCGCCGTACCTTTCCTCCCCTAATGATCAAAGGTTGGCTGTGTATCAGCTCTCTTTCTACGTCTCGGAATCGGTTCGTTCGTATCACCGTTTTCGCCCTTCCCTGGATCCGTGATATGCTTCCTTAATGTATCCATCGCGTCAAATCCAATCGGGCCATCCGATTTCCCCATTGAATGTCGAGCCGGGTAAGTCGGACCGGGGTGTAAAAGACCCGTGATAATGTTTCTCCTATCTGCGCTGCGGCTACGGCCTCGCGTCGGACTTGCAGGCCGGTGGTGGGAGTGCTGCCCAATGGACATTGCGGAATGACGACGTTGTAGCCTTACTTCAGCTTCTTCGGCCTCCTTACGGTTGAGATGCTCACTGGGTAGAAGGACGGCTCGGTCAAGTCCGTAGGGTAAACCACGATGGCGGCCACGAATCTGCATAGCGATAACGACGAGTTTGCCAAGGACAGTGAACTGAGAACACAGTGAGGCGTTGATACCCGTGTATCCCAAGCTGAGTCCAACCGTGCCATATGCGCTCACAATCTCGAAGAGTACAGCAAACATAGAGAAATCTCCAGCCATAAGCTTTGGGCCTTCGGTGATAGTGAGAATAAAATAACCGACGAATATGTACCACAAGTCAAAAGAGAGCTGGCGCCGTAAATGGGTTCCAACATATGATATGCTGCTCTGTCCAGTGTCGTCGTCGTCATAACCTGTACTGTAAACTCCAAGAGACTTCTCCTCGTAAACGTTCGTCCTACGAATCGAGATAGCGACGGGGAAGACGGAAATATACATCATGATGAGGTATGACGTTTGGACGGCTGGGTGAAGAGCGGCCAGATTCACACAGGAGAATCCTGCGGTTCTAGTAGCTGTGGCTTGGAACCATCCATCAAGGAAGCGGATATTTAGTGGCAGTCCGGTGACCGCTTCACCATGTAGCTAATTAAACATTAGTAACGGGCAGCGCTGGAGGTCTACTATTGGATACTTACATCGAGGATTATGAACAAAATCAAGTCCACTCCGTTAAGAGCGACCAAGATAAAGAATAGCCACCAATTAGCATTTGACGGAAACAAGAGCGTGAAACATCGTCGCGGGTGGTCTAAGAGAAACCTCAACTCCTCCCAGAGACCAGACCCGCGGGGTACAAAGAGAGAAAATAGCCAGATCATGAAACGAAGCATGATAGGGAATCCAGTGTTTCCGAGTATAATCAAGAATGACATTACGAGGAGCGGAAAGATGGCCGTGTTAAACGAGTTCATGCTGTCGGGAGTAAGCGTCAAGCCAAGATCCATGAACGCTGAGTTTGCCGTGAAGAAGCCCCACCATACCCTGCTCTGGCCGGCTTCGTCAATGATCTTGCCATAGTAGTCATTGTTGTGAACTATCCATGGAACTAAAGTGATTATGCCGAAGATGGTGTAACCAAAGAAGTAGATCGTGAGGACAAGGGCAAGCGTTTTTAGAGATCGATATTCGATGCCACCTAACTCCTCTCTCTGCTCTTCCGAGAGTCCCAGGAAGGCAGAATTTCGACCTAGGGTCGGTTGCCAACTCAGATATGGCATAGGATCCTCATCCTTACCCTGTGTTAGGACGGACTTGATGCGGTGCAGAGGGTTGATCCGAGAAGTCGACGCAGTAGTCTCAGTATGATGTAATTTTTCCCCATCTTTCCTAGGCATCCGGGGTTTCAAAGCACCAATCGTGTGAGCAGCTGCCTCAACATCCTCTGCTATCTCCTCCGGAAAATCGTGCTCTTCTCTGTGTGGTTTTATTGGCTCTTCAATGGTAATCGTTGGTTGGCGATCTGCACGAGCTGCGGGATGCAAGGGCGACGTTGGTCGGAGGGGACCTTCGACACTTGATTCTCTTCGTCTACGGCCCGAAAGACCAGGACCTTCAGGCCCTTCTTCATCTACTTCTTCTGGTAGCGCACCTCTATCGGCGTCACGCGGCCCGGGAATTCTAAGCGCACTCTTATCTATTTTGCGCTGTCGTTCCACAATGGCGATATGTTCCGCATCGGTCCGCTTAGGAGGTAGTGGGACTTCCTCGTCATCCGAATCATCACTCCTCTTGACCTGGTCTGAAAATTTGATTTGTGTAGGAGGCCGCTGAAAGGATTGGTCCTGATCTGTAGGATCAGATTCGTCCCTAGCACGAAACCCATTCGCGAACGGCTCATGTTTTGTAGCCCCCTCGATGGTGTAATTTTCTAGTACAATGCCGTCGTTAGTTATTCGAGATGCCTTGGCGGTATTGTGCATCACGGTAATATTCCGGCCATTGACGCCCTTCTCCAAATCTACAGGATTTGTTTTCGCCTTTGACCGTGATTTGGCCATAGAAACTCGTCGCGTCCGGGCTTCTGTTGCAATATGCTGGAATCTCTTCTCGAACCAATAGAGACGCAAGAAGACAACAGAGGAGTGAATGCTAATTGGATTAGACATCATAGAGAGGAAGTAAATCACCAGCTGCTGAAAAGTGTTGAGCAAGTTGGCATCAAGAGTATTCAGACCTGCTTGAGTGTTTGCACCGCTAGCAAAAAAGAGAGCATCAATATATGCCAATTGACCTCGAGCAGATGCATAAATCAAGATGGATCCAATGATAGTCAATCCGATAATCCAGAAATCTAGAAAATATTAGCTCAATATCTTGTTACTTTATTAGATGAATAGGACTTACAATGGACCGTAATAAAGTTAAAGTGTGGATTCCTAGACAAGAAGGACGGACGAAGTGCCTGGACAATATCCAAGAAACGCTGACGAGCTCTCGCCATGATGACTAGATTAGAGTGCTATACACCTAAAAGTGAGACTTGCTTTTCGATGCTTAAAGCAACAGGGAAAGCCGATGTTATAAAGCCACCGAGTCGAAGACCTGGCCTGTGAGGTCGTTGATGAGATCGCGGGTGCCAAACATAATGGTTATTGCTCGTTCCGATACTATATAACGAGGTTAACTAAAGTGATATGCCGGAAGGCGTTGAGGAATTATGTGGGTCAGACCAGACATTGTACGGTCGAGAACGATGTCCATTGAAATAAAACAGGTTGGTGGAAGGTGAGATGAGATGTTAAAAAGAGAGGGAGTTAGAAAGTGAAGAAGTACCAAGTCTGAATAAGTAAGTAATAACTTGCAATAGCTTGGTACAAACTTCTACACAAAGGGGGGCTAAGACAACAACAAAAAGGGAACAATAAAATAAAATATTCGGCAATGGACTGATGTGTATGATGCAAGGGTGGAAACACGACCAGACGAAATTGAAAATTTAAAAGTTTGTAGGTATTGACTGTGGTAACTTTAAGGAAAATCATTCGACTTACTTGCTTCAGATCACCTGTCATAGTCTCGAGTGATTGGTAATGCGCGAAGGGATATTGAGATGTTGTTGTTCTAGACGAAGTCTTGTTTTAGGTGGTGGTTGTTTAATGTTGAAGTTGGAGATGGCGGAGGATCAAAGAAATCTTATCCACCTTGGACCCGGGTACGTCCACTCGTATATTATCGAAAATCTACCTAGGTAATGTAGAAGGTAGTGACGGAGGAAAACGAATGAGGCGATGACTTCCGCTGAATCACGAATTGAATTGTTTAGGTACAGTATGTAACTAAGTGGATCTAGTTAAGAACGTCAAATCTTGATAACGCATCTTGGCACTCAGCCTGACTCTATTATGTATGCTGCTTCCCGTGCTTCCACTTTACTTTTTTTTCTCACGTCTTAATTGTGAATATAAAAGGGGGCTTACATTGGCTGACAACTCGTACTTTAGGGGTGAGGATAGAGAAAGTGCCAAGACCGATAACAGACTGGCTTCAAATTTTTTTTCTATGTATCAAAGATTGCTTTTTTATCCCTTAGGTAGTTAGACAGAGAAAAAGACGGGATACCCTAGTTTTCCATGTCATAACATGCATATGTACATGCATGCATGTATTGTCCAATGTGAAGGTATATATATCTCTTCATAATGGACTAACTACATGTTTTGAATCAAGCACAAACCACCATCTTCTACTCTATTTAGGTTAGCAGGGTTAGCAGGGTTAGAACGTACATGGTCTAACCGGCTAGCGGAAACACATCTAGCGCAAAGATTAAATATGCAGGACAGCCGGGGTAGAGCAAGGTTAAGGCCGGCAGTGGTGCTACGTGGTAGAAAAAAAGGCTAGAGTCTGGTATCTAAAGTGTAAACTCTGTAATGTAAGTCCTGTTGTTACCATGCCGCTTGTCAGCACCCGGCATCTGAATCATCTTAATCAATTCGTAAGCAATTGTTTGTATGATAGGTAGGTTCCGGAAGGTTCTAGACTCACATTCCTCTGTTAAGCACTGTAGAATCGCATACGTGGACCTTGGAGTATTATGTGACCTTCATCTGCGGAATTTGGAGATGTTCGAAAAGATCCGGAAGGTTTTACAGATTACGAGCGGTGCACTTGATTATATAGAACAGGGGGGACTATAATTGGCCGACAGCCATAATTCAACATGTGACTGCGTTGTATGGTGCTTAGGTGATGATGTCACACCCACCTATACTTTAACCATGTACTCAGGTACTATACGGATCCGTACCTAAAGTACAAAAATACCTATAAATGGATGTTATTGAACCCTTCAATATAATATATTATTTGCATGCATATCAAAAAGCTTATAGCATGATTAAAGGTAAAAAGGCGACGACATCAACACAACCTCGTAGATGTTACTATATTATCATACCTACCTAAGAGGGTAGAACGGATGGAGTTGATATTTCGGTTAACCCGTAGGTACATCGACAACGACAACGTTGATATTACAAGGAAAATATTGTAAATGTAACTCGAGTTAAGCCTCCCCTTATCCCTCAGCAAAATGCGACCCCAATCAAATCCCGTGAAAGTCAGCCCATGTCGTGCAGTGTCTTGAGCAAATTTTAAATAACTCCCGGTGCCACGCAATGTACGTGTGCTAGGTTGCATTTCATACGTAGCACTGCAGCCATGATCGTGGGATGGATGCATCTGTCCATTGCGCTGGGATCACTAAGCCACACCCGGATAAAGTACCTCCGTATTGAACCATATCGTCTATGGCGATACGCCTGTAGCATGAGTACTACCTGTAAACCAGCGGTGAAAACCATACTTGGGGTTTATTCATCTCCCGCATAGTCTCCGAAATACACTGGCGCCACTCCTTTTCTGCGCCCCCGATAGTATACACAGTATATTCACGCATCCTAACGCTGGGTTTTGAGCCTTTCCTTTTCCCTCGCCATCTTCTTGAAGAAGGCGTTACTCTTGGCTGGCTTCTTCTTGAGCCCCTTATTCGCGCCCTTCCTCTGTTCAATGTAGGCCATGTCCTTTCCACCGCTAAGATCATCAAGCCCACCAGCTGTACGTCTAACTCGGCCTCTCTTTCTTGAACCTGTCATATTAAACATATCATCCGTGTAATCATCCCTGTCTCTATCATCCGGCTTCTCTGTGTCGGTTACAATCTTCGCGAGAAGCTCACGACGCTCCTGAGGCGTTTTGAACACGAGCCCTTCCATCTTCTCCATTCCGGTAAGAGATGTAATGACTTTAAAGGAATATCCTTGATCTACAAGGAAAGCCTGTCTCTTGGTTGAGTAGTACATCTCGGGTGTATCCCTCGAGACTAATGAGTAGAAAAACGCATTAAATCCCTCGTCAGATCTCCGCTTTGCTCGGAGAATCCGGCCTAGCCGCTGTGCTTCCTGACGACGAGAACCGTAATGCGAGGATATCTGGATCAAACACGTAGCCTCTGGAAGGTCGAGAGATGTATCACCAATCTTCGATAGGAAGATAGTTTTGACGAGGGGGTTATGCATGAAATTCTCTAGCACTACCGTCCGCTCATTGTTCGATGTAGACCCACAGATGTAAGCTTTTCCGAGGGCTAAGGCGATCTGTTTGAGGGCGTATACATTGTCCGAAAAGACGATGATCTTGTCGCCTCGCCTCTCGTGATAATCAATGAGGAACTGGCAAGCCTGGATCTTTCGTGGGTTCATGACATATAAGTTTTGTTGGAGACTTCGATTTTTCTTTTGCCTGTTGAACTCGTCGAAAAATTCTGCCGTCATCGGGCACCAGACTTCGGCGCATTGAACTTTAGCTATGTGGCCTTGCTCCGACAGCTCCATCCAATTCGCCTCGTACAGCTTCGGCCCAATAAGGAAGTTCAAATCTGAAATCTTATCGTCCTCTCGAAGTAGCGTAGCAGTTAATCCGAGCTTTGCGTGGCTCTTGATCGAGTGCGAGACCTTCCGGAAGATATTAGCAGGCACGACGTGAACCTCGTCGAGCAACATCAGACCCCACTCCCGACTAGTTAAGAAATCCATCATCTTCTGTGAATCATGAGCCCGCTTCTTCCCCGAGTTTGTCACCATGGGATATGTTGTAACGATAATACCAGTATTCCCAGGGAACCTTTGTTTATGATCCGAAGTAAATAAGGCAATATCATCGGGTCTGATATTGGACCATTTTAAGAATTCGTTCCGCCATTGATTAGCTGACATCGTGCTCGTGCAAAGGACGATGCAGCCCTTCTTGATCGTACAGGCAGCAGTGATTCCGACCAATGTCTTTCCGGCGCCACAAGGCAGGACGATGATACCACTTTTTGCTCGGCCGTTACCGAACATCTTGCTAAGGCTCTTCTCCTGATAACTCCGAATTTGTGTAGCCGGTCGTAAATCGATCTCGAGATTCGCATTTCGATCGTCGTTGCGGAAATCATACTCCTCCAACATAGGATATTGAATCTCCAAGGCACGTTTCTGGACGACTTCGATGGAAGTGTCGTAGATCTCGAAGGCATGCACGGCCTCCTGATTATCGTCATCATCATCTTCTCTTAGAGCATCGTAAGGATCTTGAGCTTGCGCCCCCTCGGTTGTCTCTGGTTGTGCCTTTTCGTCCTTTTTTAGTTGTGCTTGTTGTACTCCTGCAGCATTAGAGGTTCCGGGAATCACCAGGCCGCCCATAGAAGGGGCGCTGGTAACAGTTTCTGTTCCCTTAACGCGACAAGGTCCGATAACCGCGTCCTTTAGCAGTTTCTGTAGTACTTCCGGGTCCGTGCTTTCTACAAAATATTTCGTATCCTTGATGACTAGCTTCACTTTGCCATAACTTGATGCACAACTACTAATAAATTTCGTTATTGATTCTGGGACGGGTGTCTTTGAAAACCGTTCTAGGGTGTTGATGATGTCTCGGGGTTGCAGCCCAACTGATACAGCAGCGTATAAGCTATGACTAGTAAGAGCATACTCGTGGATAAAGGTCGGACGCGACAAAGGCTCGGCAACGGTAATGAGGAAGTCTTTTGCTTGATCGGCCAAGGGACTGAAATTTTCCAGGATTATTCGTCCTCGCTGGGGATCGATCCATATAGGACGACTCTTAAAATCGGGCTTTAAAGGCAGATATGAGAAATCCCGCTTTCCACCTCTAAAAAATCGGCTCGAAGTCCAATCTTCTTCGTGTACCGTAGTGCCTTGAAACGTAGCAAGGGAGAAACGATCTACGACCTTTTGTAGCTGCTCCTCATTTTCGACCGGCTCCTCCGGAGAATCTGAATCATCGTCGCTATCGATGGATCGAGGCGTCGAAGGACCGGGTGTCGAAGTAGTAGAGGCCTTTCCCGACTTAGCGGAGCCTGTAACGTCTTAAGAAGTTCAGCATGATGGATTTATGTAGTGGTAGTAAGCGAGGAGAGTTGGACATACTTCCTGAAGCCTTTCTTTTCACAGGCATCTTGACGGTAAATATGAACTTGAAAGGTGAGAAAACAGTCAAAGAAAGATCACTAAGGCAGGCGCGGAGAGGCAATGTAAAGGTGCATAACATGTAACCTTATGCGCTTAACTTCAATATTACGTAAACAAATATGTACGTATTATGTACCTAGGTAACCTTGGTATGCTATGGTTGTTATTTTGAACCAGTCGGAGAATTTCCAGTTTATGCCTGTAGGTGATCCTAGTAAAAATAGTGTAGATGTACGATGTGGAGACATGCAGTAACTAATGGAGTAAGTACCCACCGCCTTCCACCATTCTTTTGACCGCCTTCATTATTCAACTTTCTGCCGGTAAAAACTTGTGAATTAGCAAACTAGCAGAGAAGCTGCTATTGCAAGCGTTTAAGTTGGAAGGTATCAATCGTATATCGCAATTCGCACTTTATTCCTCTAATTATCCCGATAACCTCAATCTATATGCGCATGGGATCTTAGTAAACTTTGATTTATTCATCCCAACGCAGCTATTCGAATGTTCGATAAGCATCTATGCGTCTAAACACATAGCTTATTTGTTTTAAATTCTGATACTACACTTCGAGAATGGCGACTCATACTGCTATGGCCCAAGGCAGCGATGCCTCAATGCGAAACTCCTTAGAGCAACGTCTTGGTATCCTTCATTTTGTGTCAGAGAAGGAGCATAGATGGTATGGCCAAGTCCGTACAAGGTAAGGGACATATATATTAACCTGCATCGTCGTTATAACGTCTGTTCGCTTATTCGGTTCATTTCTAATTATTTTTCTTCAGATTCACTGATTTCCAAGTCCATGAGATCAATAAAAATGGTGAAGTGATTCATTTGCATGACTTTCAGACAAGTGCAAGGGAATTGGCAAAACCTGTGAGTCGGTTTTACCCTGCATAGTAACCCTTAAACTAAAACATCTAACTTCGATAGATTCCTGATCAACAAACAGCAAAGTTTCAGGCTTCCAAGCCATTAAATTCTGAAGAGGGTAAAAAACTCACAACTGGTACTGTTGATACCGTTGCCGCGAACGATACAGGATCTCAGCCATCAGCCAGTTCGGAGCAGCCAAAGGATGGAGAAAGTTCTACTACTATATCCGTATCCGATCAAACAGTTCTCATAGATCTCCTCGGCCAAAGCACCGCAGAAGGTTTAATTGACTTATATAGCAAGGTAAACGAAAATACGAAAGCACAACCTAAAGTCTCCAAATTTGTGACAATCGCAGCAATAACTGATAAAGCCCAAAGATCCCGAGTTCATTCAGTAAGTCCACTAGATATTTCTAATCGAGTAAAACTGACTCCAACTAGGAAATTCGTCGCATATTTGGTGGCAAAATTGACACTGCTACGGATTCGGATGGCTCTATTAAAGCAACGGTTGTCAGCAAAGGTAACCAGCAGTGGGGCAACCGTTCAAGGAATGATAGATCTAGAAACGATAGATCTAGAAATGAGAGATCCAGAAACAGCGGCCAGAATGGCGGCCAAGATCAAGATGGCAAGTTCTTGCATTTCACGCTCTACAAGGAGAACCGAGATACGATGGACGCGATTGGTCAAATAGCCCGTTTTCTAAATCTCAAGCCCTCCTTCTTCGGTATCGCTGGCACCAAAGACCGTCGTGCTGTGACTACCCAGCGAGTCAGCATGCGGAGACGAAATCCTCAGTCACTAATTTCTCTTAACAACGACAAGATATATGGCGTGAAACTCGGAGATTTCAAGTTCGAACAGCATTCCATCCACCTAGGACACCATAGCGGGAATGAGTTCGTGATTGTTCTCAAAAACTGCTACTTTAGTGGGACTCAAGATCTGACCTTTGAACAAAAACTCGAAGTTGCAGATTCTACCATAAAGACAGCATTAGAAAAGGTCACCCAGAATGGTTTTATTAACTACTATGGCACTCAGCGATTTGGTACACATCAAATTGGAACTCAGGAAATCGGCATGAAGATTCTCAACCGTGATTTCGAAGGTGCTGTACAAGATCTACTGTCTTTCGACCCTGCTTTACTAGACATCGACCCTAGCTCTGTCGAATCAATGCGTCGTGAAGATACCTATCGTGCACGGGCTTGTTCAATATTTTCGGAGACCGGTAATGCGCAGGATGCGCTTAAGTGTTTACCTAGAAGATGTCATGTAGAGTCTGCATTGATGCATCAACTCGATAAACATCCTAGGGATTTTCTCGGCGCGCTCCTTTCAGTTAGTCGTGGGATGCGTACGATGTATGTTCATGCATATCAGTCTCTAGTATGGAATTTTGCTGCAAGCAGACGCTGGGAACAGTTCGGTCTGCAAGTAGTCAAAGGAGACTTGGTCCTTATTGATTCCGAAGCTTCTACCTCGTCAGAAGGCCGTCAGAACGGAAACGGTGAAGAGGATATGATCCATCTTATGAACGGAGGATCTTTTGCCGAGGATTCACACGGGTTGAAAGCACATGCATTAACAGAGGAAGAAGCTAGTGGTGGGAAGTATTCCATCTTTGACGTCGTATTGCCATCTCCGGGTTGGGACGTCGTATACCCGGATAATGAAATTGGACAGTTCTATAAAGACTTCATGGCTAAGGAGGAGAATGGTGGGCTAGACCCCCAAAATATGCTCCGGCAACAGAAAGATTTTAGCCTCCCTGGATCTTACCGCAAGCTCATGGGCAAGTTCATTGGTACACCAGACGCCTCTGTCCGATCCTACTTGAAGGATACGGAACAGCTAGTACCGACTGATTTAGATCTAATACGAAGCCGTAAAGCTAAAGAAGCAGCGGATCGCAAAGCCGCTCAGCGAGAGGCACAAGGACCACCCTCAAAATGGCAAAGCTTTGCCGATAATGTACGAGATAGTGATCTCCAAGAAGCTCGAGCCAGGTCCGAGAGACGAAAAGCCGAAGAGTCTACCGACATGCCAGAGACTCGGACAAGAGATACCTGGGTGCAGACTTCAGTCAACGGAAGTAACAAGCGAGTCAAAGTTTCTGAGCAGACAGATGATATCAAGGCAGAGAGCGAGAGTAGTATCTCGCAAACTTATGAAGATAAGATGCAAGTAGACGCAGATAAGGCTGATCAGCCAAATATAATCGAAGGAGTGGAGTCGACAGGCCAAGATGACAGAGATTCTGGCCATTTACTTGTCACCACCCTTACATCACAGGTGCGAGCCGTTGCAAAGAATGCCATTCAGTTACTTATGGCAGCGTTGAGAGTATTTACTGACAAAAACATCATAAAGACTTCCGAGAATACAACTACGTCCGAGATTCAACCCGAAGGGCAGACGTCGAAGCCCGTCGTAGATCCACCTAGCACCACCAGCCGCCAGAACGAAGCGATAAAGTCGTCAGATGACAGCGTAGCCGAAACATCTCATCATACCGAACCCCTAGGTGACATCCACGATGGCGAACACGAAGCGAACGAGTCAACCCAGTTAACCAACGCTACTACTACTGATGAGAAGAAAATCGCAGTGATCCTTCGATTCGCACTAAACACTAGCCAGTACGCAACCATGGTTCTTCGAGAACTTCAAGGGGCGATCCCCACCAGCGATGACACGGCTATTTCAGATTCTCTATCAACTTCTCCCGGCCAAGATATTGTCAACTCCCTATAACGAGGAGATCTAATGCTAGTATTTCACTGTTACGAACCTAGTCCATTTCGCGCCACCCTCTCCATTTTGCCTAGAACTCCTTCGGTTTTTCTACACCTGCAAGTCATTTCTTAGCTAAAACATACGAGATTAATTGGTAGAGTGTGAGGACTTAGAGATATTCATAACTTCATCGTGTTTTGATGTTTCTCCGTCGGTAAGGACCCAAATTTTTATAAGTCATACTAACTCAACAACGGGAATGCAAGATGTATAAGCGCATGACTCTACAATGTTGCTATTATGTTCTGTCAAAGAGATGTAACGCTAAAGTGTTGATATGGCTTTAACGTAGGTAATGAGAAATGGGCATAGGGCTCATATCATTCTAGCATTCTATGGAAGTTAGCTAAGATACCCAATTACTACTAAACAAATCAAATATACTGCACGCTTAGCATATAGTATTATGAGCTATCCGCGTCCTACAATTCCCCGTAGAACACATCCAGATACCTGTTCTATCCAGGCACCTAAATATTCGGATCTACGTGTGAGGTACATTTGTATGTATGTAGTGTAATGAATTAAGTAGATTAGGTACCTAAGGCAAGTGCAGAGTGCTACACGGAGAGAGAGAGCTGGGGCTTCTTTGTTTCACAAGCTCCATAATACATCATGTCCTCGAATAGCGACTTCCCTTTGTTGGGAAAAAGAGTGAGGCGTTTCTTCTTGTTCACAAGCTTCTCCCTGATATATCGATTCGACCACCTATATCAAGACCTATATCAAGTATACCTCCTTTAAAGTATTGCTAATCAAGCCTCATTAATTCGTCTATAATTTCTACCCGTAACGTCGTTTCAAAGACACTGTATACGAGATATCGCTACCGCAAACTGAACTAAGAGCTTCTAAGCCGCAACTAGGATGCTATGAGAGGAGCACACTATATACTAACCTATTAACTATACCTCATAATGAGTATGCTTGAACGAATCGCGCAGTATAACCAGAATACTCGGTCTCGAGTAGACGTACCAAGGCTATATCTGAAGCCAAAACCTGTTGGAATTAGCAATGATGAACAAGACCACTTCATCTTCAGTAAACAACAGGATGTTACGAACCAGGTAATTCGATGTAGAAAACAATAATATATATAGTTTGTTGATAATATTGCTCACGATATATAGGTCCCAAGCCGAAATGTTAAGCACTTTAGCTTAGACGGGGCTAGCAATTTGCCATTTAGCAGGAGACCGCCACCTTTGAGAGGTATTGTAGCTCAATTGATTGCTATTTAGTTATAGCTGCCGACTAACAATGGGTGTTCCAAGCCCAGTCTGCGTTCTCATTGGTATCCGACGAACCCACCGAGCTAGACTGGAATCCAGCGGCCTTACTAGAGTTATCGGACTCCGTCAGGGTAAACTTGAAGCACTATAGAAGAGTGGGACCTGGAACCGAGAAACTGAACAGTTTCCTAGAGGCGGCGCTTAGAGACGAAGAGCAACAATGGGGGCGTCCAACACTCGATATTGAGACCATCGAGCACGCTCGGCTGGACAAGCTGCTGGCTGAGCTTCTACAGTTTGCCGAGAAGATGAGAGGCGCTTCCAGCCCGTTGATGAGGACAGGTGCAGCAACTGGCAGCTTCTCGCTCCAATTCCGCGTCATTATATCACATGCTAAGAACCTATGGCGCGCGTGGAGACGCAGATTCCGCGAGCAGTACTTCATGATGGATCAATATCGCTGTGCGGCGCTGGTCAAGGGCGGCCGGCTCAAGGATGTTTCATTCAATACATCTCTGACCTACGACCTGGGTAAGTGGCAGACGAAAGTGAGCGACCCAATCTCGGAGCTTGAGGGAAACCTACAATTCGATCCTGGACAGTAAGTTCTCGAAGTTCGTTCTTTCGTGATTCGACTGGCTTGTTTCTAACATTGTATGTGCTATTAAGCTGGTGGCTGAATATTACATGTGCTGAGAGAGATGGCATGGTGGCTAGTTCGTTGGAGGTACCAACGAAAGGAAGGTATTGTATCACTACTCTGCCTCTACTTACCGGACAGGAAGAGTGGCTACGGGGCGATACATATAAATATGTCCGCGAAGGAAGGTCTGGGGACATGCATATCGCTCTAATATCTCAAGTCGGCCGACAGATCCGCGTTCTTCGAGGCTACAGACTGAAGAGCATCCTGGCGCCGCAGGCCGGCGTCCGCTATGATGGACTGTAAGTCGTGACAGAACCTTTTACTACTCATTTTCGAATAATTGGCAGTTGACAGAATACTTACTCATTCATCAAAAAGTTTCACTATCAAACAGTACGGGTGCAAGCTCGACAACAATACAAATGTCTACCGCCTAGAACTAACACTTGAGCGCGTGCCGAACCCAAAGGTGTCCCTGGAGGATATCGAAAGCATACCACGACCCTCCCAGCTAGACGATTGGAACTTATACGAGAAGCTCGAAGGCGACAAGATCAAGCTCCTGCAGGGAGAAACAAGCTATCTAGAGTGGAAGCTTAGACGTCAAGAAGAGCGGATCGACAGAGATGATTGGAGAAGGGCGCGTCTATTCAGAGCGTCTGTCTCGCGTTGGGGGTCCGGGACTGATTCTCAAGAATAGGGGTAAGGTCCGATGGCGGGTAGCTATAATGCCACACGAAGCCTATATAAAGTCTTTTCACTATTGCCCGTTGTCCTATGTATTATTGAGAATTCATACTTAGTAAATTGCAACGCGTAGCTTATAGCCATAGTAGAATAGCCCGGACTAAGTTCTATGGTTTGGCGTGTAAGTGGTAGGAAAGGGATGAGCTTAGTGGGTCTATTATTTGACAGCCGGCAACCAGCTGAATATGATCAGGCTAATAGCCCCTCATATTACTATTACCTGCACGTCAGTTCGATCAGATCAACGTGGGGCTCTCACATCAACTTTGTAGCTCATCCAACCACTATTAACATCAACATTATTCAAAATGGGTGCGAAGAAGAAGGCCGACAACAAGTCCAACAATAAGGACTCTGGCGACAAAGATGATAATAAAAAGGGTGGTAAAGTGAAAGGCGCACAGTCCGTTGTGGTTCGCCATATCCTAGTAAGTTAGGGTTCGACCTCCTCTCATCCTCGAGTATACGAATTGACACACAACTTGTAGTGCGAAAAGCACTCCAAGAAGGAAGAAGCACTGGCTAAGATCAGAGAGGATCCTACTCTGAATAATTTCATAGCAGTGGCTAGAGAGTATAGCGAGGATAAAGCTAAACAAGGTACGTTCTATCTACAGAGTCGGAATTTATCACTTCACTTCTTGATGCTTGAGTATCGGATATCTATATAACTGAGTCGAAAGCTGACCTAGAAACCTTAGGCGGTCTTCTTGGTACACAACGGAAAGGATCACTACAACCTGAATTTGAAGATGTTGCTTTCGTACTACCAGAGAGTAAGGGCAGTAACCTCAGCATCGGAGAGGCGAAGACGGCGTTCGGATATCACCTGATTGTAGTAGAAGAGCGCAAATGAGCTCATAATCACCATCATATAAAGAAATTTCACGGGTGAAAAAAAAAAAAGGCTTTGCAGCTGAGATTGGTAATGCAAGTTTTCCTTGATTCCTGATGCAGTATAGACCCCTTAATTTTTTCCCAGCATCTATGCCAGATGGTCAAGCCGGTAGAGTACATGCCAAGGGCTCATGACGATGGCTTGAAAATCATCCCGTTCCACTGTCTATATCCCCGCGCAACGCCCGTGATGAATTCCTTACTGCTCGGTCTGGAAGTAGTTCAGGAGGATGGATCGCTCAGTCGACTCCTCACCCCAGTCCTTGACAACCACGCAAGAGCAGTTTACTACCTTGCGCGCGTTGCCTTCTCGGTCCAAGACACCTACAAAATATTATGGTTAGTTCCGAACCATATAATCCCATAAGCTCATATAACTTACAGAGACCTGACCACTCGCCCAGTTGCTTTCCGTCGGGAACCTTGATCAGGGGGATCTTGTGTTCGGAGCAGAGGGCGATGACCAACTTCTTGTAGGCCTCTTCCTCGCAGGACTCGTTTAGAACACACATGTGGGCTTGTCGTCGGTCGAGAGCCTTGGATGCTTCACGGAGACCCCGGGCAAGACCGTCGTGCATAAGGGCGAGCTTCAAGACACCCTTGAGGGCATCCAGAACGGACATCTGACCCTTGGAGGCATCGGCGGAAACTTCAACCTCCTCGGGGGCTTCGGGTGCGTTGTTCTCTTCTACGTCCGACTAAATTTGAAGAATAACTATTAACAAATTGCTTGCGCGCACATAATAGCAATCTAAGCACAAGATGCAAGACCGTCGCATTTAAATATCCTTGTCCCTTCGTATAAGAGCGCAATAATAGTAAATAATAAAACATACCATCTTGAATTTTGTGACACCGGTGCGATCCTCGAAGAGTGGTTTTGCTGTGTCGAGTTGTGAAGGTGAATTTGGTGGGTGGATTTGAGTCGTGCGAAAATCTGGAATTGTTCCAAATCGCCGAATGGAAATAGAGTGTATCAATCGAGGCTTGAACGTTAGGGAAGGTGCAGTGGGGAAGGCTAGTTGTGTATCGCTTAGGGTTAGTTGGCCGAAATTTACCCCATTGGGTGGAGATTCCCAATTCAACCCGCCCACCATAATTTTCGCACTGGCAAAAAAAAAAAAGAGAAATCAATCTAACTGACCGCCAACCATTCCTCTACCTTTTTTTCTTACCTCCACTCCGTTTCACTTCAACCAAACTTCTGCACGACAAGCATAAACCAGAGCGTCAAGCAATTCCCCTTCGCTTACGACCTCTATAGAGGTATGTAATAATAAGTCGCCATGTCTTAAATTAAGGCACATTTCCATCCCCCAATGCGCCCTTCAAGAAGCCGGGGGAGAGCAATCAGAGACCTTGCCGCCAGCCTTCGCGTCGCGATGGACGAGTCAGGTTTCTGATACGCTTCTCCTCTCCAGTACTGAGCGGGCAGAACCCTCCCCAAAGTGGCACATTGGGGGAGGGCACTCTCCATGCTCTTGGCTTTTGAAGGCTAACCAAACACCATTATCAACAGATACCTCACATCCTTTTCGAACGGTCTGAGAATCTCGCAATACCGCCAAAATGGTCAAGACTTCCGTCCTCAACGATGCGCTTAACGCCATCAACAACGCCGAGAAGACCGGCAAGCGCCAGGTCCTCATCCGACCTAGCTCTAAGGTCATCGTCAAGTTCTTGACCGTCATGCAGCGCCACGGTAGGTCTTATCTTCTTCGTCTTCCACATGACACAGCCCTCCGACACCCCCCATGTACAAATTATTCGGCATGATAACTGGATAACGGTCTCACAACGCCCTACGACCGAAGTCTTTTAAGTTGCCGATAGATCGAAGTTTTTTTCTGGCGAACGAATCTTACACGTTTCTCTGATATATCTAAAATGAAGTCTTACGTTTAGTCTTTCGCTACATCCAGCTAACGCTTTTTTCCTTTTTAGGCTACATCGGCGAGTTCGAGGAGGTCGATGACCACCGATCCGGAAAGATCGTCGTGCAGTTGAACGGCCGCATCAACAAGTGCGGTGTCATCTCTCCCCGATACAACGTCCACCTTTCCCACCTCGAGAAGTGGGTTGTCAAGCTGCTACCCGCTCGTCAGTTCGGCTACATCATCCTTACCACCTCTGCCGGTATCATGGACCACGAGGAGGCCCGAAGGAAGCACGTTGCTGGCAAGATTATTGGTTTCTTCTACTAGGCGGATAACAAAAGAAAAAAAGGAAAAGGAACAAGGGATATGAACTGACTAAAGAGCATTTTCGGCGTTTGGGAGGAATGGATAATGGCCAAGCTATGATGCTTGATGTTTTTCAGCCAAATACACCATGATACCACGAAATGCTACACAAGTCCAGTTCTTGCATGCTTCTAGCCCCCCTGTGTTCCTCTGTATGTTGCCAAGCCACGGAGTGCCATGTGAAAGTCCCGGTTGTACTATGTACCTCATAGTACCTTGTACATAGAAGGACATTTAATGTTCAATTCAAGGGCTTACCTAACAAGGTACCTTCGCTAACTGAAAATAAAGCATGATCCTTCCGTACAACGATGACGGGTAATTGAGTTTATTTAGTATAAAGTTCTGTCATCCATTAACAAAGTGTAATCATCCAAATTTCGTGACCAGATTTCGTGCTATTTTCACATTTACATGCTTATATCCCTGACTGCGGCCCGCAAAGCTCGAAATAATTTGTACATGATTCATGGATAATATGGCTAGGTATGGTCAGAGACGCGTCACAGTGCGTCTTCCCGCACGTCTATTGATTAAATGAAAGTATTTAATTGGATCAAGCAAACAAATACCGGGGCACTACGTACAGAGGTAGCAACTAAAAAACAGGAATGGAAAGGGCTCCTGAACCTCATCGGGTCCATTTTCTTTCAAGAGGTTTATATCTCCATATCTCCATATTTCCATATTTCCTTCTAAATAGTCTAAATACCTAACCTGTATCCCTCTTCTCCACGATAGGTACATGTACCAATGTCATTCTTTACATCATTATTTCTTGCTGCGCCAATAAGTCTCAGCCGACGCCATCGAGCCTTCTAAACTGCGGGTGAGATTAGGGGCGTGAAGAGAAATGCGGCCGCGCCAACTAATCCTAACCGGCGGGCTCGTCTTCCTCGGTATTTGCGTCATCACACTCTTCCGGTTAACGCCTTCCGGCACCAACCTTTCAGACCTTAAGCCCGGCCCTTTATCGTATACATATGGTGCTGGGAAAGATGGCTCCAGCAATGCACCACAACCGTTGGCGGCCCTGGTCCCCTTCGATCCTAAGCCGAAGCCCGCTCCCGCTGGAGAGCATCCTATGTATTACTTGATCACCCAAGCAGAAAAAGACCTCGAAGCCACGAAGTCACGCCAATCCAAGACAATCAAGGATGCTGTTGCAGAATACCGCAGGCGGTACGGGATCCCCCCGCCGCCCAACTTCGACAGATGGTTCGAGTTCGCGAAGGCCAAGAATGTCCAGCTCATCGACGAATTCGATATGATTCACGAGTCGCTGACACCCTTCTGGGGGCTGAAGCCCTTCACGATACGCGCGCGCGCCAGGGAGGCGCTAGGTTTCGACAACGCGTTGCTAGGTATTCAGATCCGAAACGGTAAAATTACGCATATCCAGGGTGGGAGCGAGTGGCAGCGCGAGGCCACTGCGGGTATGATGGGGAAATTCATAAAGTGGTTACCCGATATGGACTTGTGCTTTAACTTGCACGACGAGTCGAGAGTCGTAGTACCGCATGATGACCTAGCTAGATTGGTTAAAAGGGCTAAGGATATTAATATGCCTGCGGCCAATTCCCATTCTCGCCTGAAAAACGAGTTCACGCCGATGGGCAAGGGGCTGAATGACGGGTCTAAATTCGAGGAGAGCAAACTAACGCGGTTCAACATCTTTGCTCATCAGCCAACTTGGACTCACTCGAGGTTATCGTGTCCCCCGGAAAGTCCTTCTAGAGGTTTAGAGGAAGAAGAGAGGAAAGATGACATCTCGAAGTATGGCCTAGGAGAGCTAGGCTTCATCTACAATATTACAGCCATGTCCGATATCTGCTATTCCCCGTCGCTAGGCTCGACGTTTGGCTTCTTCGACCGGCCGAATGCATACAACATCGTCCTCGATCTATTCCCGATATTCTCGCAGTCCAAGATCTCGTCTTACTCTGATATATTGTACCCGTCGCCGTGGTACTGGTTCGAGAAGGTAACGTATGATGAGGGAAAGGACGTTCCGTGGACCGAGAAGCAGGATAAGTTCTACTGGCGCGGCTCTACGACCGGTGGCTTCAGTAGGAACGGCGGGTGGCGACGACAGCACCGACAGCGGTTCGTGAAGAAGATGAACGCAGCCGATAACGCCAAGATCCTCGAGGAGAATAATGGCAAATGGGGAGTCCAGGAGGTACCGCGGGGCGACTACAAAGACATCATCGACGTATACTTCTCGGGAGTGGGGCAGTGCGACCCCGGCGACTGTGATGCGCAGAAGGAATTCTTCATGATCAAGGGGCATGTGGAGCAACAGGACGCGTGGAAGTACAAGTATCTGCTGGACATCGACGGAAATGCGTTCAGTGGGCGATTCTATGCATTCCTAAAAAGCAAGAGCTTGGTGTACAAATGGGCTATCTTTCGCGAGTGGCATCTCGAGTGGTTGAAGCCGTGGGCGCATTACATCCCCCTCAGTCTGCAAGGTGAGGAGTGGCTCGAGGCTGTTCGGTTCTTCGGTCACGGCGATCTGGGGACGAAGGAGGCCGAGCGCCTCGCGAACCAGCAGCGAGAATGGGCGAATAAGGTCCTAAGACACGAGGATATGGAGGTGTGGTTCTTTAGGTTGCTGCTAGAGTATGTCCCGGTGACCCGATTTAATTATCGTTTTCGGTGGATTGGAATGCTAACGCAGACGCAGATACGGCCGTGTCGCAGACGACGAACGCGAGAACATCGGATACTCGGTAGGCGCACCCGCGGGTAGGGCGTCGGGAGAAGCCCCTCTTAACCCATGACGGAAAGATAAAGCGGTCACGTTAATATGAAGGTCGGAAACGGATAGGATAGGATATGCTACATAGGCATAAGTAGATCTGGCAGGCCGGCGTACGGATTGTATAAAACAGCTGCATGGTCGGAGTTTTTTTTTTTTTTATACTTTATACTTTTCACCTTTTCTTTCACGGTGCACATGCATGCACATACCACATGCGGACGGCCGGATGATAGTACTATATACATACATATATATGTGTATATACGGGAAGAGGACCGGACAGTCTGGCGCATAGCCCCCTTTCCTGCGGTTCGATATACGACGGGAGAGGAGTTTTGGGATCCAGAGCGGAGTATATCTCAGACAGCGTCTGGATATTCATTCGGGGTTTCGTCGGGCAGACGAGCAAGTAGATGATGTAGATGGGTAGACTGGACTGGACTGGACTGGACTGGCCCGGACTACATATATATGCCTTATGTACCTATCTACCTACCATCTAGGTAGGGTATCTAGGCAGCCACCTACCTACATACATATATAACTAAGTAGGTTGGGGTAAAGTACTGCGCCTCGCGGGGTGGGAATCTAATGCTTAATCCTGACTACCTAGGTTAAGTTGGATGCAAGAGGGACATTATATGCTTTACATACCGTAGGTATACATATAAGTCTTAAGCGAAGATTTAATCAGATCTTATCTTGGTTGTTTCGTGTTAGTGCTGACGGTAAAATCGTATGTATACGCGGAGTCGGCTGTGTCTTACTTGTAAGTTGTGGAAGGGGTCGAGCACCTATGTAGATACATATAAGGTAGGTTGTATTAAGTTGCTGCCTATTGTGGGGAGGGCTAGAGAATAGGACGTTTTATACGTCGTGCTAGTACCGGCTTTTGAGTCAAACAGTCAGACCAGATCCACGACAAGTAAATGGTGGTCAACTCATAGACGGTTAGTTATTTGATTGGAAACTTGGGTATATTTACTCCCCGATGATACGGCTACGAACTATTATTCATATAGGCGGAATAAGCGCTGAGCTTCCTTATCATGGGGTAATACGAGCTTCCCAGCCTCCTGTTAACCTAATAAGTTGGGATGACACTTATATCTACCCAGACCAGGCTTTCTAATAGGCAATCATGAATCCGTTCACGGTTACGTAGGTCACTTAGATAGTACTATGTTATTGAAGGTAGATAGCCTTTTATGCTTGATTAACCCCTTTATTTCGAGTTACTCGCTAATAACCAGGCCTATGGTGTGTCCTCACGTACTAAGGCTTCGGCATTAGGATCGGTGATATATTTCTGCAAACTCTTTACTTCCCCATGCTGTTGCATCTCGTACTACGGGTTATAGCTTAATACCTCTAGGTTTCGCACCTGGTACAGCGTGTCTGTTTATTCATCATTAGCTAGGAATATCACAGCTTTGAACCGTGTTACTTACCGCTGCTAGGGCCTGGAGATCCGGATGAACCCTCCATTTGCAAGTTGATAATCCTAAAAAAAGGACTCTCGTTAGTCATACTGTCCGCTTTTATATACTCATACTCTCTGTAACTAAAGCTAGGTGGTAGTCATAAGAACAGCTCGGGAATAAACTTACAGATACATCGCCTTGCCGAAGAAGTTCCCTCCGACCTGCGTCGTGACGAGCGAGCCGTCCATGTAGAACTTGACAGAGACGTCGCGCTGATTGATGTCGCGGACCTCGCACTTGATGGAGTGGAACTGGTCCGGGGTGGCGTAGTTGACGTCCTTCCAGGAGAGGACGGAGGAGGTGTTGAAGGTGTTGAAGGAGATCTTGCCGGAGCCCTTCCACTCGGCCATGTCGATCTCGGGCGGCCAGCCCTCGACGGCGGTCAGCCAGAAGGCGGGCCAGGTGCCCTTGGCGGTGGTGGCCTTGAACTCGCCCGAGAAGTCGTACCCGCCGCCGCGCGCGACGGTGAAGTGCTCCTTGGCGCTGATCGCGCCCGACAGGTAGTTGATCTTGATCTGCTTGCCGCCGTGCGTGGCGTCCTTCTGGCCCGTGACTTTCTTCGCCGTTAGAGTCGCCATCCCGTTCGAGAACTTGACTTGGCCCTTGTCCATGCGCGCGCCGCCGTTGTGGTCCGTCCCCCACGGGTAGTTGTACGCCCAGTCCGCGTCGAAGTTGGCCTGCGAGTCGAAGCTCGTTTTGGGGATTATGGTCCGCACTGCCGAGGCGCAGGACGCGGCTGCTAGGAGCAGCGAGTATGCTCCGAGTAGATGCATGGTGATGGTGGTGGTGGCAAGGTAAAAAGGCGGGATGGGATGGGATGGTATGTATGTATGTATACCTTGTGCCCTGTGAGAATACACCTCAAGAGCCTGTCTTGGTTACGAGCGAGGTTGTCTAATATATACTCCTCTGCTATGTTCTAACCTCGACGGCAGATTTAATATTAAACTGGATCATAAGGGCAGGGAAGCCATGCTAATGGTGGAAATATTAATTAACCAAGTTACAATGTACGTTCCTCTCACCGTACATACAGGACCCATCTGGGGTAGGTAGTATAGCCACGACGGTCGATATTTATCCGGATGGGAATCGCTCGATTGGAAATGTCTAATAGGTCGGGCTATGGACGATGTCAGTTAGATGCCAGCACGAAAATAGAAGGAGGGCGGGAAAGCGTCAATGCAGCGACGGGATCGTGGCTCGTGTTAATGCTTGTACATATATCTTAATGCGGTTATTATGCCGAAGCCCCTGATCGATCGGCAGTGGCATGTTCTATATAGTCGCTCGACCCTGACTTGACGTTCAGCGTCGTATTGGTGCGGCTAGCGTCAGTTTTTGACATGATCTTGAATACCGAACTTGTACATGTTGTAAATGGTTATTACGGATAACCAATTCTATTCTAATATTATCACTATGCATATATATATTCAAGTCAACATATCGTTGGTTGACCTCTTGAATATAGCTATAGGGTATAGATCCAGTTATAAACTGCATTAATTTAAGGAAATATAATGCATCTCTCGTATGAGAAGAGGGTAGTTTATACATGTTTCCCTTCCCATCAACATTATAGAAATATATACTCCTATTTATTATTTATTCGAAAATATAGAGATTTCAACAAGACGCATCCCCTAACCTTGCTCGGTATCCCTGTCTTCTTCGGACTCCGCAACACAAGTCAGTTGCAGCAAGCCGTCGTCCATATTCCTACATTCGTAAACAGGGGACTCTCCACTTGGAACCGTGACCGTGATATTTTCGATTTTGATATTGCTACATCGCTGATTTTGGCATTCGGGTTAGCATACCTTACTGCCTTGCTTCAAGATACGTTAGATCTTAGAACTTACATCTGGTGCGCTGCATACAAGCGAACCTGCTTGCGGGTCCAACTTCGCGGACGTCGTTCCGTATATATTCTTCATGGTCACGTCTTCGATAGTTAAATTGGCCTGCATATTTAAAAATTAGTATTGCGAATGTGTCTTAATATAAGGCTTTCTAGTCTCCTGCGACACCTACCGGAAACTCATTACACAATGTCTTGTTGCTCTGTCCATAACACTGCGTGATAGTGATGGCTCTATCGTTATTAATGCTGTGAAGAAGATCATACGTGACGTTTCGAACGTAGCCGGATCCCCCACCGCCGACGAGATGAGTCTGGAAGTTAGTCTGCGTACCGGGCCACACCTTTATTCTCGCGAAGTCACTAGCGTTAGTCATGGAGATATTATAGATGTGCAAGTTCTCGACAATGTCGGTTTGGTTTACGTATTGGCCGATAGAACCAATGCTAATACCATGAGAACCGATGCACTCCAAGTTTTGGATGACAACGTTGGTGCTGTTTGGTTTGAAGGACACGCAGTCTTATAAGTTAACAATCATGTAGAACAGTTAAGTGCTATCTATACATACCATCGGTGTTTCGAATAAAAGAATCTTGTATTACTACTCGATCGGAACGGTAGGTGTCCCAGCCATCCGAGTTGGAAATCTTCACACCGTTGAGAGACTATAGCTGTTAATACCTGTAGCATTTCTGGGTGAGAATTATTTTACCTCTGCGCGAAGATCCATGTTGCTAACGATGATGTCGGAACTATTCGCAATAATATTAAACCACTATAACCATATCAGCCAAGAGTTATCGGTATTAATAGTCAAGTGTCGTCAATGCAATCACTTACGTTTGGCGGGTTGCGCATCCGTAGATTCGACATGGTGGCCCCTTTCATGCCGTCGAAGGCAAAGAGCATAGGCCGATACAACTACAAATCTTAGAGTTAATAATGTATTGCTATCTAATGTAAATACTATACCGAAGTTATCGTAAGTATAGGTACTCACGGCCTTATTAGTCTGCAACTCTTCCCAATATGCCTGACCCTTCCCATCAATAACACTCTTACCCTCCTCCAGAGTTAGATCGCCATATATATTGACATCCTCTCCACCGAGCTTCCAAAACACGCTCTGATTCTGGAACTCGTACTTGAAGCTGTTGTTCTGCCAATAGTACACGTCAGAGTCGTCGAAAGCGATGGAGCCGGTGATGATGATGTCGATGTGCTTGAGAAAATTGAGATCCAGCGGTGAGCCAATCTGGTATGACTTGTCGAATACCACGGTGCCACCGTCGTTGCATTCCTGCAGGGCTTGCAGTATATGCGGTGCATCGTCGCGCTTCGTGCTACATCCTTGTTTCACATGGCAGTACCGCCCTTCTTCACGCGGAGGCGAGAGTGGCATGGATCTGCCGGCGTTGTAAGGGCCTGGTACGACATTGGGACGAGATGGGATCTTGGCGAGTCCTGTCGCAAGTGCTGGCGGAAGAAGAGCAAGCACAGCTATAAGCGAGCTCAGTGAGTTGAGCTGCATCTTCGAAATGCTATAGGAGCAATTCGTTGAAAGCTATCCGTCTGATAGCCCAAGCTCCAAGCATCAGTCTTCCCAGTATCTATCAAAATGAAGAAAGCCCAGAGGTGGTATCTATATATTCTCTACAGATGTTTAGTATAAAAGTTGTAAGGTTCACACATTCGGGCTCGAAACGGCACGAAGCGAAGACCCCGAACCAAGATGCCGGGAAGATATATCACGGCGATAGGTGGATGATCTGTGGGGTTTGCTATAGATTCCTGGAGATCTCGGCCGGTCGGCCAATATTACAGCGGTGCCAGGTCGTTGGTTGACAGATTAGTCTTCATCGAGCCTCTAAAGGTAGGACTGAATCCTACTTAGCATCAGGGGATAAGTCTTAAAGTAGAGCTATTCGATGAGTTTTATTATATGATAGGATCAATATTTAAGAACTCCAACCCTGTTCCCCCACAACTAACCTGGATAGTTCCCCGCATGATCTGGGGTGAATAGCTGGGGTCACTGCTATAATGTAATCCTGGCTTAGGCTAATGGTACCGTGGTAAACTATCAAGCTTTTCTTCGCTACACAGTCACCACCTATTACCAATTCATAAAGACGTTAGATACATTTTGGCTTTGATCCCTACTTACTGTCTAAACGAATTTGAGATGAAAGAAACAGTGTGTACCTAGCTATTTTTAGAAATATAAGTTAGCTATCGTGTTCAAGCTTCGATTTGTTATTATCACAGGCACTTATACCCAGCCCCTTTTGTATTCTAGGGATAGAGTAATTATACTATACTGTATTGTATAAGCATCTATCTTAGTCTCTCCGCTATGCTACTTTAAATAAGATAATACATCTAGACTCAAGCATCTTCACCTCGTACTCCACGCTCTAGATGATACACCTTCTATCTAGTCGTCTAAGCATACTACCGAGTCTCAAATAACTGAAACAAACCCCTAATAAGCCATACTCTCTAGCCCCGGGTAGTCAAGTCCTATGCAGACTTATGCTCCCCCTCCCCCTCCCCCTTCCCCTTCAACTTCTCCAACCCCTCCGCCCCACCAACATCCTCCCTAAACCTCGGCCTCTGAATCTCCACCGCCTCCGTAACACGCGCATACGTGATCCCCCCCAGCCTGCTCACCGGCCTAAGCACCGCCGGATCGATCAAGCTTCTCTCCTCATTAACCGCGTCCTCGCGGACCCAGAACCGCGTGCCCTCGAGCAGCACCAGACACCCCGTCTTCTTCCCCGGCTCCGCGCGGCTCTCGAACTCGCGCACGCTGTCGAGCCTGCACTCGACGCTGAACACGGCCTCCTTGACCCTAGGGGCCTTGACGTCGAGGGTGTCGTGCACGGGCGTCAGGCCGCTGACGTCCCACTCGCTAGCGCCGTAGGGCGCGTCCACGCTCGCCGCGTTGGCCGCCTCGAGGAAGTCCTCGCCGATGATGCTGACGACGCACTCCCGACTATCCAGGATGTTGCGCAGGGTGTCCTTGGGCGCGGCGAGCGTGGCCGCCACGCCCAGCGCGAACACCGGCGGGTCGTGGCTCACCATGTTGAAGTACGAGAACGGCGCTAGGTTGCGCGCGCTGCCGTCCGCCGCTTGCGACGACACGAAGCCGATGGGCCGCGGCACGATGCCGCTGATGAGCAGCTTGTAGTTGGCGGTGGAGGGGCGCCCGGCCTCGTACGGGTCGATGCACACGTGTTTCTTGCCGTCGGCCTCGGCGGCGCGCTGGCTGTTGGCGCCGGAGCCGATAGGCCAGTCGGGCGCGACGGTCTTGGTATACCGGAACTGCGAGTCCTTATCCCAGTCCGGGCGCGACGCCTCGACTTTCTTGAAGTCCGGATGCGGGTTCCGCTTGATGGCGGCCTCGTTCTGAGTCGAGACGGACATGTTCCTGTTATTGTTGTTGTTGGCGGCGAATACCGAATCCGATGAAAAAACTCTACGTAGTAGTACAAAGCGCGGCGTTGGTGGTCTTCTTCTTCGCAGTGTGCGGATTGCCAAGAAATAGTTCCGGTGGTGAGGAGGCGGCATGAAGGGAGGAATGTTATATTATAATACCGCAGGGCGGCTACACGCGGGTGATAATCACCGAGAGATGCAGCGTAACGGGATAGCCGATTACCGGAGGAGACGGCGCGGAACGACGGAGGGTGGCTTCCCACTTTTAGCACTTATATGATCCCTTGATTCCCAATAATGATTACAAATGGTCGTGTTTATTAATATATAAATGTTTGCGCCTGGAAGTTTTTAGAAGACTATTAATCCTTTTCGGAAAAGAGCATTCTGTTATTAGCTTGGGTGGTGATGTAATATTTCGGAACGCTTACTCGGAACGTTTCTAAATCGGGGAACTCGGGGGAAGAACCAGGATTGAATGATAGTCGGGGATCAAAAGTGTACCCGAAGTTGAATCGGAACGAGAGAAATTTCACACCAGATCCCTAAACTATAAACCACCAGGACATAATACAATCCCCTTTCTATGATGGTATCTAATTTACTAAACCGCAAAGCAGTATAATCATAACGATTTCAAACAATCATAATTGAATGAAGAAATAGCAAATATTTTTTTAAACGAAAATATCGTCCGTCTCGTTGAATTCATACAACTCATACGCATCATCTTACACCATGACTACCCTCTAACTCCTCATCTAGGTATCTGGTCCCTGACGCCTATCGAAACCACAAAGCCTGCCTTAGTCCCGAAGACGGCTTATCCCTAAAACGCCGGTGCCGCACTTTTAACCCAGATGTTGAAACAAATTCAACGAACTTATCTCACATAGAGAAAAATAAAATAAAAAAGGTATAACCCGATCCCGCAAACACTGCGTGCTGACACACCTAGTGCTATATTTACCAACACCTTCCCAGCCGTACATGCAACCAAAGGAAAAATTAAAAGGTGAGGCTCTGCCCCCTTCGCGAGAGGATATATTCGCAACCTAGTCTAGCCTTCTCCTCATGTGCGAGTATCTCTTTCAATATCTTGTCTCCTGCCGGTTCTTTGCCGTCGAAGTTTTCCTTAGTATGGATGATAACTACCGATAGCCCTCGGAGAGCATTGGGCATCTTCGGAGCCCGTAGTATACTAGCATCCTTCAAATTCATCTCGGCAGTTGGAACCATGAGATGCGAAGAAATGCTGTTTTCACTAGACTCGGTTCTCGTGCTTTTTTGCGGCCGAATAGATTTCGGCGACACAGGCCCGTCGTCTACCGGCACGGGCCCGTGAGTAGCCCTTGCAATGGCTCTGTTAGCTCTCCTGCCAGATTCTTCCAGCTCCCTCTTGCGTTTCTTAGTCGGCTCGAGCCTAGCTGGGACCTGGCGAATTCTCTCGACTTCTGCTGCAAGTGTCTGCATCTCTTGGATAATGTAACGCGGGGTTAGATGGCCGTAGAGTCTGTCATCCGTCCGGCTGTCGTCGTACGAGCATTCGATAAATATCGCTGCGAGGTGTCCGGTTGCGATCTTCGGAGCCGCTTCAAGCCAGACTCCGATATTCCTTGGAGACAACGAGAGGCTATCGGGCTCCACGTCGCCGAACATCAAGACTTCGCGACCGCTGAGTGCATCCCGGATGAAGTATGCGCTCGAATCGTAGACGCATTCTGTTTCCCGTTCGGTTTCGCTTATGGATTGAGTTCTAACAACGTTCCTGAAGATAACTGACGATCCCGAGGCGCCATTGGCACCACCAACACCCCTCGGCGATACTAGAGACCCATCTGTACTCCCATAGCGTGAAGAAATCGAACCCCTATGGTCATGTTTCTCCATACAATGTCCGTGGCTGACGCTGAAGACTTTAACTGTGAGACCATCACTAACTTCTAGGTAGCCTCTATCAGCCCCTTCGCCAAGAGCCGGGCTACCTCCCTCGACTAGACGCATGTAAGTTACGAGGCCGGCGCCATTATTCTCATCGGATAAATTGGGCCAGATAATATTGTTGAAAATATGTGTCTTGAACGCAGAGATGGTGGAGGGCAGACCGGCGATGCGTTTTGGTTTTGTTCCTGGAGGAGCGGCGGTGTTGAGAACGAATCCGCTGATATGGTCCAGATGAGGGTGAGTAATTAGGTACGAGTCAACAAGGTTTTTTGATACGTCAAGTGCGTTAGCCGACGCAGAGGTAGAGTGGATTTCCATGCCCGCAAAGGGTCCTGTCCTTAAGACATGTGGTAATGTAATATCAGAGCCAAGGCCCGGTGGCTGCGTCTCCTCGAGAATTTGAGTGATGGCCGAGAGGTGAACGCCGCCATCGAGAGCAACTAACGACCCACGACTCCAGTTAGTTCTAACAGACCGTACGAGGAAAGCGGTGACATTATCCTCCCGTGGTCCACCACTAGCTCCCTAAGATGAGAATTGAATGTTAGTATCTACATCATACCGATAATTCATAATAGCACAATATTAATCCCAACTGGGACCCTCGGTGTGAGAAGCAAATGTCAACTGTCACCGTTGCGGCGCGTGTGCCGAGTTAAGGACCGGACCGGTGCACAGGTCCCGAGGTACAAGATGGATAGAGACGGTTCCCGTGACGTCACTATTTCCGGAGAGATCGATAGAACCGATAAAATAAATAATCGACAAGCGAATACACGTGACATTTGCTATTTTTCTTATATCCGATAGTTAGGTTTGGCTTGAATTTAGGATTTGGGGTGTTTGCTCTTTCGTATTTGTTTTCACCGGCCGTCGAGTCTGGCAGAAGGATAGTAAGCTTTGTCTTCTTCCAGAGAGTCCGAGGAACCAAGGTGACCGGATAATCATTTGTTTAAATGGGTACATGGAATCCAATAAATAAATAAGTATAGGTACTTTTGCGACCAAATTGCCTCGAAGTATTTATTTTGTCGAATCGGTAGCGTTTAGATTGTTGAACCAATTAAGTTCCCCCCCATATTGATCGATCCAACCATACGCCAGTACAACATCTCATTCAACCTCAAAAACCTTGGGCTAAGATTGGATATTTCATATGCGTAGGTACACATGCTCACACCCAAGTGGTCGAGGGTCGCGTTGTAAGCAGCTGGTACTGCTAGCGAATCAAAGGTCGTCGTTCCAAACAGGTTGCATTTCATGAAACTAAGATTGAGATGAAACGGCTTTACTTACCAGCACAATGACCTGCAAGGCAGGCTGACTTGCATTTCTCATCCTGTCCTGTCTAGCCATTCTCTTGCGACAATTGGTAGCAATTGCGACGGTTCCGTAGCACCTTTGTCTTGTTTTGTCTCGTCTTGTCTAGTGACACCGATGCGTAAAGAATAGTTGGTTGCGCTCGCCGGGGGTGACGAATGCTCTTCTAGCAATTAAATCCTTCCCTTGGATATGCGAAAGAATGTTTGGAGAAAGTGGCTTAGGCGATACACAGCGTTGAGGCCGTTATTCGTCCCCAAAGGAGCTACGGCATCGGTTCTTTTTGGTAGGTTATCTACCACCTTAAACCCTTCAGTATATCACACGTGACTTTGAATTCCAGCGCCGCTCTCTCATCCCAGCTCTTGTTTCTTTTCTTGGTATTGTCTGACCTTTGTAAATTCTTCGGGCGGCTTCTCCGTGACAATAGAAGAAGAAGAAAAGAAAAAAAAATTTTAAATGTTGGACGGAAGTGGTTTAAGATATATTCCCCCCCCCCCCAATGTGGACAATTAATTCTGGAAATCTGGGGAACTGGGATCTTCTGACTTTAAGGTTAAGTGATGTGTGCAAGCCCCTAAGTTGTATGTATGTAAGTTGTAGGTAGCTTTTATCCAATTCAGTTCTAGCGTATAGTGAACAGAAGGCGGCACAGCTAATCGGAAACTCCACTGCAGCGCAAATCGAGTTCCGGTATGGGCAGGCACAACGAGTTTTGGTTTCTTTGGGTTTGTTTTAGCGTTTAGCTAGGGGCCGGCTAGGACCTACTAGGACCTGATAACAACGGAGCGGTACCACCTTGATATGTGTTCCTCTCGGCCACTCCGGTATCTACAACTCTACCTCACATGCGAATCGCATCATTCATCCTACATTTTTATTTGCTAACCACAACCCGTTTTTTTTCTTGTCACAGATTTAAAATTGGGCCTTCCTTTTCCGATCCTATTCTAACCTTAGTTTCGGTACCGCATCTATTTTTTAGTGTAATATCAGTATCATATTCGACGTCTTATTTACGTTTAATAGAAGCCGCATTGGGATTGATAGATTGTACTTACTCGCTATGTTAACAGCGGATGTTATGCGATTATTGTGGTTCTAGCTAATAATAACTCGACCGTAGTGACGTTATTTGCGCGGTAAGACGGGGCTAAGAGCTGGCCATCACTTATATAGACCAGGTGTGTACCTCTATTCAAACTACGCACTCACCTAATTTGATCCGTTCAAGCTGATGTTCAATTCACACACATCATCTCTGAGTCAACAGTTACCCGTATAGGACTCGGGATTATAGTTACCTATCTAGGTATATATAAAATATAAAATAAACCCCTAAAATAGGGGCATCTGATCTAAAGTTGTCTACTACGATGTCTCTAATCACTGACTCTCGACGTGGCACATTTATATTTAATATCCAGAAGTAGATAATACATTAAGTCCCTACTTAAAATACCTAACCACTTAATACCTTAAAGGATAGAGAGAATGCGTACTTATACGCTACCTATACATATATACATGACGACTAGGAAAATTATCGTGGGTGGGTAAACAATATCGGTTGTTGGAAAACATAAAACATAATCGGTTGTTGAAAGACATCGGTTGTAGAAAGACATTTTTTTTTTATATTTTCGTTTATGGACATATATAGACTAGCCTGCGCATGTAAATATATACATCCCCGTATCGCGTATATTCGACAAACTTCCTTCGCCAGAGACGTGGCAACACGAAAGGACAACTTACTCACAAAGCGCCCAGCCCAATGCGTGTCCTAAGGTCAAATGACACCCCTGTGTCCCGGAACGCCTAGCTTTCCCATGAATTCAGATTGACTGTACGTTGAAGATATTAGCTACGTGGACAGCCTATTCGTTGGACCGGTCTCTGCCTCCAGGGCAGCTGTGTCCAATAACGGACTGTCTCAGGAGCTGATTAGGTCGGCGAGTCCGGCTTCGTCAGCAGAGCCGCCAAAAAGATCATCAGATTCGTTGAACTCCATACTGTCCAAAAACTCGACAGAATTGCCATCGGAAATTTCATCTTTTTCGCCTTCATCGTGGTTGTCTTCCGCGCCCTCTCTAACAATATCGGAACCCGTATTCAAACCCAGAGGCTCACTCGGAGGCGGAGTTGGCGAATGGCTCGCCTCCGTTGGCGCTGGTACATTACCAAACCCGTTGTTGACCTCGTCATATTGCCCCGTGTGATCTGGTACCGGGGTATACACGTGTTGAGGCGTTGAGGGTGGTGCTGGGCTAGGATTTATTCGTGGTTTTTTATTTGAGTCATCTTGAATAGAATCGTAGGATAAATCGATATTTTGATCTTCCATCAACACTTCGTCCCTGTCTCGCTTTCGTGCCGTGGTCCCTACGGGACTCGAGATCACAGGGCTTGAGGGTGGCTGTTGATGGTGAGGAGGAGGAAGAGACGGCGATACTGGCTTTGGAGACAAATACGCATACGGCGAACTTGACCTTGCTGCTGGAGAGTAGGAATTAATTGACAAGTGTGTACTGCATGGCGATGAATGGGCAGCATCCTGTTGACAGTCCGTGGCACTTTGGTAACCACTTGATGCCGGTGAAGGTAGGGTCGGTGGGGGTAGGACTTCTGCTGGTTCTGGAGTGTCCTTACGTCCGACTGTTCTAGCTAATTTCTTTGCTTGGCGCTTTTGAAGTATAAGCCCTGGTAGCTGTAAATGGGCACCGGCGATTGGGTCGTCATTATCATCTAGTAACCCAAAATTTCTGCATTCCTTCAAGAACTTTTGTCTAGCGATGTCTCCTTTGTGCTTTGCCATATTAGCGCCACCTCTCTCTTCGCGTAATTTAAGACGAGCATCAGTGCTATTTTCAAGTGCATGAAGAACAAGCCGGTAGCTTAGGGAGTTCTTATAGTTACGGTGATCTCGCCTCTTCCCCCTTGATCTAGCCTCGACGAACTTTGGATATTCGTCGAACCACCACAGGTCGATTATGCTCCGCATATCAGAGAAATGCCTTGTCAGCTTGAAGATATTATCCTCGTGCTTGAAGTTCCTTTCGTCAGGGCGGATATCAAGGTGAATCATGGCGTCGACGAGATCGAAATGCTGCTCAAAACAATATAAATGCATATACCCGGCATTATGGTAAGGGTTGATAACCTCACCGTCATCATTCATCCGCTCATCAAGGATAATACGCGGAAATCCCGTCCTGATGGTATTCTGAGGATCTTCACAGTCAGCAAATCGACACTTCTGAGATTGGGTCCCGTAGGGATATCTATCATTGGACTGAGGAGCGACCCAACCAATCCACAACGTAAGACCCTGGCGGATCTTATCCTCTACCTCTGGCACCCCTTGTAATCGTCTCGGTTGCATAAAAAGGTCGTCTTGTTTTGGGCCGTAGAGATACCTACGTAGTTCGCGTTCCGAATACGTTTTGCCCCTCTCAAGCTCTCCGCATTCCGTGTACTTAAAAAGAGGACGACCATTTTTATCCCTTGGACCCCAGCTCTCCGGGGGAGGTGGTGGGGCCCCATACCACTCCCGAGGATCCGGTTTTGAGTCTTTCTTCCTTGTGACTCTAGGTATCTGGCCGTTTTTTAGCGATAATCCATTGGGCCCCTTCATGGGGCGCTTCAAGGGAGGTGAATGGGGAATGAGGACTGGTGAGGGTATTCTGCTCCTTCTCAGTGCATATATATCCCGTTTTCCGTTCTCTACTTGGCCGTCGTCATACTCCGAGCTTAATATACTCACGTCGCTGATTCGGCGAGGAGTTGGGTACGAATCAAGTGGCTGCGGATATTGAGGTTGATAGGGTTGATAGGGTTGAGGAGGCGGTGAAAACTGTGGAGGATACTGGGTGTAGTTGATAGGATAGTTTGGGGATGCGACTGTGAAATCATGGTGGTTGGCAACAGGGCCACCGATATTCATAGAATTATACGTACTGTACTGTTCTTGCTGGATGGTAGGAACTGCAACAATACCGGTATTACTTAGAAGACTTGGGTCTACGAACTCTTGAGAGACCGAGTGAATTGGTTCCGGTGCTGCAAGAGACGGATCAAAGTTCTGGAAGTGAGAAGGGTGAGTGTTAAGTGGACCGACAGCTGGAGCGACAGGCGGTTCAAGGAAATCTGGTAGTGTATCGAATTGTGTAGTTAATGTTGGATTATCAAAATCGAAATTTTGAAGAATGCTTGATGTGTCACCGTACATATCCGGAGGTTCCATCTCCGGGTACTGATTTGACTCGTAACCCATCATTGGTTGAGTAGTATGTCACCTAATAGTGCGAGACCTGAATTCGACGCAGCTTATAGACGAGGTTGGTCAGCTCTGCTAAACCGCCAAGGTAATAAACTGCTATGAGAAGTCGATCAGGGGTAAAACCAATAGAGTTACTCTGTCAAAAAAAAAAAATCCATTCATGATGATCGGCACTACGTAACTATATACAATTCATCGCAGTCCGAGCGGAGTATTGTTTGTGTATGACATTGTTCAGGCACAATAAACAAGTTACTTCCATAGAAAGAATCTCTTATAACAACAACATTATCTATTACAAAGAAACAATGCGTATAGGCACAAGGAAAACTACACCTGAAGAGAAGCTACGTTGATAAGGGGGCCTAGGTAAGTTTACGGCATGATACCCATGTTAGATGCCTGTGTTATTCGTTAGTAAGGGTTGCGTACAACAAAATATAAGCGTTGCGTCAAGAAGATATGTATAATCAGTAGAGCTCAATGCATTTTCTCAACAAGGAATTTCAGAACAGGTCTGTGAATGCGTTGATTTCATCAGGGGATAAGATAAACGTGTTTGAATAAGAAGATAAACTTACTCGGTAACATTGTAGTCGTTATATCGATTACCCGACATCTAGTATTAGGTAGGCAAACAGGAGACGGATTGCTCTATGCGGATGAAATATTTGTCCATTAACAAAGGCAAGGAGAAATTCCCTTCTGTGGGTCACGTCATTAAAAAAGAGTTGTTAATAGTTGTCCCCGTTCATGTCCCTTCTAGGGATATAGATTGAGTGGCGGATGACATCAAGCCTCTTGTCCAATACTCCATGCTGAAGGAGGAAGCGGCTCATAGGTACCTAGTTTGGGGTTTGTTGTCAGACTCGGCTAACGACGAGCTTTCTAATCACAACAAAGTTGATAAGTTAGAAGCTTGTTATCTGCTTATATCCCAAATATATCCTCATTTTAATTCGGTTGTGAATTTTGATGATTGGAATAAAGTGATCAAAAGAAAAAAAAGAGAAGTAAAAATTTGACAGTAAAAAGAAAAAGATAGTTTTTTTTTTTTTGTTAAGTACCTACTTGCGGCGTATAGGTTTTACCGTACTCCGCTCGTAAAAACGTGGACGTCTCGTGACATCCTAGATAGCCTAACATCAGCATAAGTACATCAAGTAAAGTATTCGATAAGCGCTGCTAGGGCCGTTCCACTACTTCCCAGGCACCGCAGGCACTGGTGGCATTAGTGGGTTGGAACATTCAAAGTTCGTATTGCCCCAGTACAATGCTCTTCGCAACCTCATTACGACCAATTGCGACCAATTACAGTCAATTGCCAGCATATGCCAGCGTAAAACTTGGGGTTTGCTCGTAAAAATAGGTACTCAAACTACCTCATTTCGTACATTAGGTACCTATGATTAATGTACCTAAGTACCTAGAAGCCACAGTTTAGAACATCAGGGTTCTGAAGACTTCTGAAGAGAGTGGAATTATTCCCATGCTTCCATGTTTCCATGTTCCCATTTAACCTTTTTAATAATCCTTTTTCCAAATACATATCTGCCCAACTCGCAGTTCACTGCTGTGTTGCATTGCCATGATACCCTATTTTTATATCTGACCGAGATATTATTGGTTGGTATATCTTGTTGTTGCGATAGGTTGAAGAGGAAGAAAGATCAATATCTCTCGCCCCCAAAACAATTTGACGTCACGGGCCTCTCGCTTTTCTTGAATCGTTTTTGAATCGGGTAATCCGGTGGACAAGACTGTCGTCAACCTTTGCGCGCTTCTTCCATTTTGTGTTAAACGACGATAAATCGATATGGCGCAATTGAATCCGGATCTGCAAGAGAAGTTGGACGAATTGGAGAGAGAGCTCGAGGTACGCTGGTGTCATTTATTTCTCCCGTTATTCGGCTCGCGATACCCTTACCGCCCGCCAGCAGCGGCGGGGTACGAGACCCAACATGTTCACAAGCGATGCCATTGAACGCAAACTAACTACGAGTCCTGGTATAGGAAGGCGACATTACAGAGAAGGGGTAAGGTTTTGTCTTTAATGCTATTAGTACATATCATTAGACCTTCTTCTTGATGTGCCATCGTATACAACTTTCATCTTTAGTCATGCTAACACGTCTCATTTCGCCTATAGCTTTCAAAAACGAAGGACCCAACTACTCTCGCAATATCTAGGCCCCGGCGCATTGGCTGATGCTACTGGAGGCTTACGAATACACACTGTCGACGATGATCCCCCTAATACGAGCGAAGGGCATAGAGACGCAGCATATGCCGCTTTAAATACCGCTAATCCAGATTCCAATGACGCATATTCCCCCTCGACTATCACATCTCCCGTCGATTGGCGACCCCAATCGACTGGAATATCTAGTTCAGGTCCTCCCTATGGCGCCGAGCATCCGGCCGGGTTACTACGACCAGGCGGACCTTTGGCCGAACAGCGTCCAGCCTTGAGCCAGCGTGATTCGCTATTCCTTAACCCTGTTCCCAGCTATGCTCAAACGATGGTTTCTGACTCTCCCACGCGGTCGGGGACGATGGTTTCGGGGGATTATGCCTTTAAACCGGAACACCAAGGAGGGTATGGAGCCCAACCGCCAAACCCTTATGACAGCCGGACCGGCACAATGGTAGACTCCCAGGTGTATTTTTCCGATTTTGCCGGTCAACAAGCATACGACCATGGTCCCGGTGGAGGCGGCGGTGGCGGCGGCGGCGGCGGCGGCGAATATGGCGGAGGCGCACACAGATATTCATCTAGTGATGCCTTCTCACCTACCGCTGCTATGGCCCCGCCCATGCTTACTGCGAGCGATTTGCCTCCCCCTGAGGCGCTGGAGTATCAGATGCCCCTCGACCCCCGAGAACTACCATTTGCTATCCATGACCCGCACGATGAAAATACTGCTATGTCGAATTTCGACAACATTGCTGCTGTGCTAAGACACAGGGGGCGCACTACTGGGAAGCTTCCGGCATATTGGGTGCTCGATAGTAAGGGGAAGGAGATAGCATCTATTACTTGGGACAAGCTCGCTTCTCGAGCAGAGAAAGTAGCACAAGTCATTCGAGACAAAAGTTCGTTATATCGTGGGGACCGCGTTGCTCTTATTTACAGGGATTCGGAGATTATCGACTTCGCAATCGCCCTCCTAGGCTGTTTTATCGCGGGCGTTGTGGCAGTTCCTATTAATGACTTACAGGACTACCCAAAGTTAAACCTCATCTTAACTTCCACGCAGGCGCATTTAGCCTTAACTACCGACAATAACTTGAAATCATTTCAGCGAGATATCACTACGCAGAAATTGAACTGGCCTAAAGGTGTTGAATGGTGGAAAACTAATGAATTTGGAAGCTATCATCCGAAGAAGAAGGATGACGTACCCCCTTTATCCGTCCCTGATCTAGCATATATTGAATTCTCCAGAGCCCCGACAGGAGATCTTCGGGGTGTGGTACTTAGCCATCGCACTATAATGCACCAAATGGCCTGTCTAAGTGCTATAGTTCAGACAGTCCCTAATGGGTCCAACGACACCTTCAATCGTACCCTTAGAGATAAGAATGGACGCCTAATAGGAGGGGGCGCCAGCAGTGAAATTATTTTATCCTACCTTGATCCTCGTCAGGGCATCGGTATGATTCTGGGTGTCCTTCTTAATGTCTATAGCGGCCATACGACTGTATGGGTAGAGAATAAAGCGGTAAACTCTCCCGGTCTCTATGCTCACCTCATTACTAAATATAAGGCTACGCTTATGGTTGCCGACTATCCCGGCCTGAGAACTGCTGCCTTCAACTACCAACAAGATCCTATGACTACTCGAAATTTCAAGAAGGGCATGGAGCCAAACTTTCAGTATGTCAAGCTTTGTCTAATCGATACCTTGACGGTGGATAGTGAGTTTCACGAAGTATTAGCCGATCGATGGCTTCGACCTCTACGAAACCCTAGGGCTAGGGAAGTCGTTGCCCCGATGCTATGTTTGCCTGAACACGGAGGCATGGTTATCAGCGTCCGAGATTGGTTAGGTGGCGAAGAGCGCATGGGATGTCCATTGAAATTAGATATTGACGCCGATTCCGGTTCGGAAACCGACAGGGAGGAAGAGAAGGACAAAGAAAAAGAGAAGGAAAAGGAAAAGGAGAAAGATAAGGAGAAGGATAAGCCAGCGCCATCGAATGGGTTTGGAAGTCTTCTCGGGGGCGGTACGACGACTACGAAAGAGCACGACGCTAAGAATGATCTCAGTGAAGTTCTGCTAGACCGAGAAGCGCTCAAGACGAACGAAGTCGTCGTAGTAGCCATAGGAGAGGATGCTCGGAAGAAGGCGAATACCGAACTAGGCACCGTCCGGGTTGGTGCCTTTGGATATCCTATCCCAGATGCTACTCTCGCTGTCGTTGACCCTGAAACGGGACTTCTGACCTCTCCACATTCTATTGGAGAGATTTGGGTGGATTCTCCTTCTTTATCCGGAGGGTTTTGGGCGTTGCCTAAGCATACAGAGCAGATCTTTCATGCGAGACCCTACAAATTCGAACCCGGAGACCCGACGCCTACACCGGTAGAGCCCGAGTTCCTCAGGACCGGTCTTCTTGGGACCGTGATTGAAGGCAAAATCTTCGTGCTTGGATTATATGAAGACCGTATCCGACAGAAGGTCGAGTGGGTTGAGCATGGCCACGAGGTTGCTGAGCATCGATATTTCTTCGTGCAGCACATTATTGTCAGCATCCTTCGAAATCTGAACAAGCAAGTATTTGATTGTTCCGCATTTGACGTCTTTGTCAATGATGAGCATCTACCAATAGTAGTACTAGAGTCGTCGGCAGCTTCAACAGCTCCAGCAACGTCCGGTGCTCCGCCTAGGCAGCTAGACACCGCGTTGCTAGACACGCTCTCAGAAAGATGCATGGATGTTCTTATGCAAGAACATCACCTAAGGGTTTATTGCGTTATGATCACGGCACCGAACTCCTTACCTCGTGTGACGAAAAACGGTAGGCGAGAGATAGGAAACATGCTGTGCCGCAGAGAGTTCGATCTCGGTAATCTGCCATGTGTTCATGTAAAATTTGGCGTCGAACATGCAGTGCTAAACCTGCCTATTGGGGTAGACCCTATGGGTGGTATTTGGTCGCCCACGGCATCAGACGCTCGAGGAGACTTCCTTGGACCTGCTGACAAGCAATATTCAGGAATTGACAGACGCGAGGTTGTCATTGACGATCGTACATCTACGCCATTAAATAACTTCTCAAGCATCACAGATCTCATCCAATGGCGAGTAGCACGACAGCCGGAAGAGCTCTCCTATTGCACTATCGACGGCAGGGGTAAGGAAGGGAAAGGCATTACGTGGAAAAAGTTTGATACTAGAGTTGCTGCTGTGGCCCTGTATCTCCGTAACAAGGCTAGAATACGGCCCCGTGACCACATCATGCTCATGTATACGCATTCCGAAGATTATATTTTCGCCGTCCATGCATGCATTAACCTCGGTGCTGTCATCATACCAACTGCACCGATGGACGAGCGACGATTGAACGAAGATGTACCGGCTTTCCTCCATCTCATTAATGACTATGGCATCAAAGCTGTACTTGTTAATAATGAGGTAGATCACCTCCTTAAGTCGAAGGCTGTCTCCCAGCATATCAAACAATCCGCCCAGTTCCTCAAGATCACTGTCCCGAGCGTATTCAATACCTCGAAACCACCTAAGCAGAATAGTGGTCTCCGTGACCTTGGTATTACCGTCGATCCTGCCTGGATACAACCAGGATATCCTGTTATAATCTGGGCGTATTGGACACCAGATCAGCGCAGAATTTCGGTGCAACTTGGCCACGATACTATTTTAGGGATGTGCAAGGTTCAAAAGGAAACTTGCCAGATGACGAGTTCGAGACCGGTGCTCGGCTGCGTCAGAAGCACCACAGGATTAGGCTTTATCCACTCGTGTCTGATGGGTATCTATATAGGCACGCCTACTTACCTACTTTCGCCCGTGGAGTTTGCGCAAAACCCTATCTCACTCTTCTTAACCCTGAGCCGTTATAAGATAAAAGACACGTATGCAACGCCCCAGATGCTCGACCACGCTATGAATACGATGCCCGGCAAGGGCTTTGCTATGCACGAGCTAAAGAACATGATGATCTCGGCCGAGGGAAGGCCTCGCGTCGACGTATTCCAAAAGGTCAGACTTCATTTCGCGGCCACTGGCCTTGATAGGACGGCTATAAATACGGTATACTCACATGTGCTAAATCCGATGGTTGCGTCGCGGTCGTATATGTGCATCGAGCCTATCGAGCTTTGGCTTGACCAGCGGGCTCTTCGCAGAGGGTTAATCGTTCCTGTGGATCCAGACTCGGATCCGAAGGCCCTATTAGTTCAAGACTCCGGTATGGTACCGGTTTCAACCCAAATAGCCATCGTCAATCCCGAGAGCCGGCTCCTCTGTACGGACGGGGAGTATGGGGAGATCTGGGTCGATTCAGAAGCATGTGTGAAGGCGTTCTACGGTTCCAGAGATCCCTTTGACGCAGAACGCTTCGACGGACGCACTATAGATGGCGATCCCAACATCAGTTATGTCCGAACTGGAGATCTCGGCTTTCTGCATAACGTCAGTCGGCCTATTGGACCGGGTGGGGCCCAAGTAGATATGCAGGTCCTTTTCGTACTGGGTAACATTGGCGAGACTTTCGAGATTAACGGTTTAAGCCATTTCCCGATGGATATAGAGGCCTCGGTTGAGAGATCCCATCGAAACATCGTTCCTGGTGGCTGGTAAGTTCAACTCTTGTCGAAGAAGTGATCGCTCAAGGCTAACATAATATCTAGTGCCGTCTTCCAAGCAGGTGGTCTCGTAGTCGTCCTTGTCGAAGTGTCACGCAAGGCTTATCTTGCATCTATCGTCCCCGTCATCGTAGATGCTATTCTCAACGATCACCAGATAGTAGTTGATATAGTTGCCTTTGTGAACAAGGGTGATTTCCCTCGTAGTCGACTCGGTGAGAAGCAACGCGGCAAGATTTTAGCTAGTTGGGTTACTCGAAAGATGCGTACAGTCGCGCAGTTCGCGATCCGCGACCCAGACTCCGATAGTGTGGAGGGCGGTGATGGAGCGGGCGAGAACCACCGTGCTAGTGTGGGCAGCGTTCGAAGTAACAATGCCCCCGGAGCAAGTTCTCTAAGAAATATGGAGCACGCACCACAAATTTTGGAACAGGAAGAGCTAGATCATCAGATGAACAAGATGTCGGCCTTGCCTCAAACAGTGGACCTTTCCGCCAGCAACGAAAGAATTGTGGATATGGACCGCTTCAGCAACGGGGGCATGCCGATGAGACAATACCCGCAGCCACCACAGATCCGCCTCCCGAGTGTCGACAGCCGCGAGGCTTCGAACGAGGCTATATGGGCCCGCAGGCAAAGTAGTACGGGACAAGAAGAGGAGTGGCAGCGCGATGCCCTGATGCACATGAATCTGGCCAACCAGATGCCGCGGCAAGATTAGAGGTCTACCGCCTCGGGAGGAAGGGGTTTATACAGGGGGGTGAGGCGTGATAGCCGCATATGACCGTGGTCCAGACTGGCTATCTATCTATCCTAGCATTCCAGTAGATAGTAGATACAGTCCGGATCCGGCCTTGGAGTTAACTGGTCTTGTGGGTTTCTCTGTAACTCGACTCTCGGTAACGAGGGTCTGGATAACAGTGTTTTCTCTCTCTTCAAAGTCTTCTTCGAATAGCGTTAGGATTGGGCATTGGTTGTTTTTTTTTCCCTGTACGATATCAAGATATCACGAATCGGATGTCTACATGAGCATTGAGACGATACTCCGAGCCTAGTTATGAATTTTTCTGATTTAATACTTTTTTGTGGTATCGGTTCCTATCAATTTGACTGATACCTTCATCTCAACTAAGTAACACGAAGTAGCTGGACGTTGGGGTTGTTCCATTGGTTGTGTCTCTGACTCCTAGGTATTAAGGCTAGAAAAGATACTGAGATCTTTTTACGATTCCAATGGTTGTGATCGCTGCCAAAGGAAAAAAAAAACACATTCCTCGGCAGCATTTCTTTCTATCAACATGTTGAAATATAACCGATACAACCGATTACCAAGGGGCTACAGATTCAACTTGAAAATGTCGTAAAATTAAACATCAAAAGTCATAAATATTACCTACGGATATTATATACTAACAGAGTGTACTACACACAATGTACGACAAATATCTTCATACACACACACAGACAATAACATATCATAATAACCTAGAAGATAAAGGACATGGTAGATATGTATTCAACCTTTAAATTATAGTGGCTACATAACCGCGACACTAGGTAGAGAGAAAGTTTTTGTATGTCTTTTTTACGTTACTCGTATAGAACATTTTCATTCTCATCGCATTAGATTCCGTAGGTAACAATCCCATCTTCATTCATATCATATCATAGCTTAACGTTCTTCTCAGTCTCGGCCTTGATGGAGGCGCCGAGCTCGGGGTTGACCTTGGTGAACATGTCGTATGTTCGCTCCCGCGTGTCCTTGTGGGCATCCTTTAGGTGGACGGCGACGTTGTTGACGAAGTTCTCCTGTTGACCCGGGGTCCGGCCGAGGACCTTCCAGAGGCCGTTGGCTTGCTCGTAGTCGTGGGGTTGGATCTCGTCGAATAGGTCGCTGACAGCGGCTCCGGACCATTTCTCGTGGGGGTTCGTAGGCTTGATGGCCTGGTAAGTCAAGTTGCGGTAGCTGCTGGGGTAGTTGGGGTTGGCGCCGTAGTTTCCGTTTACGGACATGGCTCCGTCACGCTGGAAGGGGTTGAAAGCATGAAGAGGTGCGTTTACAGGAATTTGCTGGTAGTTGACACCGAGCCTGTGCCTGTGGGTATCGGGGTATGAGAATAGACGGGATTGGAGTACGGGGTCTGCCGAGGGCTCAACGCCAGGGACGAGATGCGACGGAGAGAAAGCGACTTGCTCAATCTCGGCGAAGTAGTTTTCTACGTTCTTGTTGAGTGTCAACTTGCCGAATCGTCGGAGAGGTACTTCAGCCTGTGGCCAGACCTTGGTCAAGTCAAAGATGTTCCACTTGAACTTCTCAGCTTGTTCTGGGGTTAAGACTTGTACATAGACGGTCCAGCTTGGGAACTCGCCCTTTTGGATAGACTCGAACAGGTCCTGGGTTGCGAAGTCGGGGTTGTCAGAAGCCAACTTGCCAGCTTCCGCGTTGGTGAGGGTCTTGCTTCCTTGGTCAGTCTTTAGATGTACTTGGACATAGACAAAAGATCCGTCAGGCTTGGTCCATTTGTGGGTGTGGCCAGAGTAGCCATTCATAAACCGGTATGAGTAAGGCGTTCCTCTGTCAGAGAATAAGTGCATAACCTGGTGGACGGATTCTTGGTGGGTAGACTAGTTTATATTAGAACTTGCTTCTATAAGGCATTACAAGCCGGTGAGTAAGTTAAGTGTACACATACCAAGTAGTCCCAGAACATAGTAGCATCCTTCAGATTGGTCTGAGGGTTACGCTTCTGAGTGTGGATGAAGAGTGGGAAGTTAGTGGGATCTCGGAGGAAGAAGATGGGTGTGTTATTGTAGACCCAGTCCCAGTTGCCCTCCTGAGTGTAGAACTTAAGGGCAAATCCTATAGCCCTAGTTAGCAATTGCGCGCCAACTATTCTAAGTGGCAGTTAACATACCTCGAGGATCTCTGGCGCTGTCGGCCGACCCCTTTTCGCCACCGACGGTAGAGAACCGAACGACGGCTGGTGTCTTTTTACCAACGCCAGTCAGCATATCAATAGAGCTGATATCACTGATGTCATCGGTGACTTCGAATTCACCGTAGGCGCCGGCACCCTTGGCGTGGACGACACGCTCAGGGATACGCTCGCGGTCAAAGTGGGCGAGTAGATCAATCAAGTGGAAGTCTTGAAGTAGGAGAGGACCATGAGTGCCAACTCGCTGCCACTTAGAGGGATTCTCGATAGGAAAGCCATTGGAAGTAGTGTACACGGGCTTCTCATTGTACCTAAAGGTAGACGCGGGCTTCTCGTTGGCGACCATCTTTACGATTAAGGGAGTTAAAATAGAGAAGGGTCAACGATTAATAAGGTAAAGTTGGTACAACAGCTATTTTTGTTTTGGGTATCTTAGAAAGCAGTCTGTCCAAACTCAGGGGCGCTACCTGAACTTCGGGAGTAGAGTTGTGTTACTACGTAGACGAAGAAGTCCCCCTCACACAGATAGAGCTTCTTATATACGTACGTAGGTAAGGGGTATGAATGGATAGCTAGGTTTGTGCAAACCGGAGGGAACGGAAAATATCAATCAAGCTGGAGAAAAGGGGGGATGAACAGATATAAATACTTAACCTAACCTACCTTAAAATGTCCTACTTGGCTTTGTAATAAAAGTTTCAACTACATTTCATGAAACCGCCCCCCCTCTATCTCTTCTCTCTTCTCTCTCTCTCTCCACTCCCGAAGTCCTCGCATCATCGTAGCAATGCGCTACTCCAACTATTCATCTGACCACTTACATACGAGCTGCGGCGGGCTTTGTATGCGTCGTGCTTGCTCTAGTACATAGCACGGTCATATGTATATGGGGTTTGATGAAGGGACAGGGGGAGGCGAGCCAAGGAGAGACTCTTCCAGGCTCGGAGGGGGTGGAGAAAAGATGAGAGGTTGAAAAAAAAAAAGTGACGAAATTGAACGAAAGTAACGGGAAATGGGTCCAAAGTGGGGTTCAGGTCTGCATTTGGTAAACCAGTAAACCCAAAACTTACGCAAACTACCAGACTTTGGGAAGTGGGGTAAATCTACTGGGTCGGGGTTAACCAATTAGATAATTGCTAATTGTGAGCTTTTAAGTTGCCCCGCGATTTACCGGCCGTCGGCATCCCTCCGATACTTTTAATACAACATAAAACATAATCCCATGTCTTGCCTTGCCTTGTCTAACTTTGTATTACCCAGGTAAGTACCTACATATCTATATACAACTTCAAGACATCCTCGTCGCTATGCTATATCTTCTCCAATGATATAATCCCCTTTTATAAAATGTAATTCGGCAGGTAACTATAAGACCTATTAGGAGTTCGGTCACTCTCGGGCTTCGCTATTTCTACGGATTCTCTAGTTTCTTTAGCCTTCGCACTTGACTTACACTACACTTACACTACATACAGTCTTACGCGACGCGTATTAGACTGATTGCCTACTTGCCTGCTTCTTTTTTTTTTTTTTTTTGCGGAGAATCTTAAAGCGCCACCGTCTAGCCGTCATCTCCTTGCAGAAGAAGCAGCATAAAGAACTTGCACGTCAGATGGTCTCTTACCTATTACTAACCGCGATCTTCTGATTCAACGAAGACAGAACCCCCCCTCCCATCCCCTTACCGATCTCTTCCCTTGAAGATCAAAGAACGGAACCCTGGTGGCAATACATACAAATACATATATACATACATACATACATACATATCTAAGCCCCTCGAACTTATATACGTACATGCAGAAACATGACTATCAGAGCGTTTCCCGCTCGAAAACGACTCGATGTAGGATCCTAAGCGCTTCCGGGTCGTCCTAGTGCATTTTGCCGGCAGATGATAGTTGAGCTATCGATCCGTCTTTTGGTCGAACCATCTCGCCCATCAGCAACCCCTCCATTATGTAGTAGACAAGCCAATACACTAGTTAGTAGGTGCCGCATGGTTATATTCGGCAATCCGACTCGGCCGTCTTATTAATTACCTTAGTTAGCAGCTCGTAGAAAGAAACTTCTCTAGGTATTAACCCAGCTTACTACAGCCCGCTTTTGCCCTTTAGGAAACTTCTATCGGTTTCCGAAAAGGGGGTATCAACTAACCTACGTACTTCGGACGAACAACTCAAACGCGCTCATCTTTATAACACCGTAACTCCCCACAAATAGTCGATGACATCATAGAGCATATACCTTCCATTTTTGTCTAATTAATACAATACCCATACACACTTATACTGTAAAATAAAATGGCCGATTTTACTTTTTCCAAAACCAAAGAGCTCTCCTTTTTTCGTGGGATATCATATCCAGCAAGGCTCTCCCTTCGTACGGTACAAAATTAGCCCCCGGCTGTCCCGGCCACTATGTAAGTTACACAAAGTAGGTCAGGTACATAATAGCACAGGCAAGGCGTCACAATGTGATCCTAAATTTTGTAAACTCCGATTGCACAGGATTTTATATCCGAATTATACGCTTAAGTACCTAAGTCAAGGGATACCTAAATCCTTTTGCGAGCTGATCTTGGGACCGTGTTTCCCAATCTCGCGCTACCGCTATTAATATGGTGCATGTATGTAGATGATACCTTAGGTACCTACCTAGGTATGTATCCCCATGGTAAGGCCGGAACCCCGCGTGGTCTCGTGGCGACGTGGTCGGTCAAGTACCCATAAGTGGGGCCGAAAATGCGGCAGCTTCCTTCGAGGTAAAATATCATTACGGCTAGCCAATCGCGGTAACATCTATAAGTCACGTATCTCTTACATTGTATACTATATCGGCCAACGCCGTGAAGGACCATCAGTCGTTGAGAGTTGAGAGTATACCTTGATATCAATTAGTTATGCCAAGGAAACTTATACTTTCTATACAAAAGAAAGCTACCTATATATGCATGGTGACGGGCAAGACGGCCGAGCTAAAGCTCCTATTCGACGAGAGGAATGTTACTAGGAAACAAAGCCATGATCTTCCCCTGAATCATCAAGCCATGAAAGATCGCGAATCACAAACACCATCTAAGACAACCATGGTGGTAACGACTTGGGTCATTTACCTTATGCTACACGCATCTATGGTAATTATAATATATCTAACGTAACGACTGGATAGAGCCGACCCCAACCTAGTATTATTTCGATCCGGGCTGCCGGATCAAGAAATCCACCTGTCTGTCCTTCTATCTTCCGCGAGAGAGCAAATTAAGGGGGCTTGGGAGGTTCATCGTATATATAGGACCTAGCATACCAGACCAGGACCAGCCCCATACCGCTAATACGTGCCTGGAATGATGCATACGTGTCTCGAGATTCTTCATCGAACTTGATATTCATCATTCTCGCCTGCTACCGTGTCCTCTCCGGGTCCTCCTTCGTCAAAAAAAATCCTGTAGAAAACGCCTTATGCTCCCAATCACAGCGGCCGCTGCACCTCGTGGCCCTATCAGACTAGCATTGACGGAGCCGTCTACCCAAGACCGTAAGGATGCGGTACCAATAAAATATGTTTCGAGATGCTAAGGGCCTTGCTAGTGATGCCCATGGATTGATACGGTTGGTTAAGTGTTATACAGAGGAATGCTTTGTGCGATATCAAGATGTTTTAATCCTGTGACACGGTTTGCTATGTAACGTGTTAGCCAGATTCCGGTACCCCTGAAATCTACTCAAGTAGGGGGTAATCTGGCCGTAAAGTTGGCCGCCCCCTTGAACTGGATGTAGGTAGGAATTAGAACATGACTTACCACCAGCCAATCCATGCCTTCATTGACACCGCTTCCGTCGACCGCTGAGCACGCGACAATACTCCAGTTGCGATCCCTCAGCTCGCCCAGCCGCAGTGCCTCGGATATCTCGCCTGCGCCCTTGGCACCAGGCTGGTCCTGTTTGTTGGCAAACACTAGGAGCGCGGCATCCCTCAGTTCATCCTCGTTAAGCATAGCAGCTAACTCTTCAGCCGCAGTCTGTAGACGTTCGATATCCGTACTGTCGACGACGAATATCACGGCTGCAGTGTTTGCATAGTAGCATCGCCAGTAAGGTCGGATCGAAGTTTGTCCACCTAAATCCCACACGTTGAAATTTAGGTTCTTGTATGTTACGGATTCGACGTTGAACCCGATCGTTGGGATTGTCGTTACTACCTCGCCTACCTGTAGGAGGTTCGTTGTTAGTGCTTAATCCTATCATTCCGCTACAAGTTCGTCGGAGGAGGCGCAAGAGAATGATAGAAGTATTCGAAAGAATGGACGGACCTTCAGTCTGTATAATAATGTCGTCTTTCCCGCGTTATCCTGCGCAAAGTGTTGAATTAGCCGGTACTGCTCCAGATAAAAGAAGCTCTCAAATGGGCTCGAACAGGGGGGCTCTGTCAGCTCGTACAAGACCTAGGATAAGGATTCTTATCTCCTTCTTTGCCCACAACAGGCTGGACAGCCATGATACACTCTGGCCCATCTTGTGTACGTATGTATGTAGTATGTATTTTATCCACGTAGGAGCTTAAACGGCGCCCTTCCCTTCGAGGTAAATAAAATGGCCACGCGATCGTTACGTCGGTACTGTTTCTCTACAGCTGTCCAAAACTAATGATGGGAATTTTAAAATAAGGCGGAAATAATCGCGGGAACTCTAGATCTGCATTCAAGTCGTCAGGAGAAGAGGGATTTCGTAAACGCGTTTAAAAAAAAACCACTTTGTTATTTGTCAGAATACAAGAAATAAGGAGCTTGTTTTTTTCTGGGGCGTGTCAATCTTTCAGGTTCGCTTTGAAATCTTGCGCAGGGCCAAACCTCAGATTGGCTTCAGATTGGCTTTATTAAAGCAAGGGTCCCTTTTTCATAAGGTTTAACAAGGTTTAGGGAGGCCGCCACAAGCAAATACATACGCCAAGGCGATTGGCGTCCTTTTTCTTTTCGATGCCAAGTGACAAAAGCAGCTGGCAAATGGGACCCACATTCTTGGTAGGTATCTAAGGTACCTAGGTACCTATGTATTACCTAAAGTATGGAGTTGGTCATAGCTTAGTTAGTTATCTTATCGGAACTAAATTTTAGGTTAGTAATCAATCAATCTCTTATGATCACGTGCTCTAAATTCGGTACGAAGTTACTTCCAAGACACCCTTGCCGCACACAAATTGCATTGGGGCTGCAAAACCCTCGCATCACCCAAAATTTCTAGCCCGCTTTGTGATTTGACTACAATTCCCACCCTCCTTCAAACAAGACATTCACGAAACAATCTCGACATTCTGATCAGCACAAGCAGTCAAAATGCCGGTATGTATTCTATGTATTTGTCAATGATATCGCTCTAGTAGAGTATCTCACAACCATAATTTCGCATGATGTCCTTATCGTCGAGGCGAATGCGGTGGTTGTCTGATTTTCTAGTTGGCGATAATGTCTAGTTTTGAGAATCGCACTTCGCTAACATAAACTCCCAACCACAGAGCCACAAGTCTTTCCGAACGAAGCAGAAGCTCGCCAAGGCGCAGAAGCAGAACAGACCTATCCCCCAATGGATTCGTCTCCGCACTGGTAACACCATCCGGTACGAATCCCTCCCCCGCGAACTTCCCGACGATATCTTGATCCCGAGCCAGATAGTCGAGGGAGACCAAGGACTATAGAGATTATGGAAATAACTAACAGTCTGCAGATACAACGCCAAGAGAAGGCATTGGCGCAAGACTCGTCTCGGCATTTAGATGCATTTCTATATCCCCAATCTACATCAGGCTACATCTGTTTCTGGGGAGCCCACCTACCGAATGCGATATGTCACCATTACGGAATTGAGCGATTAGGCGGTCTTCAGGGGACGGGTCTCGCAGTGGAGGATCAAACATAGACTGGCATTACCTCGGTGGTGGGATTTTCTTGCAGGCAGAACACATAACTGTATCCTGTGTCAGTAGGGGGGAAAAGCATGATGGGTGCGGGCGATTCTCGGTTTTCTTCAGGGCTCATCAATTCCAGATTTGCATGGTACTGGTCATAGGGAATGAAATAACGCGTTTGCGAACAAAGTAACTACGATTCTTTTTGATGCCACTATGCAAGTTTGCGATTAATGTGATTGACACGCTGGAACGTGTAGTGAATAGGTACATATTGCCTGCCTCAGCATTACACTAGGCATCTACTAACAAAATACGAAAGGTCCAGAAGTCAATACCTGCTAAGTTTTCTTGCTGTCCAGTTCAAGTCCAAAATATGCCCCCTTTTTTTTGTTCTTTTCATTTTATCGATCCATACCCCCCCTTGCTTCTTCCACACAACCTTCACTTTGAGTTCTTCCAGCCTATTATTGTCTCTGCTTCAAAGACTTTCCAAGTAACAGGGCTTTCCAATCATTGTAGCCTAATAATCATTAGCTGACAGTAAAAATCAGAAGTGCTAGCCAAAGAAGACTTACCCATGGCGATCAACAGAGAAAACGTGGAAACCTTAGTCGTGGAGACGTGTGTCGAAATCATTATCGTCCAAGGTTGTGATAGTTGCCTCTTGGTTTAACCGAGCGAAACGTAGAGAATCGAAGAGGGACACGCAGGACTGTAGGTTGGTCATCGTCGTTATCGTTATCGAAGATAGACGGTAGAAAGAGATTCAGAAACGAAAGGCTAGCCATAGTGCAAGGCGACGACGTTGATGCTGTATCAAAGACTGCTATTGGAGCGTCTTCTCTCTTACACAATTACTGCATCCTCTGCTCCCTGCTGCTCCAGTTCCAGTTCATCCGAAGTAGTATCATCAACATGAACGAGCTGTGCCATCTGGAACGCCCTGTCCACGCGATCATCCCGCTTCTTCTTCTCCTTCTTCTCCTTCTCCAGCTTTCTCGCCTTCTTCTTTATATTTTTCATCGTCTTCGAGAATCTAGCCCAATCATAGTTGGCCTGGGCAACAGCCTGTTCGTAGGAGTCACGGTTCTCGTAAGCATCCTCATTCAGGAAGACACCAGGGAGGGGAAGAGGGCGACGTTCCGGAGCCGGAGGCTGCATCGTATAGCCCGCGACGGTGCCGATGACGAACCAGATGAAAACATCTGTACTTTTCACGGCCTGGCGGTCCGACCACCACGAGGCAACGCCCTGCAGACCAGTGTTGATCAAGCTGAAAATGCCCATGATGACGGTTGGTGATAGAGAATTGTTTTTGACTTAGTTATTGGGTCGGCGATGATGATGTAGCCTAATGACTTTGGAAAGTTAAGTTTGTTTTGTATTGGGAAAATATTAACTGACGCGGTTGGCGTCTTCTAAAAAGATATGTAAATTCGCAGCGTTACTATGGCATTGCTACTAAGACGGCAGTATAAGAACGATACATGTGTGGTCGGTGCACAAAGGATACAACGGCAAGAGCAACAACCTTAGTAACTACCTACTTCAGTGCTATATGTACCTCTTATGCAGGCTAGACGAAGTTACAAAGCTACGATGGTCTTCATCTACGTAGGTCAAGTACCTATTTTGCATACTGACTAGAATAGGATAAGAACTATTACGGCAACAATTCATAAAAGAGTAGGAAATTCACATGTGTTATTGTGTCACAAATCACAAAATCATAAAATACTTCCGTGGTGTTTACTAATGTCAATATGCTAATTCCAAAACTCCTGAATCAAATTTGCATACTCTCTAGCCATGTAGTGCTGCTGATACCATCCAGTATTTATACTGGTTAAGAGAGCAAAGGTTGGAGGTGGTCCGTCTCACAAATCCGAATCCACTCTTCTCCATGCCAATGCCACATGCAAATGGCCAGCTATGAAATGCCTACGATTTTTGCCACGAGCTGCAAAGAACCCCTCTAACCGGTTGTTGTCTCCATCCATCATGAAATCAGCCATATCACTTGATAGGACTTAATGAATGCAAATATTAAGCAATCATAAAACAACCGGAAATGTGAGGCGTTTATCGATCCTCAGCCCACTCGTTCTCACGGCGGATCTGCTCTTCCTCCTCGGGGGTAAAATCGTTCGTGATGTTGAACGTTTTACGAATCTCCTCGGGTGATTTGCCCTTGATCATATTGGCGACAGTCTTGCATCCGACGTCCAATAATGCCTTGATGTCGAGATAGTTGGAGGCCTATGGGAGAAAGATATGTTAGTAATTATACAGTAAAAATAAGAGGGTGGAAATATTGGGTTATACATACTAGGATAATCTCGAAGAGCATTTCCTGGTCCACTTGCATGAACTTTTGGTCCCACTCATCGATATCGGTGGTCTTCTTGCGATTATCGGACTCGTCCTCGTTCGAGGCAGGGGGATCGTGGCGGTGGTGTTCACACCACTCAATAACCTTGCGGAGGACAGGCTCGGTCACCTATATTAGATATATTAGAATAAAGTTCATTTTGCGGTTGAGAACTATAGCAGTATTGTAGTTGAATAAAAATGACTTACGTTGGGGATGGGAATAGTCTGTCCCTCAGCGTTAGGACCAAGATCCTCTAGCATGTTTTTGATCAGGAGTGATCGCTCGGCAACAGCCTTCTCTGTGATGCATGTGAGTAAAAAGTCATAGTAGGAAGTAGTAGACGATTAACTTACCGACATCGATCTTAACGTTGTCGTTTGACTGAAGGCGAATGTAGTTGGCGGCGGGAGGAGCTTCGGATTCACCCATTATGTCGGATTGAGATGAATGGTTTTCTGTATTGGAAATAAGTAAAGGTTGCAAAAACCTGGTCGCAAATCCAAACAGAGGGTGTATATGTATTCCTGATGCTTTTATGCTCGCAACCTGGTATGGGTAAGGAGAAAGAGAAATCAAAGTAGAAGTTTAGAGATGGGAGCGGATTGATGATGTATGTTGGTTGGATGTGGAGGTGGGTCTATGATTTGGGAAGTCTCGAACTAATGCTGGAGGGGCACGACAGTTAAATAGGTAACTTTAGGTAAGCACCATTGCTTAGTACGAACGATGTAAGTAAAAATAACGAAGTAGTCACCGAAACAACATCTTTTATGCTTCTGAATCACTTAAAAGTAATGTATCGTACTGTATAAAGGATTCATTTACTTACTAGAATCGTGACGAAAGGATTGGTGACAATAGATAAAAACAAAGTACAGTGGCAATTTGAGAAAAATGGGTGACTGTGTGGTCTTTATATGTTATTCACTGGGAATAGTGACTGTTGCGGTGTGTTTAAGTAAAAAAAAAAAAAAGGTCGGAGTAAGTTTGCGTCAGGCCGAAGGTTCAAGGCGCCACAATAATCATTTATATTTGGTAACAACTGTAAGGTTTATGGTATCTTACTTAGGCAGCACACCCGCCAATATGTACTGTATGCAGCTGCCTATTGTTGACATAGCAAATGGAAGCATTGAGTAGGAATGTACCTAACATAGGTAAGAGGTACCTAGCTGCAATTTTCAATTGCATGGACCCTGATGGCCTGATGGCTTCCAGGTCAATAGTTGAATGTACCTAGGTACATGCTATCTTAGGCACCTCACCTCCTATCAGCTCCTTGGCATGAATAACGTTAGATGTGGGGAATAACGTGCTTTCTTCACCGTACCTGCCTAGGGGCTAATACCTACATGAATCACATGAATCTACTTACAGTGCACAAGAGTCATGTAAGTCTGCACATTACATCCAACTGGAGTATGCTTTTCGAAAATCTACCCAGTTTCGGGGATTTTCCAAGTTGAACATTAAGCGTAATTATAACTAGTTAGGTAAATATGCAAGTTCCTTTTGCAGTATCCAAGATATATATATTATAAAGCGAACTGCTTAGGTATTTAAAAGCAGGTATGATATTAGTTTGTTACTGAAACTTGCATATATCCGTATCTATAATGTAGCATATAATAAAGTGATGTTTAGTTTTTTCCGAAAAGACCATTGGTTACAACCACCTTAATATAAAATATTTTTACTTCAGATAATCTAGCTTATAAAGGGAGAGTTAAATAAGTACCTACCTACCTAAGGTAAATAATTATAAATGATGCCTTACTGAGATTGTCCAGAATATTTGTGGTTATGATTTATTTACAAGTGCGTATATCGAAACTGAAGCAAAAGGGGTAGTTATAAAAAACAAACACCAAATGCTTATACAATGTTTATACGTATGTAGAAGTTTATGTAAATTCTCATGTATTTTCGAAGCAACAAGATTACACCACATATATCTATTGCCTTTTCCCTTTATTAACTCGACGCCATGATTTCCAAAACACGGGTTCGTGGCGGTATCTTGCATGTTTTGTGTTCCCATTATATGCATCATCCCTTTCTAGTTGCCGGACCGAGCCCCTCCCCTCTCCCTTGATGATACTAGATTTTTTTATTCCATCCCAGAGATTACATATTAGAAAATAGGCAGAAGGATAATATTTGTCCATGTGTGTTGTGCGTGTGCGTGTGTGTGTAGGCCGTAGCCCAACATGTCTCAATGATAACTGTTTGGTATGAGAAGAAAAATGCGAAAAAAAAAAGAGGGAAAGAAAGGGTATCAAGTTCCTCCGGTCCCCAACCTGACCCGAGACGAATTTAATGAAACCAGAAATCCGTATATCCGTTACCATATATTTGTTTCCTCACGTACGCTCATAGCCCCCTTAAACATTTTTCCGTTATTGATCCTTGATGCTACTTTGCATCCTCCTCATAGCTTCTCGATGAGCATCTATGAAATCGCCACGGCGCATCATCTCTTCAAAAGCACGCTCATTACGTTCTTTCTCCCGGCGCTCCTGCTCTTTTCTCTGAGCTTCCTGTTCTCGGTGCGAGAGAAGCATACTTCTCTGCTGATCGATATTGTACTGGACATCACTGTTTCCATTTCGAATCCCCATAGGTCCCAGCAAGGTTGAAGAACCAGAGCGAACCAAAGGAGTCTCCCCGCTGTTGTTAACGGCGGGTGAGACAGGAGTGTTGGCTCGTAGATCTACAGCAACGGACTGCCGGAAATTGGCGAGTAGGGCTTCACGGTGCGCTTGGGATGGGGCAGTAGAATGCCGCTGAGGTTGGTGGGAGTTGAACTGCGCGCTATCAGCTGCAACCGGCGGCGTGGGCCCTGGACTATGGCCAGGCGTATAAGGCATTCTCATAGTGCTATTTGGTCTGGGGTTAATTGTAGTCGATTTAGCAGAAAGCATACTGCTCTGACGAATGAGTTCTTTTCGTTTGCTGAGAGGAAGATCATCAGGATCCTGGCTGACAAGGGGTGAAGAAGCCGGTAAATTATAAGGAGGTTCCATTTGGCTGGTCGATCTAGGTGTATATTGTGTGGTTTCGGGGTTCGGCGGTGAGAACAATAATGTTGACTGAGATTTGCTACGCAAAAACATATCTCTCTTGCCAAGGAGTGTTTGGGGACTAGAGTATGACACAACACCCGGAACGGAAGGCCGATTCATTCCTTGTGATTCAAACTCTAAAGACGAAGGAGGGCTTGATCTTGAAGCAGAACCGTCTCCTTCCTCTTGTATAGCATCGACTTTAATACTGAGCCGTTCGTCACCCTTCTCTTCCAGAATTGGTTGAATGTTGATATCGCTTGACTGTCGACGGTTTTTCATCCGTAGACTGTGGCTTGTGTGAACATTCGGCTGGGCTCCCCCCGTAATATTTGATTTGTCGCTAGTATCTTGTACTTGTCCTGCTAGAGGCATGGCAGCAGACATAGCTTGCACCGAATTTTCTGCACCTGTGACAGTCGTTCTTGATGAAGAATGGTAGGCCTGTATATTTGATTGGGCATTAGATACTGAAGAGTATGACCTCGCAATGGAGGTTGCTGGAATACCACTCTCGGCTGTTTGCTGCAGCTCGTCAACATTAACAGGGGCGGGAACTTCCTCTCGCTTTTTCGACGTCTCTTCGGCCTGGACATACTCGTTTAAGCGTAATGTATCAGGCTCAGGCTTTTCCGCTAGGGTTAGATGTTTCGCCCACTCGTTTGTACGATACGATAGCGCAATTCGTGACAAACTAGAAGGGAGATGCTCTTTTGTGAGGCTCGCGGAGGACACAGCAGATGGTGATGCTGACTTGGCAACCTTGGATGTATCAGAGGGAGTTTTCGATCCCACCGCGTTGGTAAGATCAGCACCATCCGTCTCATCCATCTTTCCTATGGCATTTGCTGCGCTACTCCTTTTCGATTTACTTCCAAGGGGCTCTCCTAGAAATGACGGGCTTAAGATGTCTGTTGCAACTGTCTCTGCTGTCGAGTAGGGCCGAACTTCAAGATGAGTATCCGAGTTGATAGGCTTTAGGTGTGCAACAGGCCGATATTTAGAATTAGACTCGTCTTTCGACAACATATCAGCTAATTCTGCTTTGATTTCCCTTGGATGAGTAGGTTTCTCGGATTTAGCAAATTCTATGCTATTTTCACCATTATCGCTCATGCCGTCAACGGTAGCAACGATAGATCCAGTATCTCCAGTAGGTTTTTGATTCTTGGAGACTAGTCCTTCGTTACTTTCTCCCCATCTAGATGACGGCTGCGGCAACTCGAATTCTCCAGTCTCTCGTTTGGGTTTCTCAGACCGTTTAGAACGCTGTGATAAACTTCGCAGTAAGTTTCCTGAACCAACAGATAACCTATGCGATAGAGACGCCCTTGATGCTCTCTTGCTTAACGTAATAGACCGATCGTCTTCGTCGGCGAATGTTGCGAATGACGACCTATCGTCGTTGTCGTCCTCAATGTCCTCTTCTAGTTCCGGAACTTTGAACGGTAGAGGTATTATTTCGGGACCGGTCAAATTCGAAATCCTTCGCGAGTTGCGTAGTGATGTTGGAGATCCGGGTTGCATTTCGTCATCAACACCGGCCATCCAGGCCTTTTCATCGGGTTCCGGTAGGGGTGCCGTCTCCTTGTCATCGTGATAATCTCTCGAAACCCGAACAGTTATTCGATTATCCTCATTATGCCTTGCAATGACCAGACCCTCATCCAGATGTTTACCAACTTCAGAAGATGTACTATTTTCGGATGGGAGATCTGTCATCTCGATTGCATTCTCATTCTCCGCCTCGCTTGGTGACACCGGTTGAACGGCTGTCTGGGTGACCTGACCCTTCTTCTCATTCTCAATCTCACCAACACCCGAATCGCGAGAGGCAGTGGGACTCGATGGCGTCGTCAGATCTCCGTAAGTTGTCTCCCATTGCCTCCTTTCACGCTTATTATCTTCCTCAACCCGTCGTCCGACACTAGCTTCCTCTTCATCCCGCATCCTCTCGAACTCTGCCCGCTCTTCAAATCGCCTCGCACGGTGCTCCTGAATTACGCGCCACAGCTTGAACTGGGAGATTAAACCAAGAACGGTCAATACGACGATTACCGCGATCTCTACCTTTATACCTTTAGTTAACGGATATGTCGTGGCCTCGAGAGGGAATAGATTGTCGTTTAGGTTCCAGATATAAGCCCAGAATTCTTTCAACCCTGCTCTACTAAAGCAATCAATACCCAAAACTGTAACCGTTGCACCAGCGAACGACATTAAGCCGATCATAGCATATGGCCTTGTATAGTGACTGAAGTAGAATGCGAAACCTGCAGCCGTAAAGGCAGAGATGAAGATCACTTTACCAGTGGTGGCTGGAAGCAAACCACCCTCGTGCAAAGTGAGAAGCCACATGGAAAAACAGAAGCCACCGAGAAGGCATCCGAGACCCTCAGTAAGTTCCTTAAAGATAGTTGCGGCACCACCAAGGAGTAGACCGGCGCATACGACTGCTACGACATAAGCCCCCTGAATAGCATCCGATATAGGAGGACTCATAACGTAAACGATCAGGACTGCCACACAAAGACTAGCAAGATATGCCGATGAGAAAAAAGTATGTAGCCGTGTATTTTTGATGCCAACCAAAGCATACACTATGCCGGTAATGAGCATAATCGCACCGGAAACGCCCCATCCTGGCGTTAGTCGAGGCTGTATAGGCAATTCGCCTTTGACAACAGCTGCTACAATTATTCGATTAGAAACCAATATTGTATAATTTAAGTAAGGAAGGATAATGGAACTGCTTACGCTCTTGGGTGAAGTTATCATTACTCGGATTATTCCCGTTGAGAGCGGAGGGGATTGCGGTTGTTTCTGGAGTACTAGTTGTGCTAGTAGTAACCTCGACGGATGTAGGCTTTGCTGATGAACTAGAAGGGGTTTCTGAGTTATCTGGCGGAGCCGTAGTTGTTTCTCGGTCGTCATTTTGTGTCGTTTTTGTTGCCTCCACTGTCGAGGGAGAAGTTTCTTGTCTCGGATATGGTCTTAATCGCCCCGCGGCCACCAAATCGAAACATGCGAGTAAGTAGAGCAAAGTACAGATGCTCAACCACCGGGGAAGCATCTTGAAATATTTGCAAGATATATGAGTGTCGAAATTATATCCCAATGGTATAGCGCTCTGAGAAGCACTTCTCTTGTTCGGGATTACTATATGCTAAAACGCATGACTAGTAATGGGGCTATAGTTAGGATGAAACTACCTATAAGACAAGGGCACCATGTGTTTTGCTCTGGGTATAGAGAACTTTTGCAGTAGATGACATAAACGACGACGAACAATGTAAATACGCAAGGCCCCTAACTCGCAATACCAGCGCACGAAGCTGCGAACAAACGATGGGTAGCTGACTGGGCCAGCTTCTGGAATGGAGTGAGCTTAGAAGCAACTGAAACTTCAGGGTCAACCCGCATGCGTCCTAGGTAGAGAGAGTAGGGGGGGAACGTATCAGTAGATCAAACTTATCAAGAAGACGCTACCAAACCAAAGTTATCAATAGTAACCTCTGAGCCTCCTTCTCGTTCATGCAACGGCATCCGACATGAACCATAAGAAACTATTGGGATCTAACGATCCGATGGATGGGAACAAGAAAATAAAAGAAAAAAAAGAGAAAACTTTTGATAATAGATTACCAGCCAATTGCTCAGGATCTATCCACTACCTAACCTAGAGCTATTATTCAAAACACGGTACTTACAACTCAGTACCTACCTCTCTCTAGTGACATCTCAGCTAGCTCACCGTAGCTGGAGGATACATATGTATGTCTACGAAATTGCTTTCTGCGTGCAGCAGGCCATCATCTACTTGGCGGCATATCTTTCTAGCAGGTCTCATTCATGAGGAAGACTAGAACTACCTAACTTACTAGGGCGTCGTATGCCGTGTGATTGATGCGCGAATGACGATGATTAACCATCCAATGAGTGCGTTTGGGACGTTGACCGCGGGAGATTAGCACAGACGAGTGGATGTGAAGCGAAGTAAGTTGAAGCAAGATACTTTGATACTTTTTTCTGCTCGGACTCCGGAAGAAAATAACCTGCAACTTCCTTTCCAACTTCAAAGTAAGAGACCAGACCCAGTCGAGCAAGAACAAGACGGGAGCTTATTCCGGATTGGGCAACAAACGGTTTAGTCTAGTCGCCGATTGGTTAATATAATGTGTGACTTAGCAGCGTAACCCTTGCCAGCCCTGTATACCCCTGGCTACCGGTAAACCTTAGTGCACATTTCTTACCCACTTCGATCAACGTTTGATTACTCTTTTCGGTTCTTCTGCTGTCTTTCAAAATTCGAAAATTCGAATAAAAAGGCTCCGTCTTTTAACATGATGTCAGCAATAGTTTGCTTCATTATGTATGCTTTACGTAGTACGAGAGAATCTCCAATACCGCTTCGTCCGTTAATTCCATTGATGGCCGGAGCCGTAGACGGTAGAGCAGACCCGAGAGGCTTTCTTGACCCCAGATCTCCTGAAATGTCTCAGAGACGAGGCGCAACGCGTGCAATTCGATAGTTTGCATCTTTTGAAGCCACCAAGTCTAGCGAAGTATCAGATCCTTTCTCCTGGGAAGATGGCGGGGGAAAAGCAAATTGTTCCTGGATTCTAGGTCTTCAGAGAAGCTCTCAGAGAGGCCCACCGATTCCACTCAGGCAGGTCAGGTCGCCTTGCTCACGATCGCTCATCTGGCATTGGCTGCTGATCCCGCATCTAGCCAACGCCGCGTACGACGCTGCAAGCAGCAAGGATAAGTACAGTACAGCACATTTCTCAATAGGAACCAACACAGCATAACCAAACCAGAACACGACCGCACGCGCGTTTCGGGCTACATCAAAATACTAGCCCCAATGCAATTGACGATCGTCAGCTCACCGACTTTACATACTGACCTAATTGTCCAAGTTAAAGAATTGGCGGTATCTTCTAAACAATAGTAGAAAGGTGATAGTTACCGATGGTTGGGAACTTATTTCTCAGTCGCGAACGACTATGTGTGCTCAAGCACCAAGTAGCGCGCCAAAACGAGCGCAATATTGAAAATGACGCGGAGCGAACAAGCGAGCTAAAAAAGAGAGTTAAATTACACTCCAGGGTCCCGCCACCACCATTGGTGTCTTGCGCGAGCTACTATCAGGCATGCGGTAGCGAGACGCCTCGTCCGCCTTGGCGATTCGTCCCGCGGCGTAAAGGAGGGTGGTAACGGCGGGATCTCGCAACGTATGTCGATGGGACGTGTGCTCAACCCTCCATCATGAGATTAAACTTACCTACAGTACTTGTCTCTTGGGCGGCCTTACGAGGTTTGCTTTGAAAAAAAAAAAAAAAAAGTCGTGCGACTTGGTACGACTCCGGATACGCGCATCGATAATATCAACGCCCAGCAGCAGGAAATATACGCATCCCCACGCAGGTCGCACGTGCGAGCAGACTACGATAATATATTCGCATTTCCTTACCCGTCTTCGTTCGGTCATCCCTGTAGAGTCAAAGTTGGATGGGTGGGATATAGGCGCATTTTGATCTCATACTAATCTATGTGGCTTGAAGTGAACGTGACTGCTCAACATATCTCAATTGATATCATAATATAAGAGTTGACTAACTAACTGTTGAAACATATCTAAGCTTGGCGTTCTGAAAAGATAGTTTAGTCCCTAGGACCAGGACGATGTGGACGTCGATGAAATCTTATTTAGACTTATGTAGGACCCAGTCTGCCGAACCCATGGGTCCATCCATCTAGTATGTATCCGGGTTTCTGCCAGGCACCAGTGGACCCCAACACTTACCACATACCGCACATACATACATATGAGGTAAGTAGGTTAAATAATGTGCAGACTACTGCATGCGTTAGGATGTCTAGGTAGCCGGAAGCTTTAGTTTAGTCAGCTCAAGTCCAAAGATGCTTGGCTATATCCGACATCATCGAAGATGGGAATATTACGATGTGCACGAAGAAGCATACCAGCGCCTTTCTGTTACGAGAAATGCCCCGCACAATGACGTTTGTTGGTTGGAGTATCTGACGTGTCTTTCCAATATTTCAAGCACGTAAGAGGGAATACATAAAATAAAATAAAAGAAAATGCATATCGAGACGCACAGCCAAGCAAACTCCAATATTTCCCTATTCCATAGTTTTGACTCAGTCCGCATAGGAACTATCTCATTGTAAACCGGCGATCTGCGTAAGGGAAAGCATATGTATAATCGTAACTTGTATAATTGCTCTTTAGGAACGTTCTTGTAGGTGAATCTACCCCTACGTGATTCCTATTGCTGCAAACCACGTTGAGAGCGATCCGTGTCCAAACTCCGTTTAATACCCACCCCCCTGCTAACCTTTTCCCGCTATCCTCCTTCTCCGTGCCGGCCCATCCGTACCCCAATTATTACCTAGTACAACTACCTAACCTGATAGTCATCATACACCCATACCGTCATAATACATAGTTCTATCTCTTAGACACGCGCGTGGGCACGCGATCGGAACTAGACTTGCCATGAGCAAGCACTCTCCCGCTGCGTAGAGTCCTCTGGGTCTTCTCGGACGAAGATATGCTCTTTCGACTAAGCATAGTCGATATCGTCCGGAAAGGAAAGGTAGACACCGCTACTAGTGCTTGAAATGGGAGTATAACCAGCGCAATGCTCTTGTCGATAACCCACCCGCCAAAGTTTCGTTGAGTGTTACTATTCTTAGCAGCGACAGCAGCAAGCGCAATAGCATCATTAAGCCTGTAGTCGACATACTCGATACGATTGTCGGTTTGGCATGCAAGTAGGGTGAGTTTCTTCTCGTATCGACGCATGGCGCGATTTAAAGCATCTAGTTCTGGCTGTATGCTACTACGGACTTCTTGAGCCACTGCCGCCTCGATCAATTTTGGCTGTGGAACATCAGGCCGTGCAGTGGCATTCGACGATGCATCACCCGAAGCTCCTTGTGCTTCCAACTCATCTAGTCTGGTTGAAAGTGCTTCTAAATGCTCCATTGTAACAGTTTGCTTTTCATAGGGGTTCTTTGCGACGATTTGTTGAACTCGTAAGGTTCGATTTTGAAGCATCCTGATCAGATGTGAAATGGGGCGGACTTCGGCGGCGCAAAGGAAAATAGTGAGATTATAGTCAGATACCAAGCCCTCAGAAGGTCTCGTCAACTGCCCCCGAATAGTGTGTAGAAGATATGCGCCGAGCATAGGAAATATAAAGCACCAGGCTAGAGCGGCCGTCTCGTGAAAGTAGAGTTCTCTAAGCGCGGCATCCTGTCGCTCATTCCGCTGGCGATCCCGTCTATTGGATGCTTCTTCGGCTACTTCCCCGGAACTATCCTGTTTATTTGTCTCTTCAGGGACATTTTCCAGGGTTGTCGTAGGAGGCTCAACGTCGCTATCGGACTCAAAGACAGACTCAGTCATAATCTCATCTCTCACGATGCGTATCTCTTGCGCGGAGCGATACCAATCCCACGGCTGCGTGACGGACCAGTGAAGAAATATAGCAGCCAAGCTGAGTAATATGAGGTCCGTAAAGAAAGCACTCCCATTTTCGAAGAATATGCCAGCTATAGCAGGGAGCAGAGCTAGTGTAAGTGGGACGTAGACGAATGGAGATTTATCCGCCTCTTTGGAGCCAGATTTACTCGGATTAAAGAGCTCATCTGCGCTTGTCTCCAGATCCCTTCTAGCATCATTCAGACTAAAGTCGGAATATGTAGAGCTCCGCCTTCGAATATCTGCAAAGCCATTCTCGGCGGTGGGCGAGCCCGCATTCAGAGTGGGGCGGCGACGTGTAGGGGCAGATTGACCGACTGTTGCAGCTCGACGTAAGCTGAAACTTGGGGGCTCATTGCCGGTGAGCGACGATGCTCGGCCGGTTGTGTTCGCTGACGTCGAGGGAGAAGTGTAGCTCTCATCAGCCATGACGAGTATCAAGCGCCGTGAGATTACATGGGATCGTAAACCCCGACTTATATCTTTTGAAAGTTGTCTTAGTTTAGGTAGGATGAGATAAAATTGATATCTCCAGCCCATAGGGCTATGCGATGAATACCTCGATAATGTAAAGATCCACGATGTAGATGGAGAGTAGCATGTCTGTGCCCATGGGGTATGCGATGGCAGGGATAATCTGATGGGGAGGCGTCCTAGGTAGTTACTTGGCAAGATGAGGTCACCTCTTTTGCTTTTGGGGGAATAGCGTGCGCACGGGCGCAGGTCTAGGCAGTACATACGAAGTAGAGCTTTCCCTATGTATGTACCTACCTACCTTATGTATACTTCAGCTCTTCCGTTTGTCTGCCATAGCAAATTGTTACGTCACTATGTATACCGAGTTACTATCTTTAGGTAATTCATACGGCATAGTATATTTCCATAATCTCTAATTCCTTATGCACTTCTATTCCCTTAACCTTGAACATAAATATTTGACTTGAATAAGATATTGAGTACCTACCTAGGTACTTAGGTATGTAAGTAGTTATGAGAAAATACTGGTATGTTTGTATAGGTGGGTATGTAGACATGCAAGGGCTGGTACGAGTTATCATCATAGAATATAGAGGTGCAAGAACATCGTCAAGACTACCCAGCCAAAGGAACCCGAGCTTCTCTTTTACTCCAGTTTATATTAACCTAAGACGCATGTTGACGAGTAGATTCTACAAAGTCATGTTTCCCATTTCAACGAGTCAGTTACTGACATCAGGACATTAATCTCTTAAGTTAGGCCTGTCCACAATCTAGGTACGAAAGACTAAAACAGAGAATTCAAAAGAGAAGACTAATATCTAACTAAGGAATGACCATGTCTTCCCAACCACAAAGATTCCTCGTTCAATATTTCAACGGTGGATCTAAACGCTATAGGTAAGTAAGGCAAGTCAAGTTATATATTAGACGTCGTTATCCTCTTAAAGTTTTGAGACCTAGACCAGGGATCTAGAATACCTAGGTCTAAAACGCAACAACGTATGGGCCCGTCTAAACGAATTTAAGCGATTACGCAGAGGCTAGAATGTAATTAGCTTTTTCTAGAAAACTCCTCTCGGATATAATAGATAGTTATAATGTTCATGTACTTGATTAAGATGCATTAATATTCTCGTGTTAATGCTATTTTGATATGGTGCCAAGGGTCTATCCACCATGCCGAAATGGTGCTCTACCAGGATTAGCCATTATGCTGTTGATTTTTTTTCTTCTGTTCCCAGGGCTGCAGTTGAGCAATGACCACACGTCCAATACAGTATATGTAACCGCGATGCGGCAATCCCGGCGTACCTTGCAGGAAAATCAAATACGAATTACGCCGATAAGTCCTTGTCTGCCTTGAGAGTCTCTCAGGTAACTATTACGCCGACTGTACTTCTATTATAGCTTTCCTGACGTTGTGTTGTATTTTGATGGCTGATAGGAATGTATTTAGAGCTGCTGATGTGAGAGCTGGAATCCAGTGTCTTCAAATATAAGACTAGTTATGTAGAAAATAAATTTTTGGCCCATTTATTCCACTCGGTCGGGTCGCAAGCAGCCCCCAGGGCCCATGGCCAGACCAGGCTCAGCACAATCCGTGGCACTGCCAGAAACTGAGTGGAACGATGAGTGACGAGGATGCCCCTGAATAGCTTGCAAGCCTGACCATTTTAGCTGAGCTGCGCTTTGATAGGTAATGATAGGTTCGAAAGAAGAAAAAAAGCTCCGCAAAATAAAGCAATTTAAAGCCTTGTTCTTTTCTTAGTAGCTGACTTGCTGGGCGGGTTGGTATCCAGGGCTACGGAGGGTCACTATTGGAAAGGCGGATGACGAAAAGAAGCACTGTCTTTTTCTCTCACATAGTTATATGTTTTCTAAAGTTTGCTTAATTCCTCCCTTTGCTAATTGATAATTTACCTGAGGTTTCCGTTCGTCGATGTTCCTTTTTTTTTCCTCATCAGTAATATATATCAGACACTTAGACACACACCCGAGGCAGATTTCTACCGATATCCATTCCTAAGGCAAATTGAGCAGCAACTCGAGTGTGACAATAACCAAAATTAAACAGCAGTCAGGAAAGATGACGCCCTTTTCAAGATATTAAAAGAAAAGAGTACGCAACCACGATAGTGGCCCCCAAAGGAATATAAAAGCAGTATATATCGATATAAACCTAAAGGACAGGAACAGACGATGCAACTTAATGTCAATGACATTCGTTCTGATCAGTTGATGAGTGTTGGATACAAGAAAGAGAAAGAAGAAAAAGAAAAGCAAGTAAAGGTGAAGTACGTACCTCTTAACAATTTCATGCAATAATACGACATTCCGATATTCCGATATTCCGACACTCCGTGTCACGTCACTTGTCAAAAGGCCGTCAAACAGTTGGCGGTCTTTCCTCGGTCTGGACCTAAGGGTCAGCATTGAGCATGCCATTGAGGTATTCCATATTAGTGCTGGAAGTCTCGAATTACTTTAGGTACTGCAGAATTAGCAAGCAGCAGCACCAGTACAAGCATCCATACCAGCATCCACATCAGCGCCCGGACCTATCATTCGCAACGACCGTTTTGCTTGTCTCCCCATCACCTGCAGAATCCTCACTCGATTCAATTCCACTCGGTCGCGTCTGCTGCATCTGCACCTGCACCTGCGTCTATCTTTGTAATACCCGACCACAACGCCAACCCTCATCGCAAAAGTCGAATTCGACATTCAAAACCCAGTACAATAAAATTAGGATTAGGGTTAAAGCGGAGGGAAAAGGGGAGGAAAGTTTATTTAATTTATTAGTTTTTGGTCCAAGACCTCGAGTTTCTCCAATTTCTAGTCCGGCCGTCAAGGCGGCCATTTCTTCTTCTCATCTCAAACGGCTTCGCACGCAGACACTCGTTCTGCGAACCCGTTACAGGCCGCCCTAGATGTACAGCAGGCAAATGCCCCCGTCAATTCGCCATCTCAGCGCCCTGAACATTCCACCGTTACGGTCCCAGATCCTGCCGTAGTCACCACTACACAACAGCGACAACCAACTAATCCCCGAAGGAATTTACTGGCCACAAGGGCCCCCGGACCATTCGATCGTATCCATCAATCGCCTTTTCATAATCGTGTAGCCGACTCTGCTTCTACTTCATTTTATAGTCTACCACGTCGATTTGGCCCTGGTCGTCTTTGGAATCCTACTAATTCGACTCCAAGAATTCCTCCATCTCGAACGCCACGACCTCCTCGGCAGTCTCGCAAACGCCGTCCATCCACCCCGCCTCCCCCTTCCGTTCCCGTCAACCATCCTACTATTGAAGTTTCATCAGACCCATCTGAGCCTATTGGGTTTGGAGCGGGCGACTATCCTCTTCTTCCACTTCCAGATAAATCAGCACGGACCAGTCCACATCTCGAGGGTAGGGCAAGTTTTGATAAGAGGATAAGCCTCCCTCCTTCGCTCAGGCATTCCTACGACGGCAAGCGCATTTCCAATCCTCCACAGGAGACCGAGGCTGGACCGTCGGAACTTAAACCCAAAGCCGAAAAAGCCAAATTCACTGGTTTGAGGAAGCGCGGCCAAAGTGTTACCAAGCGGGCGCGAGCCATAAGCTTTGGGCTTGTCCGACCCGATACGTCCGAAAGCTCCAATCAGAAGCTTGACAAGGGAAAGGGAAAGGCCACTATGCCCCCAATGGGAATTGATGATTCCAAGAGGTCATTCTCTAAAGACCTAGAGAGAGGACCCTCAGTTCTAGGTCACCGACATAATGGATCAAATGTATCACTCCCACCAGGCATGATCTCGGGCGTATCCTCCAGCAATTCTTCTATTCTAGGTGACCCCGATCAACCAGATCTAGGCGAAGAATGGGGACCTCAACATCCGTGTTATCCACATCTAAATCCCCATGTACCTATCAATTCTCCGGAATATGCGAGTACGCGGATTATACGCATCCGAAGAGATTGGCTAGTTGAAGGGGACTTGGCGCCTACCTTCTCGAATCTCTATCCAGAAATTCTGGATCCGGCGGGTGTATCAGAGCAGGAGTTCCGACGGGTCATCGAAAAGCTCAACGGAGACCTCGTACCTATCTTTAGTCCCTATAACTGGAGAAACATACTCGATGGCGTATTAGGCTTGCTTACGGGTTGGATATGGGACGATTTGGGCCTTACACATACCAAGATGAGATTGCGTCAGTTGGAGGATTGGATCGACAAATGGAATATGGAGATGGAGAAGGCAGTAGGCTCAGACGAGGGTATAATTGCTCCCAAAATCATTTCTTTAAGACGTACGGGATATATGAATGTGAGTTTAAGTTCTTCTCTTATATCTTCTTCTCTTATATCATGTTGAAGTGTTCTAACCATTCCTTAGCTCGACTTTCAAATTCCTGATCCAGAGATAGCACCAGCTTCAACCGAGGCGTCGGGGTCAAGGTCCGGTCCAAATTTACCAGTTGAACCTCAGCCAGCTGTATTACATGTGCCACCCATCGAGGCATAACAGCAACTTTTCATTCTTCATCAAACCCACTGTACAAACTCATTTCACTTCATACCTTATTTAATCGGACTCGACCCATCGCGGCCTGTACGAATTACGAAGATACCCAAGCATACCTCCTACACTTTTGCTATTTATTCTAATTATGTACCTATTACTAGAGCCAAGTCTCTTTTCTTTTCTTTTCTTTGATTACCGGCCTTCATCGGATTCGCTAGCTTAATATCACAGCATGGCACGGCGTTGCAGGTGTACCAACATTGATTTATTACGCCTTTCAGTAAAGTTAATGAGCAACCAAGACAGAATAGTCCCCAGAGGACTCGAAAACGACAGATCAAGCATCACTTATACATTTACTCTTACGATGACCGGAATTAGGACATCCTGCCTGCGAGGGCTCTGGAGCGGATAATGTGTATCGAGATAGAGACGTTAGCAACTGTCAATAATAAGCATACCCCAATATTTCACTTATTCGTGTATTTGTGCCTAAGTTTTGTTCTATAAAAATCAATTCAGGGATTTGCTAGCTCTGATTCGAGTAGTTATTAGCGGTAGAGCGTAATTCTCTAGCGAACAGGATTAACATGGGGGACTAGCATCTAATGCAAGAAGCAAGGTGCACGTACGGCCGCCTTCTGGTCGAAGTTTGACGGGCTTTCACGTCTCGTTGGAACGAGGCGTGTCCTCGGTCATAGACTACTGCGTATTGAATGAACAATACGGCTCCTCCTCTCGATCTCGAATTCGTATCTAATTACACCCCCGTCAACGCAACAACGTATTAACCCTTGTTCCTATCCACGATCCTGTGACTCGACTCTATCCATCACTTTTTTTTTTCCTGAAAAATAGGTTTTGTGGGTTTTTTTTTGTTTGAATTTTCTTTCTTTCTTTTTTGATCCTTCGGTGGAAGATTTCTATTATTAGGTATTTTTTTTCTGCCATCGTAGATGATGAGCTATCGTTTCTAGCAGTGTTGCTTTCGATCCGATTCATTAGCCTTCTTATTATTCTTCTTATTAGCAGACGAGTAGTTGTCGTTTCTAGAAGTATACCGTTCACGCCAGCTCATCGGCTCTCACCGTCTCCTTTTTCTTCTCCTTGGCAGTGGATAGGTAGGTACTTAGTTACCGCTACCGTTTCCGTTTCCGTTCCTGGAAGTGTTTCGTCCGACTCGGTTCAGCAGCTCTCGCGGGATTCTTCGGCCTCGTCCTCGCTGCTCGGCGGGGGGAGGCGGCGACGGCAAGGACGGAGAGAAGGCTCCGGTGATCTGCACGCGGACGAAGTTGTTGTCGGTCGAACGGACCGGGCTCTCGTTGGCCGCAGCAATGGCATTGGCGGTTTCTCGCGGGCGGGCGATCGAGGCCGTCGACCCGGTGCTGGAGAAGAATGGCCAGACGACGTTTTGACTCGTAAGTCGTCGGGGTCCGCTCCAGCTTGGCTGGTCTTCGAGTAGCTCTCGTGGCTGCACGGCCTCCTGCGGTATCTGGCGGCGCGCGGGTGTGGCTGTGCGAGGAGAGTCTGAGCCGTGCTCGGCGGTTGCTGATAGGATGGGTTGCGAGTCGGAACGCTCGGAGTGAGTGCGGGCGTGGGAGCGAGATGGGCCGGCGACGGGCGAGTCGTCTCGATGAAAATTCGTGAGATAGCTGTAAGGTACGCGCGGGTGTCTGCTTACTGGCGCACGGAAAGATGCGGAGGGTTGCTGTCCCTGTAGTGATGAGCGTCGTTCCGGGATGAGAGCTTCGATAATGACGCGCTCTAGGGGGCTTCCTGGCATGTTTATGTTCCTTCGTATGCTATCCAATCGATCTATAGGCATAGGCAATGGTCGTTGTAACGGGGGCATTGGGAACTGTGACAGGGATGGTGGCGATGATGAAGACTCTGAGGGCAGCGCCGGCGGCTGCTGCGGTGTCACTGGCCGACGCGGAGATAGAATTTCATTGGTATCGGAATCTGAGCCCGAGATTTGATAGGGATCAGGAGGCATTCTGCGTCTGTGAGATCAGAAGTTGGTTAGTTTCTTATTATAAAGCTCAGCGTTTATCAGAACAATGAGATACTTACTCTGCCGCCCCCCCATTTCCGCCGCCCATTTCCACGAGCTCGATCCCGTTACGGAGTAAGTCTTCAGGGTCATCAATATAGTGAGGAACATTATGAGAAACCACCTGCTGTCGGGGACGCGGGAGGCACCGTCCTAAACCCAGCCATGTCATATAGCCACGGTATACGGGGGAGCAATCTTCGCTCGTGCCGAAGAAACCAATGATAGTCACGGTCGTCAAAATCGCGAACCACGGTTGGTTCATCTCGAGCCACTCTATGTTCCACGACGGTACAAATGTAACAGAGTCCCATGGGTATGGGTCTGCGTCGTCGTGTATACGGTGGAAGTCATACGCCGAGGGTGGTGATTTGACTGCATTTTCAATGTTCTTGGCTAGTAAGAATAAGGATACCGGGGCATATATAAGCATGATTGATGCTGTGACGTTGTATAGACGACGACGGAGCCGAATACGTCGAGCTATTGCCAGGTTGTTGGACCCGATTGCTAGTTGAGTGTCTCTAGAGTATCTTCTATAGCGTAGATAGGCCCAAACTATAGTCCACGTTAGTCATTCTCTCCTCTAGTAATTAAGGGGTAGGTAATCCTTGATGATCTTATATATATATACTCACAGGTGAAGGGTATAGACAAGACCACAAAGATTGGGATCGGCACATCGAATACTATAGTCCTGGGCCAATTGTTGTCATACTCAGCGATACACCCGATAAGGGTGCCGACCTTGTACCGCTGTGATATAGTAAAGTACGTCATGACCAACTGAATGAGCGGAACCAGGAAGATGATAAGAGCTTGTTTCCATTCTCGCTTTCGGTCCTGTCGGGAGTTCAGTATGATTGCTCTGGTAACATCAAATTTCTTCGACAACTCATAGACGGTTACAAAGATAGTAGCCGCGTAGATGGTCTTCATCGGTGTCGACAAATATACTTGTAGGTCACAATACCCAACTCCGTCCCACCAGTCGTCCCAGTTATCGTTGCTCCAAATCATGGCATTGAAGACAGTGAAAGTGTTCATCATCCCTACGACTATGATGAGTGTTGCCCCTGGAAGGTCACCATAGCGCCATAGAGCTCGAAGCGGTGGCCAACATAGCCCAGTGCCAATGATAGCAAAGAGCACTCGGAGCACGAGATTAACCTGGATGCTAATGTTAGGTGTATGCTTCGAATCTACGGCCGCTGAACCATCCTGATCAGAAGTAGCTGTAGCTGCGAAAGCCATAAAGGCGATCATAACAATTACTTTGATCATGATGGACATCGCGCCGTAGAGAAGTAGCTTATTGCTACCCGCCTTAGGACACCAAAATAGGCCAAAGAGAAGTTAGAAGTTAGAGGTGATATTGCTAGATAAAATTCGTAAGTTTTTTTTTTCATCTGATGTTGCAGTGTTGTACATGTCACATATCATCAATGCTTTGATGGTGGGAAGCTTACCTCGAGTTTAGAGACCTTCGAACAAGATCCTGCGCGAGAATGTGGAGGAGGGAAAGGTTGGGTGACACTCCAGGTTTAAGGATGAAGGAGAGTACTTTGAGGAGGAAGTTCTTTTGTGTGAGCAAGTTTACCTCTTGCTCGAGAAATTCTGTTCGAAAAATTGTGCTCTAGAAACTATTCGCCCTGGTAACTGCTCTGCAAGCAGACACTTGGACCGCCTCGAAGAGCGGATACTTCTGCATCAACTGCGCTGCCTTGTGCTAGTAAAGCTTGCTAGGGAAAGAGGGGAGCTTTGGTGTCACGAACAATGACACAAGGCGAGAGCCCTGGGGATAAGTAGTAAGTGCTCTTAGGGAGTGATGGGGAAAGGGGCGTGGAGACAGGAACATATGGCTGGCCAACCACTGATGCTCTAAACGTGGAGCATCGTGGATATGCTCTCTTGTGCCTGTCCTAAGTAGAATAATCAGAAATCGATGCCTGTGAGTGGTTGTTAGGGGCGATTGATGATAGGACCTAGTGTGCCTGACGACTAAGCAGTGACCCGCCTTCTTAATTCAACTATGGAATAGATTCATTATGCTACGATTACTTAGGTACGCTTGTGGTACACTACATCGTCTAGAGGTATGTAACTTGTCTTCATAAAGGTAGCTCGAAAACGAACGATTCAGCTTTCACTGGTGCTTTAGATGTCCCAGGATCGTTCAGCAGATAACTATCATGCTACTGGATGACGGAATGGTAACTTGAATATTATGTAGGGATAATATGAAGTATGAGGGTGTGAACACGACGTAAAATGTATCACCATTGAAGTCCAGAGAATTTTTAATCTCTGAGCCAGGACCGTTGACATAGCTGGGGACCGGGGAGGGGGCTTCGTCCCAGGAATCTTGGTAGTCTAGGGATCAAGCATTGGGTTTAGGCTGGAGATTAATTATTTAACTATATATGGTGTATTTAAGATCGCAGGATTTAAATGTTAGGAGAATTAGAAACTATTAAATAAATCGTAAGGTTTTATGTGTGCCAAAAACTTCCCTGGAATCATCGACTTGGATGAGACGTATTGTGCTCGAACTTTTATTATTTCAGACCAGAAAGCACATACGTGGTATAGTAAGCATATCATTCGTGTTTCCTTACGTATTTCTCATTGTAGGGAATAATCGTCAATCGAAACTATATAAATGAGTTTGGGATTCGTCTTTACTGTGTCGTTGTGCCTTTATGGGCTTTTAAGTAAACGAACATGGGCGTTTAGGTACCAAGCGTGTGAATAAATAAACCGTCATGTATTGCCTATGTAAGATCAATCATACTTAGGTGCCAAGTATCTATGTGTGTGTAAGAGTGCGCCTATTAATGTTGTAAGTTCGACTTACAGTATATTTGCTAGAGAGATCATCTTATATAGACGTCTAGTCGAATAGGTCGACTTATTAAGGTTACATATGTCACAACCTTGTGTGGAGTTGCTGAAGATGTTGTCTATAGCTATGTATACGAAACTGAACGACTATGACTTGCACTAGTAGGTGTGTTAGGATTGTAGATGTGACGTCTATAATAAAAGATAATCTGTATGCATTGCATACCTCTACAGAATTCTAATATAACTAGCCTAGATCAAATTTCCTTCCGGAACAACAATGTGGTTTTCACACTTCTAAGACACGTTGTGATAAGACGACCTTGATTGGGTTAACGTAACTGTTGTAAGGTTGCCGTTTATACATGTGAATTTGAAGACTTGGAAGCTATTTTCTTAGGAATCTCAATGATTGTTCTATAATTATTAACCGTGTTCTATTTACTATGAATGCAGGTAGTTTATATCAGAAATTCCCATCGTTACTTTCTGTCTGGTAAACAGGTAATTATTTAAATACATTTATTGATATGAATACGAAGACTTAAATATTATTATTGATAGAGTTTTCTTTCATAATTAATCTAGGGATATCAAGTAAATGTTAAGGTTAGTAAAATTCAAGTGATGCCATCAGAATGTACGAGTGTCGTTCAGAAATGCAATTATAAGCTACTTGATAATTCTTGAATACAATATCCGATATATTCATATATCCGGTTATCTTGTACACCCCTCCCCCCACGATCTCCGACCAATTAGAATTAGCGATTAGGGCTACCAAATTTCCGTCGCGTCAAATGCAATCGCGAACTCAACGATATTTGACAAACGCGCAACTTGCAATATTCTCAACGTCCCTGTCCGCAGCTCAACCACTCGGCTACCATCGTATCCGTACTCCTCGTCAACGTAGGTCCATATACAATTTAGAGCAAAAAAATATGTCTTTCCTCGCCCGTCGAGCCACAGCTGCCGCACCGGGCCTCGCCCGCGCTTTCAGTGCGTCCGCCCGCCGTGATGTCGCCAAAATCACGCTGGTCGGCAACCTGGCTGCTCCCCCCGAGGTCAGAGCCACTAGCACGGGCCGCGAAGTTATCGAGTATGCCGTCGCTAGCAACTATGGGTCTAAAGAGAACCGCCAGACGAGCTGGTTCAGGGTCGCTGCTTTTATCGAGGAGGGACCCCGCCGAGAATTCTTGACTAGCTTACCTAAAGGGTACGTCCTGAGTCCAGACTATATGTTATTTTTTTTTCTGGTTTTATAGGGAATGTTTGGAGTGGGCGCATTAGTTGTGTTGTCAGCCTCGCATGGAAATATATATCTATCTGTGCCACGGATTTTTTTTTCTTTTTTTCGATTAATGTGGAGTGGAGACCAGAGCTGACATAAGACGCACAGAGCTACCGTCTACGTCGAGGGCGACGCCATCATGAATAACTTCACTGATGCCGACGGCAAGTCACGAAATGCGTTAAGCATTTACCAAAGTATGATTAACCAGACACCAAACTATATGATGTTTAGCCGCCAATGCTAATAAACTTGAACAACAGAAACCATCGAGGTCCTCAAGCGACCAACTCCTACTGAATAGGTAACTAGGTAGTCAATGTGTATAAAACTTGGAACGGCCAGAACGACACCCATTGGACCAAGATGTGTATGATCTTGGATTAAAGCTCTCCACTACGGGAACTTTCTTATGTCTAATGACGGGACTACGCTTGGGGATGTTACTGTATGATATTGCTACGTCAGGACTTGATACCAAATGTGTTAATGAATGTCCCTCCACCGTACATTGTCCAGGATGACAATATATAATATGCCCCTAATTCCGCCCTTGGCTCGTGGAAGATATTAAGTGGCAATGACTGAAATAATTGAGCAATATCAATGTCTCTACTACATCTAGCCCTTCACTTCTAGAGCCTCGAGATACGGCTGCTAATAAGGTGCTCATATATTATGCGAACACTTCTAAACTTGACAAACTGCATATTAAATCTGATAGATGATTGCATTTGGCTATTTTTGATGTCTTATAGCTACCTGATATGAGCAAATATCTATTCGAATAAGCAACGTCACCAACTCTATCGCAGAGCAAATGCTATGAAACGGGACCATAATCCCCTCCCAATTCCACATCTACGTTAGGCCAAGCTACAGCTATCCATGCAGCCAAACCCAGCAGCGACGCCACCTTCCTCGCTTTGATCTCCCTTCGTGCGTAGAAGATAGCCCGCCCTCTCGTTGTGGAGTATGGCCTTAGACTGCTGGTCCCAAATGCAGGTTCCATATATGCCGAGTTCGCAGATGACGCCGCCGTGCTCTAGCTTTCCATTGCGCAGTATCGTGTTCTTGACAGGTGGCGGCGTGATCAGTTCCATTAGAATATATGACGGCCAATGCGACTCCGGGACGGACTTTAGGAATGGTGGGATCGCGGAACGGTAGATGTTGTTGCCGCCTCCTTCCCTTTGGGGCTTGAGGACATAGCCTTTGCAAAGCTCAGGATCGACAGCGATCTTTCGAGCTTGGAGCCCGGCTTCTGTTTTATCTAGGGGATAGATATTGGTAAATGTATTGGCTAGGTCAGATATAGACGCCGATTCCTTGTATATGTAAAGGGGCAGGATGGACGGGTTTGATGGCGTCTCGGGCGTTGCTAAAATCTGTTGAACCTTTTTTGTGCCTGCGACCTGGGTTAATACTGTTGGGCATTTGATGGCAGCTGATCTCTCTAAATGGTAACGAGCTTCCCAGGCGGATTGATCAGGATAGTCTGACGGCCCGTAACCCGAACGCATGTATATGACGGCCACTTCAAACGTGTGAGAAGGTAGCTGCGGCGGTCCATATAGTAGCTGGCGGCCTGTACCCTCGGCAAGGGTCGTGTGCTGTAAAATCTCCGAGAATGGTAGTCGGAATACAGGAATCTGCGGCTCTTCGGATTTTTGGAGTTCATATTCGAGATGGCGTTGATCAAATATATTCCTTTCACCTCCTTGAACGAGGAATATGACACACTTCTGGTAGCTAGTAGATGGAGGCCCATATTTGATAAAGGCCTGTCGTATACCACTAGCTAATCCTGCAGCGCTACCATTCTCGGGTAACTGAAGTGTTCCCCTCGCTATTGAATTCTCCAACAACGGATACTCTGCTGAAGAAAGATATCTAGACACTTCTTAGTATTGCATGATTTGATGTGAAGGTGGATTCTAACTTGTGGAGCAATGAGGTTTGTGATGAGAGACCTCCGAACGAGGACGCGATTGTGTTAAACTCAACCTGCTTGATCTGTAGACTAGATCCATTACGATCCTGGTGAACCATATAGTCGGATCTGAAGAGGCCAAGACTTTTGTGCTATAACATAGAGTGAGCTTTGTTTACATGCTAAGACAGCAAAGAGAGCAAAGACTCGCTCAATTGGCCTACCTGAACATAGCCCTCTTGCTTGACTCTTAGGTGAACTTTCCATAATTCTGTTATAAAATCATCGCTGTCTCCAATTCTAATGCTTTATTAATTTATGACCTTAAAAAGCTGAATGGATTCCCATAATTAGTCTGTTATACTTACTCTTTCACAACCTGAGATAGAAACTCCTCATCTTGGCTAATAGATGCGTATAGCTCATTATAAGCCTTCTGAACCGTAATTCCCTGGTCGAAGCACACTTGGGGAAAAGGGCTCGGGAAGAGAGTAACGGGAACTGCAGTCGCAAGTATCCCTGCAGGATCAGCTTCAGCAGCGATAACAGCCGGAGGTGGTCGGACAGTCAAGCCATTGGCCAGTGCCCAATCCTTGACAACTTCAGTCAACCTTTCGCCTTCACTAAGCGTGATCTCAGGTGGGTAATTGGACATGCTTAAATTGTAATAATTGATAATATCAAACTGATGTTGGAGAAGAACAGTGTAGAAAGACTTATAAGCCAAAGAGGTACAAAGCTGTAGTGTTACCTGTTTTGTCTTGAACTCGGCGGGATGAAGTTTGTGTCTTGCTACACCCGATTATTAGCGCCTCTACCTATAAATACTTGAGACAAACCAAACCTACCGTAGTCTAGCTGTCTTAAGATGGGCTAGAACCAATTGTCATGTTAGGATTAGACATAGTTGGACTCGAGAAACGATATATATGTAATCACTGCTTAGAAATAAGAGCCGTGGTCATCTAGCTTCCATCGTGAATCTCTTTAGTACATGTAGCGTATTTTAGGATGTATAGTGGACATCCCAAGTACACACACATGCATGTATTCGAATTAAGTCGGTCCTCGTTAACGAGGTCACCCCGCTCTAAGAGGTATTAAAATTCGATTTAGTCCGAAGGGTCTAGATGACGTGACTGCGGAGCTATAAGTAGACTAACGTCTTGATATCTAAGCCTTTAAGGGCTGCTATCGGTATTTTCTACTGGTTAAATTCCGGCGAATTTGGACTGTTACTTATATGTACATGTAAAACGGTACATGGATGTAAGCACTTAGCCTTAACCATGATGGATTAAGTATATCGGATAATCTTACATAAATATACTGCTTCTTTAGTAAATTTACCTAATTATTCATCATCAACTATCTACCGGGAGAATTCAAACATAATACCCCATAATCAATAAGAACAATCCTCTCTTTGAAGGGTTTATGTCATGTACTTGAACGTATAGGTAAGGACTATGCTAATATCACGTGATATCGGTCTTTCACTGGGCCTTACTCCGCGTCGCGAAGTATCTTGAGATCCTGGACACTTCCATCATACGCGTTCAATCTATGGTATGTACATATATATCTTCTTTTAACAACGACACTTACTGTTGCCGTCGAGTGTATATGCTGGCCACTAGGTATGTATCCATTCTATATAATACCCTCCGTCTTTCCATGCTCATTATGACCGTTGTTTTCTAAGACATAACTGACTGATTGGGTATTTATAGAATTAATTAACAATAAATGAAACTTCTGTACTCTTCCGTTTAAGAGACAGGGGATTTTATTTTTTATTTTTAAAAAAAGCAAGAGCAATGGCAATATGTCAATTTATTACTTGCCACTCGCTGCGTCTTATACCTTGTCGACTCCTTAGGTCCTAGTAACTTGAACCTTCCTAAGCTATTAGGTACGCTGCAAAGTACCCAAATACCACTTATTGTTAATTATTCGACTATCTTTAGTCGGTCCTCTCATCGGTCTACTCATCCTTAAATGGGATCGAAACTTCATATCCTATAACACACATCTCTTATACGTCCCTACATATGCACTCAACATCTCCGTCTCCGTCTCCGTCTTCGTCTCCGCCTAGCAACATGCACTTATTATTTGTTCACTGAGTGAGTAGAGTCTACTTCTCGGCGATCTGGTGCATTTATGAGTAGGCACAATACAAGCCTTTCACTTTTCCATCTTCACAAATCCTATCACACACATCATCACGCAGTTATATGCTGCGGCTCCGTACTTGACGTGATCTACATACATCACGCTTTTTTTACTCCCTTCTCGCCGCTGGTTTCTCATTATTGCCAGCTGCTCTTTCTTATTTTCTCTTACTGATGCCCAGGGTTACTTAGCCTCCTCTCCCACACCTGTGACATATCATTTTTCTTTCTTCACACCCTCAAAACTCGTACACGTTCATGGTTGCTATTCTATTATCCACACTGAACGTCCATCTACTGTAAGTTGATACTTTTCTTTACTAAATGACCTTGGTAACTTCTGGCGTTATCCATCGTTTATTCATCGTTTATTTACCATTTTCTGCCCAAGTACCTACCAAGGTATATTCGGCGATGAGGAAAGGATGCTACATCCTGTGCTCTTTTGAACCTAACTTGGGAAGCTCCTTCTCGATTGTTTTCATTTCTGTGGTTTCCCATTTTGTACTTCTCATATTTCATTGAGGCTTGAATTCACATCCCCAATGATAACTTTTAACACTCTACTACACTATTCCCCTACGCACCTTTTCACGTCGTTACCTACATAAGGTAGCAATCAATACGTGTCATACTAATATTCTTTTAATTTCTAGTATCCCTTCATACCCCTTATTGACCCCACTCGATGGTATCGTTTGAGTGACAATGGACGATCCATGGGATTGGGACGTCGATAAAGTGGTTCAAGAGCTCTGCTCAGCCAATCGCTCTTGGGAACCTCCAACTTCTATTCCCCTGCAGTTCCCACCCCCAGAGAAACTTGAACCTCTATTACGAGAGCATGGAGTTGACGGTCATACGCTTCTCACATATGATCGTGTCGAACTCTGCCAAGACCTATGCATCAGGATTGTGAAGCACAAATCTATATTCAAGCATATTATCGACTCATTCCGCGCTCGTAGCAAACAGTATAGGCTGTATCAGAAACGCAGCCACTCGGAATTCGAAGCTGAGGATGACGAAGTTCAAACGAGAAACAGCGTCAATAGGGAGGTATTACCAATCAAGCCTACTTCTCGCAAACCTCTCCTATCTTCGCAAGGAAGCTTCAATCTTAACTCGGAAAGGCCACAAGATACGCCTCAGAGATCTCCGCCGAGCAATATTCATGAAGGTCATCATCCTAGAGTCGCGTCTACTACGACTCCGTATCGATCTAACACTTTTCATGACACCCCTTCCTACGCTCAGAAGGCCCCCACACCGGATACGGCTGCTACGAAGAAACGAAAAATAGCCCCTATGCTCATTTCAACCGAGGTTGATGTTAACGTGTCACGTACTATTCCCTCCGAAGCAGACGTGATTATAGCATCTAGATCAAAGAACCTTGTTAATAATCGAGGAAATGATGCAATTGATTCAACCTGGGCTTACCTCGGAAATAATGCCGTGACCAGGGTAGATATCGTTGAAATGGTTAACGACGACGAACCTTTCTCGAAAGATATGTTGCAAGAAGAACGGCAACTCGCATTTGTTCAAGTCGATAGACTGCCGTATGGCCGCCGGCTACAGATCAACCGGTTTCTCAAGCGTCGGATGCTGCGGAATAGAAAGCCTCGAGTTCCCTACGCGACTAAGCTGGATATGGTACCCGGGGCCAACAATCCGGATCACGATAAAATCTTACCTTTATACGGAGACTCAGATGACGAGTTCGATGAAGAGACTTGGGCTGAGATACAATCCGAACAGCTCAAGAAGAAGGACCGACGTGGCCTGTCTAGCGACGAAGTCCAAGCTGTGATCGATGAATCCATTCAGAAATTTGTATCCGATTGGAAAGATCGTAAGGCCTCCAAGCTCTTATACAAATCCAACCAAATTTGGTTAAATGCTCGAAGGGCCGGCCTAAAGATGTCGATCGACAAGAACCGCAGTGCTTTTGAGGCATGCGAATCCCGCATTGTGAAGTACTGTGGAGAGATGGCTCTCCAGCATTGGCGTAAAATAGCCGAGTTAAAGATGAACACCTTGATCTTGCAACAGAGTGTAGAAGACAGGGAATATGCTTCGTGGGTTCTCAAAATCATCACTTCTCCAACCGAACCTGAAAAGCTTTCAGCCCCGCCTCAGACATCCGTTAGAACCCGTCGACAGCCAAAGCTAGTTTCCACCGATTCTGGGGACGAGGAGGAGATACTGACAAGTGATTCCGAGAATGAGCTTGACAGATTCATTGTCGATGACCCCTCGACCCCTCGTGCATCTCGTAGTAGTTCATCCATGGCAATTGTCGAAGACAACACTTCTCCCGTGCAACGAGAACGACGCCGCGAGAGTGACCAAAACGAGGTACCTATGGACTTGAAACGGACAGAAACTATCGATCTTACAGAGTCTTTTCGAACGCCAGTCAAATCTCAAAAGTACCATGTGATAGATCTTACTACCCCCACTAAATCTAAATCAGCCTCCAATAGCTCACCCGGGACAAGGCTTGGTAATACGCCGGGAAAACTAGGTCAATTGCATAATGAGAAATCGCCTCTTATAATGAGCGTCAACGACCTAGACTCGGCCGAACAACTGGTAGCCAATGAACTGGCTAAGCAAGACGAAGAATATCTATCATATATCTTTTCGGTAACTATGAAGAACCATGAAGATGATGTTTGGATAGATTTTCTATGCAGTGAATTGGAAGAGCGAAGAATCCCGAAGTCTCCCTACGATACCCCCGAGAAGAAGAAGGCTTTCTCAGCCTTCACGATGCTTCGTTTGTTTGAAATATATAGAGACGATACCTTCTACTCGATAAGTCAGTATAAGAAGCTAAGCTACGATGACATAATGACGAAGGCAGAAGATGTAGCGACACAGACAGAGACACTCAGCAGTTATGCGGACTTCCTCCGCCGCTTATCTGATCGTTTCGAGTGGAAGGCCATTGATACAGGAATAGCTGGTCGAAAATCTCCATCCAAACAAAAGAAGCGTAAGAAATTGGTTCGCAATCAAGAAGCAGAAAGCCTCAGAGAGCATGATAGAGCACGGGCGGCAGAACAGAAACATCGACAAGAAGTTTTACGTGCAAAATTCAAGGAGCTCGAAGAGCAAGGCGTAGCGGTTCTTGATCAAAAGAATATGATAATCAACGAGAGTAAAGAAGACGATCAAGGATTTATTTACGTCCATCCTGAGATCGCACGGCGCATTAAGGAACATCAAGTAGCAGGAGTCAGATTCATGTGGAATCAGATTGTAGACTCCAGAGCGAAGCAAGGCTGTCTACTCGCGCATACCATGGGTCTCGGAAAGACCATGCAAATCATTACACTCCTAGTGGCTATCGCCGAAGCTGCAGGATCCGAAGATGAGTCGATCTCCTGTCAGATACCTAAGGGCCTAAAGGAGTCGAAAACCCTTGTGTTGTGCCCCCCTTCGCTCGTCAACAACTGGATGGACGAATTACTTTCTTGGGCTCCCCAAGGACATAAACTTGGAGAGTTTTTCAAAGTTGACCCGTCAGCGGGAATCCCCGAACGCGAAGCGAACATCGAGACATGGGATGAACGAGGTGGCATCCTCATTTTTGGCTATACTCTGTTTAAAGAGTATGTGACCAAGGGAGAGTATACAGAAATACTTCGCGTCGGCCCCAATATCGTTGTAGCCGATGAAGCGCACACGATGAAGAACCCGAAGTCACAAACTCACGCTGCCGGTGCACATTTCAAAACCCTGTGCCGAATTGCCTTAACCGGTTCCCCCTTGGCTAACAATGTCGAAGAGTACCATGCCATGGTTAATTGGATTGCACCAAACTACTTATCCGATATTAGCGAATTCAGGTTGTTGTATGCTAATCCAATCAAAGAGGGGCTTAAACTGGACAGTACTATGAGCCAGCGCAGAAGGGCTCTGAAGATGTTAAGGGTCCTCAAGGAAGAAGTTGCGCCAAAAGTACAGCGAATAACAATCGCAGCGCTGAAGCATGACATTCCGACAAAGCTAGAATTCCTCTTAACTGTACCTCTTACTCATGTGCAGCGAGAGGCGTATGAAACTTTCATCCAGTACCAACTAGATCACCCAGGATCGAGCCAACTAGCTTCTATAGATACGTTAGGTATCCTCTGTGCCCACCCATCGATCTTCATGAAAAAGTTGCAGGATCGAAAACAGGGTTCTACAAAGTCGATTGCGAAGGCGGAGGCTCTACCTAGTGAGCTTATTACTAGCGAGATTACCCTCTTGCATAAGACAAGGGACCTGGGAGCATATGCATTGTCTTGGAAAATCATGATATTGCTCTCTATTCTCGACGAGTGCAAGCGCATAGGTGATTCAGTTCTCTTCTTTAGTCAATCTATCCCTACGCTTGACTACATAGAGTCTATTCTGAAGACTAAGAAATTTTCCTTCGAACGGATTGACGGGAAAGTCGCGCCAACTAAACGGCAGTTCGTCGTCAAGGAATTTGGTAAGGGCAAAGTTGATGTATTCCTCATCTCTACCAAAGCTGGCGGCGTTGGCCTCAATATGACGAGTGCTAATCGAATCATTATTTTTGATGTTAAATTTAACCCGCAGAACGAGCAACAGGCCGTCGGGCGCGCATATCGTATTGGTCAGAAGAAACCAGTCTATGTTTACCGCTTGGTTTGTGGGGGCACCTCCGAGGAGAAAGCGCTGAATATGGCGATATGGAAGATGCAGTTAGCTTCTCGAGTCGTTGACCAGAAAAACCCTATCCCCAAAGCTCAGGAATTCGGTCACTCATTTGAGATGCCAACGGAGCCCAAGCAAGATAATATCGATATACATATCGGTAAAGATAATGTCCTGGATAAGGTTATTGCAGTTCACAAAGACGGAATTAGAGCCATTACGATGATGGACACTTTTGAGGAGGAAGAACTTGAAGATGCTGTCTTGACTGCTGAGGACCGCGCGGAAGCTGACCAGTTGATCGCCCAAAATGAGGCTCGTAGGCTGGGCAAGCCTATTACGTCTCTGTATTCTACGAACCAAGGTAGACTACCCAACGAAGCCAATAGGGCTATACCGCAGATTCCTGTGGTAGATGGCAGGGTTCAGAATTACCAAGTCTTAGGTGTACCTCCTATTGGAAGCTCTAATATCCTACAGGCCGCAAACCCTCCTCAGAATAACGCTGCCTTATATCAACCCAACCTATTGCAGCCAATTCAGGGTACTACTACGCATATTCGGAGATGGCCGCAAAATTCGGGCCATGTCATGGGTAGTCAATTTGCCGCTTGGGAGCATCAGCCAGCTTTCAAGGGGGAGTTGGCACGAGCCTTTTCAATGAGCGGGGCACCGCATGATGATGAACAGAAACGAGGCGCCGCGCATGCCATTACAGCAGCAGTTTGGGATCGACAACGACCTCCCGAGCAACATGCTCAGGCAAAATGGGAGATAATGACAGCAGCATCGTCTCCACGATTTGTTGAAGCTATCTGCTTGAACCTTCTGTCTGCTGCTGAGCTGGCTAATATGGAGCCACCCGATATTGCCTCAAAGCGGTATAATTGGGACAAATTGACAGAAGCAGAATGGGAGGAATATAAAGCCGCTGCGGCTCGCAAGTCTGAAGCAGACCCTGAAGTAGGAACAAACTATTCACCTTTACATGATGTGATCCAACTAACTTTTACTTCTAATAACAGCATCTCCAATACGCACTCCACCAAATGACGTCCACTCCCAAAGGGGAAAATTCTAGCCGACGTAAACCTCTTCGACTAGATGATCAAGAGGCGTTAGAAACTGTTATCGAGAACAGAAAGGCAAAGCAGTCTTCCTATCCTCACCCTCGCCTACCAATCTGGGCTATTGACGCAGTTACTAGACAGGGACGCGCATCGTCACCGTCGACACATCCTCCCGGTGGCTCTTCATCCTATCTTTCACCCAAAAATCCTTTCAAGTGAGTCTTTGCAATTTTAATGCAATAACAGGCCCGGCTTTCGATTCCAGCATCTCCTTTTCGATTTAGGCTTTCGGATCGCCATTGCAAGGGCCCTTCGGCGTTTAGGGCGGATTTCCCTCGTTGCGCAAGGAATGAGATACCCAAGGAAAATACAGAAACCATTCTGTATATTTGTTTTTGCTTCATCAGAAAAAGGGGAAGAAAAGAGAAAAAAAAAACAAGGAGGAGATGAGAAGGGTGTACGTGATACGAAACTCGCATTGTGTTTTTAATGATAAGGGGGGACAGTTAGATACATTTTGCAAGCAGGATCACTGGCATAAAACCGATGATAGCAACTTGATTTGTTCTCGACGACTTTTGGCTGGCTTTAGCTCTCATGAGGAAAGTTCTTTTGTGGACGAGATTACCTTAGGTTCAGTAATAAGGTAGTTGCCAAATTGACACAATTGATCGATCCGTTAATTGATACGCTCTTGATGATATGTAGATCAACTCTTCTAATTATACTTGCATTGCTCGGCTCATTTCACATTGTTCAGTCTCGAAAATGGGCCTATGGTCTAGGTAAACTAGGCTTTATACACGTCTTCACTTTTTAACCTTGAGCCTATTTTCAAAGCCGTGAATAAAACCGTAGAAAAATATACTGATATAACGCCCCTTTCCCCTACTACGACATAGGCTAAACTTTTCGTATTTTAAACAGAGGCGAAGTAGATAAACAGGGAGAATCCGTACACTAATTATCGTCTCTTTTCATTTGTTGTTCCTAAATCTTTACTCTCTTTTCCTATCTGAAAAAACAAAAAAAAAAAAAAAAAAACAACGGGGGGGAGGACCACCACCACCAACGCCATACAAAATCCTACCAACCTTGGAGAGTACGATCGAATAAATAATACTTCCCTGTGGGAAAAAAAAAAACACCGCCTCGGCGTCAAGACATGCGTGATACGTGAGCAATTACAGGAAAAGCTAAGGTCATCTTCGGGCCCTGGATACTTATGTATGTTTACCTCTTTACCACATCTATGCTCTATCCCCACCCACTCACTCACTCACTCACTTTCTGCTCGCTCGTTAAGGGGCGGTTAACCTAGATTAGGTAACTAACCAGCTACCAAGCCCAAAGAACCTTATGGTGTAGGACCCTAGCACCCAGCCTCTCGAACTCGAAGGGCGTGATCCAGGAGTCATTGGCCGGGAGCTTGGCGAAGACGCTAGCGCCCTTCCAGACGACGACCTGTTCATCCATGTCGCGAGCCGAGTGCGTGATCAGCACGCGGTCGGCGAGTTCGGGACGGCGATCCTTGAGCTTCTCGTGGAGCATCTGCGTGAAGGCGGGGGTCTTGGAGCCCCCGCCCACAACCATGATGCTGCCGATGTAATCGCGCAGCTTCTTGTCATCGCCCTTGGCTGCGTTCTGGATGCTCGTCAGGATCGCGATGTCGAGTGGCACCACAGGTAGCACAGAGTCCCGCTCCGCGGCCAACGCCTTAGCCGTGCGCGCCGCCGAATCTATGAACATGCCTGCCGGTGGAGCTGGGGACGCCCCGTTGCGCGCGGTTGATGTCCCGTTTGGTGCTGGGCTGCCGGTCCCTGTTACCGTACCGTTGGCGCCGAAATGGAAAATCGGTGGGACAGGGGTAGCTGCTCCTTCGGGGGCTGGCGAGGCTGCGGCTGAGCCACCTGGCGTCCCGTTGTTGAGGTCGCCCCTAAGAAAATTAAAGGGCTGAGATTTCTCCTTCATGGGGGTGGCAACGTTCGGGTCGAGAGACGAGGAGGTCGGAAAACCGTTGGCGTTGGAGACCACAGAAGGCTTGATGAGAGCAAGAATAGCAGTCTGCGCCGCAGAAACTGGGTCGTCGGGTACGCCGACGTCGTACGCATTATAAGAGCGGTCAATTAGTTTACGCCGACTACGTATCTTGGCTGAATTATCGAATATGGCCGGCTCATAAAAGCCCATCGGGGCAAGTATGACTTCATCATATGTCTTGAAGCTGTACTCACGCGTCGGCTGGTTTGGAGCGCGGAGGTGGAAATTATAGAGTTGTACAGAAATATCGGTCTGGGTCATCGTGCAATATTTGATCTTTAATTCCTCGGCTAGGAGAAAGTCATACCGTCTCCTAAGATTAATATCCTGGTAAGGAAAGTGGTCGTAAAGCATCATCTTCATAAATGTTTCCGTCACGTCATAGCCGCCGTACTTGAGGTTGACGCGGGAGTCCTCGACGCAGAGTCCGTCTTCGACACATGCGATCGAGGTCTTTTGAGCTCCGACATCGACTACGCACGCTTGCGTGTACCCAGCACCGAATGTCGCAGCCATGCTCTCCTGAATAAAACATATCCGACTAAATTCGAACCAAGTCATACACGACTTGAGAATCTGTTCCACGTATTTCTTATCGTATAAATCAGGAATCACGAAGACGCAGCTGTAGTTCTTCCACGTACTATTCCTAGTCAGTCCAAGCTCATGTCTAATAGCCTTGTCTAGGAGGGTTTCGAAGTCGTCATATAAATGTTCTGCAGTCGTATAATCGTCCTCGTTTAGCCAGCCGTGTTGCATCGGCCACCATAGCTTGAATTTTGGGTTAGAGTCGTCAGGAATACGCTGGGCTGCTTGACCTATGAAGCATGAGGCGAGAGAGTTGGGATCTTCAAGAGCTTTAACGTCGGTCCATTCGATCTGGAGAGGGTCATTATGTAATGAGATCTCTTTCGATTCAGTTCGTCTGTTATGATTCACAACCAACTCTTTCGAATTTGGCAGCACTCTAAGCTTCCTGGATCGCATATCCACTTTGAGATCATTAGACATCTTCTGATACTTCTTAGACCATTCCTCTCCATATTGTTGATCTGTAGTCTCGGCTTCAAATTGTCGGCGAGGAAGAGCCTCATACATTTCGGATTCGGTTTGGGGGAATTTGGTCGCAATTGCCATGGGTATAGTTTTAGGTAAGGCGTCGCTAGCAAAACCTATTCTGAGATTTTGGCTTCCCGGATGTATGACAATAACCTTGGAAGGGTCCAAGCCCTCGCTGACTGCTGGGGCAGCATCCTCGGGTTGGATATCTGGAACTGGTAACGGTACTTCAGCATGTCCATTGCGCGCAAGAGCACGATCGCGATCCTTGGCACTCTGAACGAGTCTATCTCTATTTGCTTCGGCCTGCAGTCGAAGTGCTAATACTTGGTCATCGCGTTTCATGTAATCACTATGAAGTAGAATATATTAATCAGCTCTGAGACTTCAGTGGTGTGTGTTCTATGTAGCTGTATGGAGGGTGTCGCGTACGTGTAATAGTTCTTTTGGTTGATTGGCGTAACATCAGGCCAGCTCGTCTGCTTCATGCCATTGTCTGTTCGTTCAAGTCCTTTGATATCATCATGTCAGCTTTATATACGCGCGCAGGGTCAACGGATTAATAACTAACCTTCCCGAAGGAGGACCTTCTCACTAACTTTACCGACCATGATTACGGATTAGATGAATGATGGATGTGGTGATGATGGCTGCATCTATGTGGATATGTATTTGTTGTTCTAACATTTGTGGTGGGAGAAAGGTGAGGAAGGTGAGGATTACAGATATGTTATGAAAAATTGTTCAAGTACTTGGGCGCGGTGGAATTTTATTTTGCGTCTACAGTGAATTTGTCTTCGAGCTTGCCCTCTTGTCCCTGCGGCTTGGGCCATTATCAAATCAATCAATCGCAGCTGCGCCAGTTGGTACTCAGCTAGCTACACTAATGTTACATACCTGGTATTTATTCTGGAACTGGGGCGCGCTAAGCCTTATTTGTTCTTAGTACCTGTGCTTGGTGGCGGAACTCGGTAGCTGGATTATCCTATCGTGTCGAGATAAGATTTGAATAAACCATTGCAGTCAAATCCAATTAAAAGTCTAATCATCTTCAAATCAGCATGTCCAATATCAATTAAGATATTTTGTATGCCCTACCTAGGTAGTCTTCTTTAATCCGTGCTTTCTATCAGTTTTATAAGTTATTTCTTTATAACCGGTGTAGTTTTTAACATTTTAATTCCTAACTGGTTCTCTTATATAAAAAAGAATGCTAAGACTTGCCCACAAGACACCACCGGCCAGTTAATATATAGCTTTCCTCTCTTACAAGCAAACAAAGATATTCAAAAACAAACCGGCGAGCATTGCTTTACTGAAGTCAAGCAAAATATATACCAAATAAGCAATTAATTTCTCTTATTAAATTATGTATTTTCCCTTTCTCTTGGTACGAAGAGGCTAAAGTCAAAGCTGAGTCACCTGACAACCCGACACCTATGACGTCGCTTTTCAATTCATATTGCTGTCCTCCCTGCCTCTTTACATCTTTTCTTAATCGTGCCTACCTGCCACCTCTTTCATCTGACTTACATAACGTACACATGTAAATGACTTTGACAATACAATAATTACATACAATAGTTATACGAATTGTAGCTTCTCTCTTCTTACATAGGTCCGTTTGGTCACTTTGTGTACGCGTTCACCATGGCCCCCATCCCAGTCTATACGGACAGCCCTATTGTTGCCGCGAAGGCTTCGGGAGTGACGCCACAGACTGCTCCACCATCGTCCACTTCAAAGCCAACCCCAACTAGCTCATTGCCTACTTCGTCCAGCCAGGCCTATCCGTCTGCCCAACCTGGTGCTGTGCCCTCACTTCCGACCACGACGGCAGACGCCTCTCAAGCACGTTTTTTATCTCAGCCAATTCAAACAGCTAATCATGACGGACCCCCAGCACCGCAACCTGGGGCCGTCCCTGTCCCAACCGGTGTCACTAAAACGAATATACCACCACCACCTAAAGTGGGTGAGAAGCTTGTGAGCATACCGTATCCTCAGCAGATGGCAATCCCGCCACCTACTGCATCATATCAGTCTCAGCAGCGGGGTACATCTACAGCCCCGGCGCCTACTTCAGAATATAGCAACCAGGGCTCCACAACTTTAAGTGGTCCACAAGTTTATCATAGCTTAGAACACCCTCCGGGATATCATCAGAATTCCAACGCTTCTGAGCTCGGTAATTATCAGAGATCGGCTATTCAGCGAAGTGAGATAGAAGATCAGGCAGGGAGTTCAGAGAGTGGAGTTTGGGAAGCTGCAAAGAAATGGGCTCATCAGACAGGAGAGAAGATCGCAGCAGCAGAAACTGAAGTTTGGAAGAAGATCAACAAGGAATAATGTTGCTACGAAGATTAGTATTCACCGTCATCGACAGGCAGAATCGGTCCGCTATAAATCAGGTTCTCCAGAATTTATCACGGATATCAAAGAAATTGCAAAATATGAAATATACTATTACACAGATGACATACATAGTCTGAGACTAATTTGACTAAAGGAACTAATGAGTGATTCTTTTATCTATTCAGGTCTTACACGCGATTGTCGTTGAGAAACTTAATCCGATTATACAGTAGTTAAAGTAGGGGTATAAAAATAAATATTCGGCCTGTATAGACATTACGAGGTATGGTTAATGCCAACTAGGCCATGTTCGGAGCACGTAGCCTACTACGTAACCCCCAACCTACGTTCTGTTAGACCTCTCGCTTTCAACGTCTGTTTCCATTGCTAGGTTCAACGCATGATATGATCTTCCAATGGGTCTACACTAGGTATCCGGGGAAGTGATCTCGTCATCGTCAGCCCGCGATCTTCGTGATGAAAAGGCGATAGTAGTTACTAAATTTAAGGACAATGGGGCTTGCGGGTAAAAGCGAGCATTGAATAATTTCCCAAAGGAGTCAACAACGTTATGCGATGAGACGGGACCGGGCCTATCCCGGTAAGCTAGCCCCGGAGTGGGGTATCAAGCGGCCCCATAGAACGATTCGTAGAACATATGGAAAGACCAAGAGTTTACCCCTTGTCCACTTTACACGACACGATCTGGCAGGAACTAATTAAAATGACGCTCACCAGATGCGGCGGCCGAGGTCAGACTCTCGGTGAAATTCCCATATTAAACACATCGAATGATACGTATGGATACGATAAAACTCCCTCCTCGAGAAAAGATAAGGTGATATTTGCATTGCATAGTTGATAAGAACGAGAAGTTAAAACATGTTTCTTGCGCATAGGCTTGTAAGTACAGATGCAAAGTGCATACAGTACCTATGTATATACATTAGGTACGTAAGTATAGTACCTATAAGGCAATCGCGATACCTAACGTAGTAGCCCGAGGTACGATGCGCGAGGTAGGAAAAGAAAGCAGGTCCTGCCGTACCGTGTAAGCCACGTTCTGTCAGCCGACCCATCCGACAGACAGGTACATGTTTAGATAAGGCACACACTTAAATCGATGCATGCTCCAATGCATACTATTCCATACATGTACATCTTATACCTAATATATATACATGTGCCTAATCTCATCTCGCCTTCGCCCGAAGGACTGATCAGCTCGCTTACGACAACTCGAGCATATATAATAGCATACCTAGGCATATAATAAGGTATATAATAAGGCATATGCGATGCAGGTACATTTCGCATCTTACTTAGGGCTATCCCGTAAGTGTTTTCGTCTTACGCTAAAATCCCGGCCGCAACCGAGATAACGTCTGTGAGCCTGTAGGCTTGTAAGACGCGGGTGACTAGTAGATGCAGGAAGATGGCGTTCATATTCGGGGCGCCCTCGCACATGTACAGGTGTAAGCACATGGAATACATGGAATGCTTACGCGGGTTGATAAGAATATTGTTACCATTATTACTTGGTATATTAGATTGTTGGTATACCGATAAGAATCTTCGAAAGCCCGGTTTGGTATCCGATCTAAGGACCCGAAGATCGCCCCGCGCGGTAATATTATAATGACGCTTGTTATAACTGCCAGTTGGAGAACGGAATTATTCCAAGGCAGCCTTACGGTTGGTGCGTCGTAAAAAAGTAAAACCTGTTTGAATGACACTAAAGGACCGCAATTCCGAATGTGACTTATTCCGTGAATATGCACCCTTACGGGAGCATTACTTACTGTAGTTTAAACTTATGGCAGATATTCGATTATCAGCTTAACGATGAAGTCAATCCTGACGGAATACAGACGCCGCTTTCTTTAGCGCGGGCGTAGATTTTCCATGTCTGACGTTTAATAACGGTAAGGCTTATTAAGGTACATACCGACAATAGAACTATTAAAGATCAAAGCTCCAAAAGCAAAAGCAAAAAAAGATCGAGTAAACAAATTACCATCAGATGTTCTATCAAAACTTTAAATCACGGGGCTTGATAACCCCGCAGTTCCCAAGTTTTATAGTTCCCGGTTCTTAAAGGAAACAAAACAATCTCTATAAGATGAAGGGTCTCAGAGAGACGTACTGTACCAACTTAGTTCGCACATAACGGCGCATCGGTAAGACCTTGCTTCTGGAAGCTCTGTCGAAACAAGGAGGGGCCGAAAGCAACGTCGAAGGATTAAAGAGAGATTAGAGAGACAGAGCTAAGAGAGAGTCTAACGTAACCGAATGCCAACGCTTGGACATTCTACCGGTCCTTGGAACTTAAAGAGGTACGTAAATACTTAAGTATCTAACCTAGGTACTTACATAATGTAACTTGAGAGAAAAGGTTGTAGTGGACGTACATATTATAAGATACGCAGGTACATAATACTGAGCGTACCCCAGACGCCCCAGTAAAGTGTTTCTAAAAATGAATTGCAATGTCGATTCAACCAACCAACGTAGTACCAGTTCCCTATCAGCCGCTTCTTATCATGGCGCGCAGAGTTCCAAGGTTCCCTCGAGACGGCACGGTTATTCTGCAAGTGGCGCACCTTTGTGAGCCACCGTCCCTTCCTACCATCCACGTTGTGCTTCCATATACGGATCACGTTCCTAAATATTTTCTGCGCCAAATTGTAACAAGATGTTGATGTTATGGTAGACCGAATGCAGCGTGCGGGCGTAAGCGCAGGTTGCAGCTAAGAGCTACATATGTACACTATGTATGTATGTATGTAAGGTTCAGAGAGGGTGGAGTCTGGATCTTTTACCTTTTTGACATTCGGGACTGAGAGGCAAGTGGGGGCGGGCCAGGGGTAATCCAGGGTCAGCCGTTCTGTTACAGATTCTGAGACGCGTCAGGGATGATAACCCCTGTTCCATGCACCTCCTTCCTGTATATTATTCTCCGTCTGACCAATCATAAAACTGCCCAACGCAACTAAAATTCAACATCAAACGCGCTCCGCTGACGAACGGAGACGACACACTCCTAATCTTGGTCGGCATCGTCTGAGTCTAGAGCCTCCGGTTATCCCTAGCCCTTCCAGTCTCCAAGCCAACACAGTCGTCCAACACGCCTTGCAGTCTGCAAGACGTTTCTGCGCGTGTTCGAGTAAACTAGAGGTTGCGCATCCGCTTCTCGACCTGTACTACTTCGCTCGAACATACCCTCTTCGATCGCGCCAGAGTTTTATCTGGATGGCTCCGGCCACACCATTCCACGATGCCATACATACCATACATATCATCCACGCCATACATGTCCTTACATGTCCATACATGACATACCAAAAGGTTAGAGAGGTCAGAGCTCATGCTATGTAGTGTCGCGCAGCCCACCACGCATCGTCTCCCCTCCATCACGGGAACTCCGCCTCCCCATCCATTCGCCCTCTCTGTCGCCATTGGTTGTTATCATTATTCCCGAATCATCCAAATCGTGGCTTCGTCAGTCTATGTCTCCCCTGCAGTTCTTGGCTATCCCGTCTTCAGATGAGCTCACCTGCGCGTCTCTATCAAGCCAACCTTTCTGCTGCTTCAGCATCTAATGATCAAAGTAACGCACCCAAAGTCCAAAGTCGGTTAATCTGACGAGATCCCACTGTCTATAACTTGAGAAATTGGCGGGTCTTAGGTTTTGATTGCACACATGTGCGTCTCCTGGCGCTTTGGCCAATCTCGCATATTCCGAATTCTGTTAATGGGCTCGTCTATTTTGCGCGTATTGTCCAACGAAACGTCCTTCGTGGGTCGTCTCGAAACCTCATTCGAGATCCCTAGATATCTCTAAGCGCTACGAGCAGACTAACCCGAATAGCCACACAGCATACCGTGTTCATAGGTATTGCCTTGTCAACTAAGCTACTTGCGATTACCGCATGCATAGGATGTATTTAGTAGCAAGCCCTATTCGCGTGATAGCACGGAGAGTCCTTGTTGCTCCACAAAGACCCCAGAAGGTGTTTCCAAAACCTACAGTAATAAGGTACGTAGTTATTGTATGTAATTCTCAGGAACCTAGCTTCTCCAGATCGACATATCCGGCCGACGAAGGTGTCATGGTTGTGTCATACGACTCTACCTACATACGGCACTAGAATCTTGCCTACTCCTTCTGAGCCTACGTACAACATAGATGGTATACGATCCTTCAAGGCTAGCTTTCGCGGCTCTCGTAGTTCGCAAGTCGTCTCGTCAGCTCAGCCTTTTTTATTTTTTTATCCCACACTAGCTGTCTGAGCCTGATGTATATTTTACTCCTTGCCACATGGCCGGACATAACATGAGACCAGTTCACCTACTATGAGGCTCAACGGTATAGGCTAAAAATAGTGAGTAGTATCTAGATTCTATTTTTTTTCTCTCGCCAAACAGACTTTTTCCCTTAGTCTGATGAAATTTCCCATTTTCTACTCAATATCAAAATTACGTCCGTCCTGTTATATCATAACCCCTGCCTAGCTATCCCAAAAGAGTTGGGACCTGCCATGGATATTTATGACCGGGGGGTAGCCCTGGTTCCTAGTCTAATCGGTTTCTGGCTACTTCTTACATGCTAGGTACCCGAGACCCATCCAACTCTCCGTTGCTCCCCCATACGCTCACCACTCTACCCTGCTTCAAAGACTCGACCTATTCCTCGCAACACATCATCGACGAACAGATGTAACCCACCGAACCCTTGTATTGTAAATCCTTGCAGAGCCCGCCCGGTGGTCCTTGTCTGCCCTGTCTTGCCTGTCTCTTTCGAGAAAGCCAAGCGGGACTTAGCACGCCAGTCTCTCCTGTTGTCGAGTTCACAGACGTGGCCAGGTTTTCATGTATCAAGAAGACCCGGCTTAGCTCCTACCGATGTTCCGACTGGCCGTGTTGAATTATAATCGAACTGTCAGTGTACATACTATGTAGGCCCTGTTGCGTCCGAGGGCATCCTTATATCT